CCGCCGGGCCTGTCTCATTGGCGTGGCGTGCCTAATTGATTCCGCGCGCCAGGGTTCTGGGTTCCGTGGGTTGCTTCGGTCTTTGTTCTTCTCCATCATCTCGACGGCAGCCGCCAAGGCCAAGGGGCGGGCGCTCCGTGCCTCAGTCGCTTTTTTTTTTGCTTTCTCTTATGTTTCTACTCTGTGCCTGTGACTGTGCTGCTATCAAGGAGGGGTCGCCCAAGGGGCGACCCCGGTTTCTTGTATTTATATTCATAATAATGATATTGGGAAATATGAAAATGATAGAGAATGGAGACGCTCCTTCCTAATCCTAGAGGCGGAAATCGAGTGTACTTCTAGGAACAAGATGAAAATTTTTTCTTTTACCAATCTTCATCACAGCTGCTCCTTGTCATTAGCTTTATTCGAACCAAGATCACGTCATCAATGTCTACTTAGCTAACATCTGACTCCTTGTGCTTCTAGGTATCTCGCGTCAAGCGGAGCGACGCGGTCACGCGTGGACTATGCTTTCAATGCCTTGATACCAAGACCAGCAGATCCGAAAGATGCAAAGCAGGCGATGATGCATACATGGCTGAAGGCACGACTCTTCGCAATTGATACACAACAACCATTCGATTTTAACCCTTTCTCAGAAGGAAAGTGAAGAATGCGCTATTGTTCTGAGCAACATTTTGATCTCCATCTTCAAATTCAGCAGCGTGGAAACTCTTCTCTTATTTTCCGGCACATCGACCTCCTGATGGTCACGCTGACATGCTCTCAATTTAATTGAAATACAAGTCATCTTGAATTCTTAACATGTACTCACCAAAATACGATGAACTTTTTGAAGCGGCGCGGGCGCCGCCAGCACGCCCATACGATGGCCGGTAGCTCTTGAAGCAAACTAAAACATAGTCGTGGTGTTCGTTGCCGGCAAACACAGCTTTGAAGTGCATCATAAGTGTGGTACAATCTTGAAATGTAATTGCTGTCTACCGCTTCTTGATCTCCACCACCTCTTCTAGGTGATGGAGTGCTTATGTCAAGCATGGGCATTTTTACCGAGAAGCGAAAGACCGAATTCAATAGAATGCGTGAGGCTTGATCATCTTGATCGCCTGTTTGTTGGTGTAATCAATTTTTGTGCACTACTACTATGGTACTACCATAATGCTGGTAGGTGGCTTGATCAACATAGAATAACACGCCAACGATCTTGATCATCAAGAACAAACCTAAAGAACATGTCGTGGTGTCGTTGATATCAGAGGAGCAGATTAAGCTCCACCGAGACCAAGGAAATTCAAGACTACATCAACCGAGTGGCGAGTGAAAGAACAAAAAATGCTTTCTGGTGTCTGTGGAAGTAGCAGTGGTGCGAGTTCAACCGCGACGAGTCGCCCTGGGAGTGGAAAGTCTGTGAGCAGTTCCATATCCTCACTGGAGGAATCAGACTCTTGTGCTCAAGTTCATCTTCTAAACGAAGCAGAGCTCTGGACGCAGAGTGCTGCTGGTTCTCAAGTAGATACACAAAAAGAAGACGAGACGTTCTTGGAGGCGGATAGAAGTAGTTTTCCACTAAAAACTGCGCAAAGGTCGAGCAGGTCGACATCATCAGATAACGAGAAAGGAAAGGCTGCTCTTGGAGACTCTTCTTCTAAGTTCAGAAGTCAAAGTCTAACAGCCGACGGCGACCGGAACACCAGGGCATCGCAAGAACAGGATACAGGGTGGGATATTAGAACCGCAAGCATTGATCTCGCGTTTTTACGAAGGCCGTCTCCGTTTACCGATTGTTCCTCTGTTTTCACTTCCGCCAGCACGGGACTCTCTCCCACGTGCTCGAACCCACTTTTGACCGGTCTGGCACATATGAAAGAAGGACGAGAAGCAACTTGTGCTTCTGGCAGCACGACTCACACAAGGAAAAGCAGAAACAGAACTGCAACAACTACTGAAAATGTGAAAGTCAAACCAGTTGTTGCCTTCGAGGAAGTTGATCTCAAGAGCTGTGGTGGCATGAAGATGGATTCCAGCTTTTGTGGAGGAACCGCTTTTGGTCTCCAACAGATGAAGACGGAAGGGACTTACGCAACGGCAACTACTGAATTGAAAATAGATGGACGAAATTCATCTTGTTGTGATACAACAACGAAAACGCACACAGTTTCAACCGTATCACGTGACTCGTTGACCACGCCTGTATCTGGAGGTGCCTGGAACGATCCTACCCGTCCCCAGCCACTGCCTCGCTCCCAGCAGGACTTCGCTGTGAATCCTGGAATACACATTGAAGCTGAGGGCAACCACGTCACACGCACGGCAGCAGAAGCAGTGGATACATCCTGTTCATCCAGTCGTCTTTCTCCAGGCCTTGTTGCCTTCAGGTCTCTCCAATCTGCCTGTCCATTGCAACAAGCGGCGGTGGCTGGAGGGAGTGGGTTCGTTGGGCCACGAGCTTCAGGTTCTGCGCCAAGCAGTTCCTCTAGTGATCCACCTCCGAACTGCGATCGTGCACAACACCAGTTCGCATCCGGGCGAACGCCAAAGACCTCGTCATCAACGAACAGTGTTGCACTAGCAGGTGGTGGCTCCTCGTTTTCACTTGAAGACAGAGACAAAAATAAAGAAGAAGGAAAGGGCAGCACATTACATACACCGAGGAAATTGGGAACAGGTTCTTCTGATGTTTTACCAGCTGGCGCTGACCTCGGAACGCCGCCACGACCTGGACTTGGCAGTAATCAAGGCAGGATGGTCCAGCATTTGCTCAGTGATGACGGATTCGCGTCAGATTGCTCCTCTCCCGCGTTCTTCAGTCTGGATAGGGGCCAGAAACCAGGCCTTGTGGACGAGAGAGAGTATGTTGATCTATTCCGCAACAAGAACAACTCCTTATTCATGTCTAGGCTAGGTGGAGGGCTTACGCCGCCTGGCAAGAGCACGCGTCGCAATCTCAAGCGACACCTTCAGCGACCTAACCGAGAGCTTCTGCACAAGGAAGACCGGTTTCGCGCATTACACGACCGATCTCTCGCCCCTCACTGGTCGGAAGCGCCAAAGACAGAGCTGAGTCTGAGAGAAATCCTTGAAGACTACGAGGACGGAACAACCTCAACAAGCCAATCATGTGGCGGCGGGGGAAGTGGCAATTATATTACAGGAGGAGGCGCGCATTCTCGCGTTGCAGCTCAGAACAGAAACGCATCTTCATCATCGCACATTTTTTCAGATGATGAGGCGGTGGGCGTTCAAGTCAGTAAAAACAACACTTCGATAATTGACGGAGAACGTGGCATAGGAGCTGCATCATCGTCGGGAAGTTGCACCGTCGCTTCGTCAAGTAGAAAGGATGCGAACCAAACTGGTGAGAGGCCTGTGTCCAGAAGCAGTACCGGAAAAGAAGACACAAATAGCTGCGCATCAAGTATAAATCCGCGAGCATTCGCGCTCCATCGACCATATCAAGTCATTGGATCTGATAAAAGCACTTGCGACATCGTCATAGATGGATTGGGTATATGCTCGAATTGTTGACTTTTCTTTGACACTGTCAAAACAAGTGAGCAGATATTTTTATTTAGTAATGAACTCAAGAAAAATACATAGGTCGTGTTTGTGGCTGCATTCATGATGTTTACATGTTGGCGTCGCCAGCCCCATAATTAATTTGACAAAGTAGTCGACTTGTTCCACCCCCTTGCGCTTCCAGATAACGAGCACTGCGCGATAGCATATCACAGAGCAGGACAGCCATATATCTGTTTTTTTGGCCCATCGAGGTTCGGGGACGATCCTATCTTCGAGTTCAACAGATTCGAAGAAATCCACAATCTCCCTCAAGAGATCGCGCTTGGTGAAAGAAGGTGTTGATTTAGTAATTACATTTTTAGTAATTTTTACATACCTAAGGCTAGAATCTCCCTCAAGAGATCACGCCTCGTGAAAGAAGGTAATTTAGTACTGAAATACATATTTATTACTCTTAGGACGTTGACTTGGATACTAGAGATCACACCGATTAATTTTCATCCGTCGCCTTTTTATATTATCTCTAAAGTGACACAACAAGTCACACTTGGTTTGAGACATTGCAAGAATAATATGGAAGTTTGCAGCTGCAGTGGCTGTTAACAACGAAGACCGACTAGTACTACTTAGACTTACACAACTTTGTTTAAACGTTTCTCGATCTATCATCAGGTTCATAGTAACCGGAAATATAACGAGTATTCGACAGCAAGGTGCCAAAAAAAGGGGTACGGCCGCAGAAGAAGTCACGCCAGCAGTAGCACCCACGACCTATTCCTATTCCGGTGGCACGACCACCACCACGAATCAGCCAAAAAAAGCCCGAAGAGAAGATCCTGCTGATACAACGATGACCATGATATTTTCGGACGAAGATGAAGCATAGAGCATGAAAAAGATGGAGAGATGACCGTGCCCGTGGTAAAGAAGTCGCACGGTTTTGATCACATAATCGTATTAGACGACAGCTGACCGGACGACGAGCAGCATTCGATGGGAGTTGGATATTACAGAATTGACGACCGCACATGGAGGAGTTGCTATCGCTAAGTAATCACTGACGCTTAGCAAATCCCGAAAGATTTTTTCCGTTTCGTTTGTTTCAAAAAAGTTATATTGGCTGCTGCTCGCTTAATACAATTAAACTTGTGAACAATGATCCCATGAAGATCGGTGGTTTTACATTCATCTTATAAATATATTTTCAAAGAATCTAATTATATATATGTTCGCTGCCACTCTCACGAAGTCCTCGTGGACTCAGTGATAGGTGCTGTCGCTACCTAGTACAAAGCATCTTCACATTATCTCCCAGTGGAACCACCCCCTTCCCGATCAGCACTTTGCAGGCGTCATAGTTGCTTCGCCCGAGCAAGGAAATGAACCTATCCAGCGCTGAAAATCGCATGAATGTGATGATGTAGGATTTCCTACAGTTATGTATAAGATAGGGAAGATCAGTTTTAGTTTGTTACGATATTTTCCCGTCACCACGCAATGCGCTCCGGTTCCGGGTAGCCCTTCATCCGAAAAAAGAACATCACCACCTGCGAGCAGGCTGGTGACGTCGAACAAACCTGAAAATCAAAATGAAACCGTTTGTTTCCATGACGAAACCTCCAAAGAACGCATTTCGAAAACTACTACCTCATTTGAGTTGCAGCAAAGACACTTCGTAGAGACGATTGCGGCTCACGCGCCGTTTTGGGGAAGAAAGCGGTCATGTTGCCTGAAGACAACATGGCGCGGCATGTTTCGTAGAATAGCCCTTCTTGGCCTTGGCGTCTTGTAGGACCAGCTGCTAAGTGTCAAGTTCAGCTGTTAGCTCTGTCAGCTCGTTCGGTACGACTTTTCATTTTGGTCTGAATGATTTATCATGAGTAACATGTCACAGCTTCTTCCCTCATATTGATTCTGTTTGCTGCCGCCTACGATTGATGATCGGTTGTAATGTTAGTATGAGGTCTGGTCCCATTCTCGTTAAGAAGTACGAGGGAGTGGAAATCTGTGCCGAGGATGTTGTCATGAGGCTGTTGCTCGGATCGTGCTACTCAAGATCACTAAAGAACAAGTAGATCGAAGATCTCTCGTGTTTTCGACCCGGCTGCGGCTCCTATGCACTCCACTTCCTGTCTCCGCACGTCACTTGTACTTGCTTAGCTTGTCACACTCGTTTGAGCACCTAGTCTTGCTTATCCGGTTATACTTTTCTCTAGTACATGCAACTGCATCATGATGATACATATGTTTCTATCATGCATCTACTTATGTTTTCAGCCACAGGCACCACCACAGACTTACCTTCCATTCTCATACTCCAAAAAGAATTTATTTCATCTGGTGGCCCTGCCGCGCCCCTTCCATCATTATTTGCTACACAAATCATCTCCTTTAGAAAAATGCCGTTTCTTTTCGGTTTCGGTGGCTGGTTGTCCCGATTGTTCGGGCTCAGTTCTGCACCAGAGAATGAGGGCAGTTCTAAAGACCGACTTGAATCCCGACTCGGGGACCCAGGGAGCATCTTGACCGAGGAAGATGTCGAAAACGTTCTTGGGAAAGAGAAGAAACCGCCTCTAGGGGATGGCTTGGCATCTCCGACGTCGGGTTCCATGTCGCCAGAGGAGTGGAGCAACTGGCCAGTAGCATACATGCACCCGGAGGAGGACGATATCAGCCAGAAGGAAGACGAACCTGCTGATAAGGGCCGATCCGGAGATAAGGTAAGCTCGGGCTCAACCATGACCTCCGCATCTACTTCAGGCCAAATATCATCCGGAGGGCGAGGGATTACAGGTTCTACCGCGAGTCCTTCATCTCCTCCAACAACTTCTGTGACATCAAAAGCACCAGAGCTTGCAGCTGCTGGTGCAAGTAAAAGTGCTGCCTCAAGTAGCTCTGTGTCACCTGCCCAGGAAGTTACTGGCGATGACAGTTCTGGACCGCTGGTGTGCGTGAGCAGTGTCAAGAGGTTTGGAGTGCATCACACGGACCAGATGGCAGAGCGACTCTTAACCGACCCTGAAGCAGGCTTTTGGCCAGAATCGAAACTGGCAGCACTCAGTGAGGATCCCACCTTCCAAGAGGAAGCGAAACTAGAAGATTGGTTTGAGGTACTACGCCTAAGAATCACGCTTGTTGTTAGATTGATCTGCGAGAACTAAGTAGTTGGAATTCAATTACTTAATGTCTGACCTGCGTGATGAGTTGTACTTCTATCTCTTGAAGAATCTACTTAGATTTTATCTTTAGTTCTTTCTCTCTGTACCTGGCGCTGACGTCGTCATTCTTGGCGACCTCCTCTTGCTCTTCTTCACCTTCAGATTGGCTGCCCGTACTCGGGGAGACCACCAGCAGCATTGAGTGGTGGTCACTCCTCGTATGGGGAAAGCTTCGCTCGTTTGACTCATAACGCGGTGTGCGATCCGATGCCTCTCAAAAGCGCTGGAGAGAGCGCAGGGGGCGGCGCACCACCTGAGCTTCCGTGCAATGCCTGTTATTCCTGGTCGGACTCGGGCGTCGACTGGGGCGCTTGCAAACCGAAGACTCCAAGCGATCCACCTTCCTGTGCGCTGGTACCGCTTAAGGAATTGCTCTGGGCGCAGCGGCAGGTCGTGCCTGCGGGTGTCTTTTCAAAACATCTGCCGCCACGCGTTGCGAGAGAACACTCCACGTCCATTGCCAAGCCTAACCTGGGCAGCTTGCAGTACGCCACCGGCATCACGAGCTACTTTAGCACACCAAGTCTTGGTCAACAAGATGACGAAAGCGAAGAGGGCGACAAGCACGCTGCTAGAGCTTCCAGAAAAAATGCGATCAATGTCATCTTGCATCACGATATGCCGATCCCTCCCCCGCCAGCTTCTGCTTCAAATGAGGCAAGAAAGCATGTTGCTGCTGCATCTTCAGCGTCCTCTTCCTACGTCTACCCACAGCTCCCGGTCGCGTTGCCGAAGCATCTGTGGCTGCAGGCGTACCCTAACGTGGCCAAGCGCTATGATGACCTTTTAACGGACGCAAAGAACAATGTACTAAATCCTCTTGCGAAATCCAAAGACTACCCAGCTATTTGCAGTGGCGCGCTTGGCGCCGGAGAAGGCGGGGCCGAGGCCCACGAGAAGAACCTGCGGCGGGCCTTTCATCGCGCACAGCAGCTCTTTCAAGACTGCCGCCGACTGCAAGACACGTATACCGACATCGTTCTCGGTCCGGACAAGACGGAAGGGACCAAAATAGAGTTTGATAAAGCTGTTTTGGGAGATGATGATTCCGATCCTGATGCCGCTGCCGCGGGTGCTGCAGGGGCAGCGGCAAATGGTGGCTCTTCAACTTCAGCAGGCAAAACTGGTAGCACTGTTGGTGGCAAAGGTAATTCATGGCTGAGTCCGCAAGAGGTGACAAAGATCCTTTTCGGGCAAGACGCAAAGGTCCCATCGTGTGGTGGACTCACCGAGCCTGACTTCATGCATGCAAAGGTCAACTTTCTGAACCTTTGTAAGAGAGTCAGCTGACACACAACACTGAATGTTGAGAGAGGTCGTGGTGTACCTCGTCATTTTCTCACGAACTTTTTATTTGGACACAGTGAGTAGACAAGGATTCTCTTTTATCTGTGATATGTGTGTGTGTGGTGTGTGGTGTGCCAAGCACCTGCCCCCGTGATCGAATCTGAAAATTGCTTCGAAACCGCAGCGACACACGACTAGCATTCTGTACTAAGCGTGCACATTCTAGTAAAATACGCTTTCTTGTCGTGGTAAACACTCACGCGGTGCCTTGTTCACAGGCTGTTTGATAATTTTGGTGTCACAAGATGCTTATGCATCGGTGGCCCGCCCAAGTAGAATCTCTAGATCTTTGCTAGGCTGCAAACCTGTCTGTTTGTGCGCCTGCTACTGATGTAGACGTATCCTACGTACACGCAGGCTGTGGCACCTCCACCGCTTAGGTTGTCACAACTGCATCCAGATCCATGGTTACTCCAAACTTAGCAGGACGAAAATTTTCATCGGCTTTTCTTTTTGAGTTGATCAACTAGGAGAACCAAAAGTGGTACTATCAACATCATCAGAACAATCTTTATCTTTCAACGCTAGCTACAATACCTCTACATCAAGAAAGTTGAACTAGGAGTGCGTCTTCTACGTGCTGCTGACTCAAAGCTCGAGAAAAAAATGGCGTACTTCCGGCAGATCATTGCGGCCTTGATTTGCGCTTCGATGACGTTGTTGATGCTCAATTCGGTACCGACTGAAGCTGCGAGTTTCATCTCATCGTTGTGCGGATGCAAGAGGCGCTTGACCGAAGCAGATGATCACAGCACGTCCCCATCTACAAAAGACACAACAGAGTTGAAGACCAGCGGGACGACTACTGCTGACCTCCACGATGAAATCTCACAGCACGATGCCCCCCTGCTAGAGAAGGAGGATCCTGTCGCTGTCGCGGAGGAGATTCACCGTGCTGCTTCTGGGTCTTGCTGGAAGTCAATTAGTGGCTCTGGACCTGGGTCAGCCTCGATTGATGAACCAGAACCTCGTCATGAAAACTTTGAGAATCACGACGCCAAGAACTACAAGAAGGAACAGATCGACACAAGGATGAAGGACAAAGCCGTGGCGCAACAATTGAAAGAACTGGAAGAAGCAAATCGAGAGACCAGAAAGAAGCTCGTCGACCTTTCTGACGAGGCTCGACGATGGCTAGTGGAATCGGCAGACTGGCCAATCTTCTCCTACAGTTGGAATCCGTGGGAGGCACTATCGGAGCTGAAGCGGGTCAGAAAGGAATACGGGCGACGCGTTAGGAACATGGAAAATCTTTATCTTGGGGGACTTGGATCTGAGCTGGTCAGGAGAACATACGAGAGGAATAATCGCTTTTATTGATATGCAAGAATAGCGAAGGTGTTCGACATAGCTAGTTGGGGTGTGTACTATATTTCGCTGACTATCGGTCTCCCACTTCCCTTCTCTCCAGTATTCCGTATTCTATTCGTATTCGTGGGGGCTGCGCATCCTACACGCAGCGTATGTGATTGGCCATCACATACGGCATTCATATTCTATTCGTACTCGTATTCACCCTATTCCTATTCAAGGATTCAGTACTCTCCTCTCTTCTCTTCTTTTCCCACCCTCTCCTCCCTCGTCTCATGACACACTAGCTCGCCAGCGGGTCCAATCGCACGCATTATGCGTCTGGCTTTCTTATTCTCACAACTCATGTCTGATTCGTGGTTCAAAACGATTGGATTCCGCTAGTGGGCTAGTCTGTCATGTTGACAGATTTAGCAAAATAGTACTCACCCTTTGTAGTCTGCACCTTCAAGCATGCGCCTCAAGCTTGATGGATCATGCATGCGGCTGACCGCCCTGGGCGAAGCAATGGAAAAGTGGGACAAAACGAAGGCTGCACTAGAAAAGTTGCAAACTGAAAGTGCTCGTCGTACTTAACTCGAGAGGGAAAAGAGCAGGTGCCGGAGAAGTGGTGAAAATTCAATGCCAAAACGCCATGGGTGTCAAGAAAAGCGGGCTAGGACCGCAAGCGTGATTGGGTGTATTTCTCCGGAAACGATGAAAACTCTTGATGTTTTGAGAAGGAGGAAGTACAAGTTCATTCGCAATTGATAAAATACTCAACTTTTGTATTTCAGACAGGACGCTTGCTTAAGATGCTACTTGTTGGTTACCGATGTCGACCTTTGGGGCCTTTCTGCTAGGTCCGATGTCGACCTTGATGCTGGTTTTGCAACGAAGAGAATCAATAAATAGGGTTGATGTCTTCAGATGATTTTCTAACGAAATAGATGGCTTTGACTTTGTCGTGATTCCCTCTTCTTGTGGTTCTCTTGACTTTGTGGTTCTCTTTTCTTTGGGAATCACCGCAATCAGTACTTGATAATATGGGGTCCACCTACTTACAACAACTCCAACGAAAAACAAAAATGTTCGTGTTTTCCCCGAAGAAATAATGGCCAAGTAGTGTTTTTCGCGACGTTGCCTTCAACTTCATTGGCTGACTAACCACAACCTAGTGATGGGAAGAAGCGCGATGTTGTCAAAAACTGAAAGACATAACATCAATGAATTGGAATGCAGCGCTTGCTGAATTGTCCTTCAGCGACGTCACCACGCCTCCCATCGTAGGTGGTAGATATAAAATCTACAAGAAATGAAGGAGGGATGAGAGGGCAACTACAAAGTTACGGGGGGCATCAAACGCAAAATGGATGTCGAAGCATAAGGTAATCGAGATATCCGAGGCGTCTCTACAACTTTGCGGGGGTGTCTGACTGTTACTCTGTTCCTCGCTTGTTCGACGTGGCTGCAGCGGTGAAACAGCAAACACGTCGATAGGCGTCACTCCTCGAATGTCCTCCAACTTTCCGGAGATGCATGTTCATCGAGGAAGTCGGCGTTGGCCGGATGGTTGCAGCGAACGCGAATGCGTAAATGAAAGCACTCATTTTCGCATGTGGGGGTGCGCGCGTAGGCGTACCAAATGCAGTACGATTCCGCTGAAGTCGATACGAGCGGTACTCTGGAGCTTCCTTTTAGACTTACGGAACACCGTCGGTGCTGGCAGCGCGCCAAGTGTGCCAGTGGCGTCCTATGGCGCCAGCCCACAGGTTCGTAAAAAGTCGTCAAGGAAACAGCAGCGTGCGACGGCTGCCGGCAGAACGACTCTCTCTACGAATGGCGATGGTCCTAGAACCTCAGGAGCGACAACGGCGCAGAGCGTAGGAACCAGTACGGATGTTGCCGAGGAAGATGGTTTTGGTGAAGATGGGAAGCAGCAGGACGCCAATCCGGATTTAAGGCCGACGATAGATGCTAGTAGAGGAGATACTCGAGGAAAATCAGGTTCGTTATCCACTTCAACATCACAGTCGTCTACGTCTTCGATGAGGAAAAGCACTACAATATCTACAAGGAGAAGATCTACACGACACCGAAAACAAACACAAAGGATGATGAATCCTGAGATTCAAGCAGGTCTTCCACCACGGTCGCAGCCTGCCGATACAGCAATTCTGTTTGCTGGCGTTTCTGGGGCTGCCGAAACGTTGGACGCGAATCTGCAGAACTTAATTCTGCCCTACCAGCCGGCACATGTCTTTGTGTGCGGATTGAATAAGTTAGGCGATGACGCTTTACAAAAGAAATGGGGACCCTGGCTGAAAGGTGTGAACTTCTCGCCACATCCGCGCAACAATCCTTTGCTTTACACGACGCAGACGGCAGGCGACATACAAGCGCGACTGAAAATCACCGAACAGGAATTCAATTCGAATCCCGCGTTTCACCGATCTGTGTTTAACGAGAGCAGCACTTCGCCTTGGTGTCTGGTCCACCCATTGAATGCGGTTTTGGATTTCATGCGTTGCTTCAATATGGTAGAAGTGGCCGAGATGGAGCAGGGCTTCTTGTACGAACGCATCGTAGCGTCGCGCCTAGACAACATTTTCCTGCAGCCGCACCCCCCAATCCTGACACCCTCCGGGCGCAACCGAGACTGGGAACGCTTTGTTGGGAGCGATGGCCCTCTGGGCGAGCGGGCGCGGAAACTTATCGGCCATAGGTATGTTTCAGAAAAAAGAGGCATTTCTGCGAAAAGCCACCGCCTGCACGATCTCATGGATGTCACGATCAACACAGGCAGTCGCGACGTGCACGAGTTGTATCTGCAATGGAGAGACGAAAATCGAAAAGACTTCAATGAAAATTCATCAGGCGCTGCCGCTTCGTCAGCTCTGTTTGACAACAGCGGTAGCACTCCGACTAGTCTCGCGACCGTTCAAAATCTCGACGGTCAAACAGCAGAGGGGGCCTATAGTGATCGCTATCACGTTCAATATCGCAGTCGTGTGTCCAACGTTTGTTATATTCCTTGCCCCGGCCGTGATTGGGGCCACGGGATCTGCGACCACCATGCTGTCTGCGATCGCATGGGCGGTGAGCATTATGCGGGTGCGCGCATGTTCCTCCTGACTCGCGCGCCGAACGAAATCTGGATGCAGCGGAACTTCTTTGACAGCTTTATCCCGGAAGTGGTCTTGAAAATCGCGTTGGATTTCAGCGGAACTCAGGTGAGGCGTTACCGCCACTCCCATGTGCGAACCTGCAATCGCGAGCAGTACGAAGGCGGGTTTCTGTATGGGCGCATGAAGCACTGCTATTTTAGCGAAGAGCTGCAGCTGTACCATAAAGCTGGAGTGCACTTTCCCGACAACTTCGGAGCCCATTTCCGGAGTGAATCCTGGAAACGATTTCGTAATAGCGTGCTTTTCAGTAAAGATAGTACTACGAAGAGCGCAAACAAAAATGTTGAATCTTCAGCAGCTGTACCTGGAGGAGGGCAGCAGGAGATGACGAAACGACCAACGACAAGGAAAAGTACCAAAGTTAGACTCCAAGTGAGTGCCGGGAGGGGCGATAAGAAGCAGATGTGGACAACGCTGGAAGATGACTTGTTTCGTTACTCGGACAACAATGATCGCGTAACATTAGAAGGCCTCAAGTTTCATCTAAATCGTGGCAACTACGCAGTGCGAACTCTCAACGCAGTCCTCAAGGAAGTCGTATTTGGGGTGCAGACGACTGCAGGTAATGACTACCTCAACCTTCGTGGAAGTAATGTGGCCTCTGGAATTGGAAATAAGGGGAACCCTCTAGTGGGTATTCTCGGGCAGGAGCCACCAGATGATAGCGCGGGGAAATACGCAGCTGCTGCGACGCCTTTTGATCGAAACACTTTCGTCCAGTATTCTCCTCCTTATCAAATGTTTATCGACGAGTACAGCTGGTTCTTTAGCCCGATGACTGTGCACTTCCACAACGCGGTCCTGTCCGTTTTCCGTCACTTCTTCAACAAGTTCGTGGCACACGTAATAGCGGCTCACCCAGCGGCTGCCGATAACGAACGAAACGCGTTGCTAGATTCATCAACCTCAGAGGTTCCGAGACTGCCGAACGCAGCTGCTTCCAATGCAGCCGCCGTGATGCTCGAGGAACAATTTTTTGCAGGGAAAGCAGGCTGGAGCTTATGGGGGCTGTTTGGGCGCGGCAAGGACGCGCTTGTTTCCAGCACTGCGGGAGCCCTTGAGTTGGAGAAACAAGTGGGAGATGAATCAAATGAACATCTTCACGGAAAACAAGACGAGGCAAATTTTGCTGACGAGGAACTATCGAGACGGAAATCGATGAAGCCGGAGAGCGCTGACCTTGTAGCTAGCGACCATGATGCGAAAACGATTGAAAAGCTTTGGTATGGTCTCTTCTGGCGATCTCAAATATACCGGCGCGCAGTAGGAGAAAGCGAGGACCTGGCTGCAGACATGAAGGAAGGCCGCGATTGGTTTTTTCGTCTCTTCCATGCAGTTTTCGCGTTGCCTCGATTGTTCGATCCTCCCAGCGGGCTCTTGCCATCCTCGTCAAAGTGGAACGCGTTGTTTGATCCGATAGAAGAAAAACCAAGAGAAGGCACGGCGGGCACCGGTGAAAAAGATGTTGCCAATCTGCGGGCTCTCCTAAATAACAGAAATCACCTTTGGAGAAAGTCGAGTGGAGAGGAAGAAGACGGCGAACAAAAGCACCTTTCGCAGGACAAGGGATTGGCTTTACTAGGAAATAGAACGAAGAACAATGATTCTGACTTTGGTTTAGAACATTTCTTGCCTCGACGAGTAGAGCCACCAGAGAGCTCATCAGTGATTTTGAACAACCCTTTACTCCAGTGGGCTTTTCTTCCTGTGCGAGTAGACCTTAATTTTAGCAGCGACGAGACTACTGCCGTTCGTGAAGTCGCACATGCCCCTGACTCAGAGAAAGGACAGAGGTTCGAAGTCCGAGGAACCTCAGAGAAAGAAATGGTAGGACTAGAGCTCACAGACGAAGAGCTGTTCGAGCGGACATGTTGGGTCCCATGTCCGACAGTAGATTGGGAGTTCATTTGCCACGCATTCGGGGTCTGCGATGCAACGGGCGAAGAGGATGAAGAATATTTTTCGTCTGTCTTTGACGATGACGGTGAAGAACTACTAGACGAGAATCATGCTGAAGATGAGCCGGAGGAAGGTTTGCTCCACCTGTCGTCCAGCGGGGCCAGCAGTAGAAGTAGAGGCCGAGCTGGAGCTCTACGTGAACGCACTCTTGGTTCATCGACGATGAGGAATAACGATGATGTCCCGCATACCATCGTGAGCGCAAGTATGCTGCGCCAATCCCTTCAGCAGGACGTTGTAACCGCGCATAGTAACTGGGTAACCCCTGACTGGAAAAGCCGATCGAACGTTCAGATCGATGGTCGAGCCTTTGGGCGGAGGCATGATGCGTGGGTCGCGTCGGGACATGGCGCTGCCGCTTCTGCAGACGAAGATCAAAACGAAGATGTTGAGAAGCCATCCGATACGGGTACTACAGAAGCAGAACAAGCACCAGATCAACGAGAAAGAGACAGGCGCAAGGAGTCGTCGAAAGATCATGAGCAGGTGGATGGAAGAACAGCTTCGTCTGCGCCGACCTCGTTAACCTCCTCGATGAAAGCCCAGCGCGAAATTGAGCGGGCACATATCCAAGCCGTGAGCAGTAAACGAAATTTGAATGCAGCACTAGAAGCAGCTGCGGAAATCGACAGGAAAAAGGAGAACGGTGAGCTCACAGATGACTCAGAGCCAGAGCATACTGCGATAACGACGGATGAACTGGTGGAGCATTGGCGCGGACTATCATCCATGTGGCCTATGAACAATGCACATGAACACGACGAAGAAAGCACAAGTGAAGATGCCGCTCGCCAAGATAAGCATGACCACGCTTCCTCCAACATACTGGCATCTTTTGTCAATAGTGATGATCTGAAGCGTACTGTCCATCACAGAAATTTAGCGGAGGACGAGGAACGAAAAAAGAGAGAACATCAAAATAGCGACAACGCCCCTGGTGCATCATCAACAAAATCTTCAGGAGCGCACTCTGCTATGCACTGGGCGCACCAACAGCACGATATGGCCGAGCTAGAGGGAACGAAGCGTGGCTATCGAGTGATGCTGTCAGTGGGGAGCGTCCAAAATGAAGATGGCTCTGATGCTGGCGAAGTTGCTTGTCAGACTGATTTCAACCGAATCTTTCTCAAATACAACTGGGCTTTGGACGAATATTACGCGGACAGTAAAAATCACTACTACAACACTCCCATGCAGGTATTGTACACGGATGAACAGGCGGTGACGTGCATTCATCCGAGCTTGCCTGAGCACAAAGCCATGGTCACACAACATTCGCCCTGCCGTGCATACACGTGGAAAAAGAGCTGGAAAAAGCCTCTGAACCGCGCTTATTTCAAAAAGCAAAGCTGCAAATTTGGATGGGAGTTAAGCCTCGTGCTTCCAAGGTCACAACGAAGGAGAAAGATGCCAACAAGAAGATCAACATTTTCGTCCACGCATCAAGAATCTACTTCTAGAGGACAAGAGTTTTGCGAGCGCGCCGACCGCCCTGAACAGTGGTCTGAACCTGACTATGTTGATGCGCAGAGTGAATTGCCGTTTTTGTCTGCTGAAGCGCAAGCATGGTGGGCGAAACGAGCGCGCGCCAATCTCGTACCCCATCATCCCCATATTCCCCGAAATTTCACCACGTCTTCGGTGTACAGCTTTCTGAAAAGCATTCTCTTGCCGGTAATCATTCACGACCGTCACATCTTCCTGCCGCGCCTTGAGCAAGCCCAGATCGACACGACCATTCCGGGTCATCAAGCCGATTGAGCGGAAGTTGAGGACAACGAGCAAAAACGAGGAACAAGAATAAAACACCACAAAATAAATGTATATTGATTCATTGCTTCAAGTAGTACATGTTGATATTGATTCATTGAAGCAAGAGTAACGCCAATAATTTGTAATAGATACTTAAAGATTTTTACGCTTACGACCAGCAAGATCATGCCAAGTCGCGCAATATGGCTAAGTTTGATGATGCGGCTTCCCTCTTTTTCCTTATTCGCTTCCAACACAAAAAGATACTTTTCGTTTTCCTTGTTACAACACACTACGCAGTGTAGTCTTGAAATGTCTGGAATCACGACAGGCACGAAGGTCGCACTGGAAGACATCTGTACCAAGACGAGTCTGTTTGACATACAATATTGAATGTGATGAGGAGTGAGGACTTGACCTGCACCTTGATCTTGTTGAGATGAGAGTGTTGAGAGAAGCCATTGCGCTGTAAGGCCACTCTGTGTCTGTATTCCCTTTCGTCATTCACATGAAGATTGATCTGTTGACGTCGAGAGGTGCAAGTGCGACAAAGAACGACGAGTGATGTCTTGTACCAGAATCATTGGATGATGTCTGTCATGAGTATGAGCAGCCCGTCTGTAGTGTGCATCCACGCTTGAGAAAATATCAGATGAAAGCTATCCGTCCTCTAGAGTCCCGTTTCTGTGCGTCACCTTTAGTCCATTTGATTTCCTTTGTTTCTTCAGAGGTGCATTAGCTTTTTGTAATTTTGCAACTGCAGGTTTTCTACGAGGTTTTCCCCCATATTTCCTGTTATCTACAACGTAGCACGACTCTTGTTTTTCATCAAGAACTAAATTTGATTCGTTTGTTTTTGTGGATTCCAAGTCCTCCAAAAACCGTTGTTCCCCACGATTCTCCCCCGTTCAAAAACTATTCTGGAAATCAATATTTATACCTGCTCCCTTGTATGTGGTCTTCATTCCAGCCTACAACTGGTACTACTGCGTCTGCTGCTCGATTGATGAACAACACCAAACATACGAGATGGCTCCAGCATTGAAACCGACCTTGAAAAAGGTCGCACCGGAGGAGAAATCTATGCGTGGTACGACCTTCATCTACAGGTCATGCTCGATTGCTCATCCCTTGAAGCCTTCCAAGGGTAAAGTGGAAAACGTCAATGCAGGCCGATACAATGGTATTCACGTTTTATTGTTGTTCATTCTATTGATGCTATTGTCTTGGTTTTGAGTTATCAATGCTGCAGGGCGATACAAAGCATTCCAGTGATGTCATTTTGAGTTGTTATCAATGTACGACGATACAATGGTACCGTTTTCATTCTATTTCAGAGATCTATCACATGATTTGGGTTCATCTGTATCAATCTCTTCACCAGGAAATGAATTTGAACAAAAGTTGATAAAACTGAAATTTCTTGGATTTTCTTTGAAGATTTGAATTCGAGATGTGGATTCTTTGTCACTGTCAATTTGTTCGGCGGGAAATGAATTTGAACAAAAGTAGATATAACTGAAATTCATGGGCTTTTCTCTGAAAATTTGGAGTCGAGACGTGGATTCCTTGTCACTGTCAATCTCTTCGTCAGGAACTGAATTTGACTCAAAGGCAATAAAACTGAAATTTCTTGGATTCTGCTTGAAAGTTTGGGTTTGAAACTCAATTTTCTCACAAAGAATCATAGTATATCTGGCTGGAATCACTTATCGAGGCCTTCTGATTTCTAGAACTTCCAGATGTTTGGAGATTGTCGATTATTCATTCTATTTTGATTGTTAGCGCTGCCCACTTCCTTCGATCGAAAGTTGACGCATACTAATTATTCTAAATATTATGAAGACCGTTCACCTATGAAATCGCCGCGGGCTTTTTCGCTCGGTTGCGCCCTAAGTTGGAAAGTTGTGGAAGTTGTGGCCCTTGCGATGACTAGGCTCAAAATTGCTGCGACTAGTCGCACAATTGCTGCGACTAGTCGCAAAATTACGCTGGCGAGCCTCAGTCTTACTGTGACGAGTCTCCGCCTTACTGTGACGAGACGCGTCTCGGTCTGACTGTGACCATTTTCAGACTTACTGCGACGGCGTTCGCGCTTACTGTGACTGCACTAGTCTAGACTTACTGGGACTAGTCTCAGACTTACTGCTACTAGTCTCAGACCCACTGTGACCAATCTCAGCCTCACTGTGACTAGTCTCAAACTTACGGCGACTAGTCTCAGGCTTACTGTGACTAGTCTCGCGCTCACTGTGACCAGTCTCGGGCTTGCTATGGCTGGCCTCTGACTGAGTTCGTCGGGCTGTTCGAATCTTAACACCATCAGAAGCTGGCGCCCGTGTATTCTGATGACGTTAAGATGATTCGAACAGCCAGACAAACGCAGCCAGCGAGTAGCTAGGGGCAGCAAATTCGAAACTAGTCACAGTGAGCGCGAGACTGGTCGCAGTAATTTCGAGAATGGTCACAGCAAATTTGAGACTAGTAGTCACACCAAGTTTGAGGCTGAACCCAGTGGTGTGAGCCTCAGACCCGTCACAGTAAGCTTGAGACTAGCCACAGCAAGCTTGAGACTCGTCGCCGTAAGTTTGAGACTCGTGACAGTAATTCTGCGACTAGTCACAGCAATTCTGCGACTAGTCGCAGTAGTTTTGCTACTAGTCCCAGCAATTCTGCGACTCGTCACAGTAAGACTGAGACTAGTCACAGCAAGCTTGAGACTAGTCACCCTCACAGTAGCTGCCGCAACTCCCACAACTCGGACGCAACTCGTCACAACTTCCACAGCTTGGAAGTAATAGAGCCCAACACTTTCGTAGGTGTTTGGTCTTTCTAAAAATAATTCAGGCGCTCACTATGAATACGTGGAAATGCCTGCTGTTCTCGCGCCAATCTTTCGGCCCACTGAGCAGGATACGTGGATGAAAGCCAATGGTGATTCACTGAAAAAATCGGGTGTCAAGCGTGTTGCAGCTAAACATACGACACCGCCAGCGGGAAAGCGAGAAAACAGTGGCGTTGACCTCATGCTTGCTGCGTTCGCTTCTAAGGTCCATCGAAAGGAGGACGTAAGGGAGCTTTTTGCGGTGCACATAACGAAGGACAACGCGGTAAGCTTCACTTTTCATTTATCATGGCAATTCGGAGATTCAAATTTCATTTATCATGGCGAATTCGGAGATTCAAATTCTTCTATCACCACACTGTTCTTACCAGAAGGGAAATTTATTTTTTATGTCGACGGTACTCCGAGTAGTATTCTGGTTCCACGACCACCCGATGTATGACGATCATGCTCCTTCTTCTGCTAGAAGTGGTCGTGGCAGTAGTACCGGATCCTGACCTACGACTTATAATCTTCCGCGTCAAATTGAAATTACCCTACTTGGACTCCATGTGTCCTCCCTCAGGTTGTGTGGCATGCCGGTCCTTTCGGACAGCCTACTCTTTTGCAGTTCATAATGGGGCTGGTTCACGAGTCACGGCGATCCATTATGCGCCTGCGCAACACGATAGCTGCTAGCTCAGCCCTGGACGAAGAGCGGTCTCCGTTCTACACGAAGGAATCGTCCTTGTCGTTTAAGTTCGTCGCCCGCACGTTGCTCTTTTTACGGGGTTTGGTGCACAACGACATAAAGGAGCTGGCAAAGATGATTGGGAACGAGTGTGACGTGATCGACCATGAGACGCATGCACACGGGCGCGCAAGTGTCTTGCTGTACTACAGAACGCAAATTGCCGAGTATATGGCTGCTGCGAAAGACCTGAAAAACAACTGGACGTCTTTAAATTTCAACAGCTTCAGCTCGCACTCGCCGGCTGATGAGACGCCCTACAACGAAGGAGCGTCTCCGAAAAGCACGCGCTCGCTGTCGCCGGATGCTCGCAGCCCCACAACACCGAAAAACGGCGGCAGCCCGTCAGCCACGTCGCACGGTGTCGCGCGACCGCCTCTGGTGTTCTTTCGTATTCCCGCTATCCTGTCCGTTGACGTGGCGCATCGCGCCGTGGACTACCGCATCGAGTGCACAGCTCCTGGATTCGAGTGGTGCGGCGTTCAAACCGTCCACTTTGATGAGCAACTAATGGTCCAACGAGTGCAAACCCAGGTCCACGGACTCCACCACGAACTTCCGGCCGCGGATTACCAATACGAGATGGTCCACGTTGAAACCGCCACGTCTAATCTCAATGCTGCGGGAGGCGGACGAGCAGGCGGCGCGACTACGGGACCAAGCACCAGTGGACGGGCTTCAGCAAGCGAGAGTGGAAGCATTACCCGCGGATTCCATCGACGTTCCACAACCAGTGCACCCGAACAAACAGAACAAGACAACACTCCTGCACGCGAAGCTGTTCCTGTTGTTACGCTTGAAGTGCCGTCCGCTGCCGGTCCAGTTTACACTGGTAGACTTGATTCCCCACTTGGCGTCTTACTGTACTTCGAGGAGGCGGCAAGCGCGTCCTCGAAAGCTCTGTTAGCTCTCGCAGAGTACTTACAGGAAAAGCACAACATGTTTGCGGTCTACAAGATCGCTGCGGGACAGGACGAGGCGGAATTGTTAGACGCGGCAGAAACAGGAACAAAAACTAGTTTGAGCGCGCAGCTTCAGCAAGACTTGATCTTGTGGTGCAATAAGGACCTGGCGGAGTCGCCGTTTCAGGCAGATATGGGACCTTCCAATGCGGCCGTTGTGGACGTCTGCAGCAACCTGTTTGACAAGGATGTATTGGATCAGTCTGAATCCGTCTACGAAATCGATGCTGTCTGCTTACCCGATAGCGGTTCGGCGTTCACTCTCCTGAACTTGTACAGACGGTTGGACGCCGATGGCGCGATCACACTGTTGGCGAGCGCGGCGCAATGTGCGGAGCTCGCGCCAAAAGTGGAGACAGTTCTGGGCAGTCGGTTGCCGCCGGAGGTCTCCTCGCGATCTGGACTCGTACTTACGGCGTCCGTGGACGTCGAAGCTGGCAAAGTAAGCGCGCCCGCTCCACTCCGGTTCCACGCCTTGGCGGATCTGCAGTGCAGCCTCAAGGGCGCGGCGAAAGTGCTGTCGCAGGTCGTCCCTGAAGTAGAGGACGCTACCTCCACTGAGGAAGCACCGCTGCGCCCGAGCCTAGCTGGGCTGCAGCACGGATCAACATCTGCATCCTCCTCTTCTACTGACATGAGTATGGCTCGCTCCTTCGTTGTCGTGAATTTAGAGCACTACAGAATGAACAGCACCGATGCTGGAGCCGCTGCGTCGTCAATAGTGGAGACTGCTTGCCGCGCACTTGTGTTTGCTTTGGGTGCTGACCCAGAGGCTGATCCTCTGGTCGAGATGACACTCCAGCAGCAAGCCGACGAAACGACACAGCCTGCCGACTTCGTCGAACTCAACTCAGCGGGAGGAGCATCGTCATCGTGCAAGCTACGCATCGTCACTTCGAAATCATCGCAAGCACGTCTCGTCTGGGAGATGCTCACAGAGTAACAGCACTAAACACTGTTGACACGCACACGAGCCTTGGCCTTCTATTCAGTAAGAAGGGCAACTGCAACTGGCTAACTACAGTGTTACAACAACAAATCAGTACTGTGTCAGTTCCTTACATTACAACTAGCGATGATTCAGTATTCTTGTTCAATGCTATCTTCAATTTGCAAAAATCTTAGTACATAGATATCCATAAGATTCAACATGAAGATGACATACATAACATCCAATGGCAGTGTGAGCGGCTAGCATGCATTCGTCATCTTGAATTTCAAATTCAGATTCCTTTCTTGGCGATCACAGTCACATCAGAGGTGACGGAAACTGATCGCAAATCGCTTATAATTAATGATAATTTTTTTTTTTTATTTTTCATTCATAATTGATCGTTGTACTATTTCCCGGCTCTATTCTCTCGCTTACCAGTTATTTTTGGGGATGCTTGCCGTTGGTGGTGCAGCTGTCGGGATCACATTTAAGGGCTTTTTTGGTTATTTCTTATACCTTGCGAAATCAGATGAAACAGAATCAGAATGAATGTACAATTACTTTTACTTAGGTAGAAGAGAATAGTTTTTTAGTGTTTTGCTCATGAAATTTTCGACAGGGGAGAGGGTACAGTAAAAATCGTAACAGCAATCATGTATACCATTGATTCGAATTGGAAAATGGAAAGTCAATAATGTCGATCTGAACATCAAATGTGACCTGAAGTCAGATACAAGAAAGCAAATATGAGGTTATATATAGAGATGTCATATTTGTCACTAGTAACGTGATGTTGCTCCGATGAATTCTTTTGTTGTTCTTGTCAACCTGTAGAGCGATCAAAATAATCGAGGACGAGGAGATAGTTTTAGTTGCTTATAACTTAAAATGGTTACGGTAATCGTGGTTACAGAAATTTGTTTGGATCTATACTAGATAAGTGAATCCAGATCCACAGGACAAACAGACAAGTATGGTCGATTCTGTAACATGAATTTGGTTTTGGTTTTGGGAGAATTACACGTCGACGTGGTATTCGACGCTCTCGTGGCTCGGAGAGGCAATGGAAACCTAATCAGTGCTGCGTTCTTCCCCAAATCGGGCGGTAGCTAGTTGGCTCTTTCATCGGAAAATCGGTGTGTGTGAGCTTTATGACGTGACATCTTCGGTTGCACAAGCTCGAAATCTGTTAGATTTAGCAGGTAAGCGGAGTTACCACGCATCGACCTCCTTCAAACTTCAGGCACAAACAATGAGAACTTTGAAGACGTGCGCTGTCGATTTTCGGTCGTCTTCAATCGTGTTTCTCGGACCTCGTGTTTCGGTTTTCGAAAAGCATCTGCCTTGCGTCGCCCCCAAGAAATGTTTCACCTGAGTAGATGGTGGCGTGGCTTTTCGTTTGCGGCTCGACGTTTATCTCGTGTCTGTTGCATCTTATGCTCAACACACTTCTAACAGCCATGCTTTGGGAGTTTTTCAACGCATTGAGTTCCCGGTTAGATGACAGTGAAATAGATAGAAGTCATACTTTAAATACGACTAGGACTAGGTAGAAGATCAGATGTATTCTGGAGTCATGTCAGTGTCAGAAAGGACCCTCATTTTTGCCAAGAAGAACAAGCGAAGAATAGGAGCTCAATCTTAGGCGCGGGAGCAACTCGGTGTTTTCACATGAAGCAGAAGGTTCAGACGTTCCAACTACACATGTCCTAGCTTCTAGGATTTTTAGGCGTGCGACAACGTCGACAAGAGTATAATGTTGAGCGCGCCTGCAGAGTACTTCCTTGCGTGGAGTCTACCTCCTACAAAGACATAGTTTCTTTTGAATCGCCAGGGGTGGGAACCGCGTAGACCTTCAGAGATCGAAGCACGGCATCTACTGCGCTAACCAGCACATCGAATTCGTTTTTTTCTGCGGTAGTGCCTGTGTACATTGGCATGGACATCGACATCCCCGAAGGACTCAACCAGAAGCAGTGGGCTTCCGTGAAGTAGACACTAGGCAGCTGGTTTTGTTCGTCAACCGAGCCTCACGATTTCCGCGGAGACCTAGAAGTAGCCCTACTCCCCCGAACTACACGTACATCCAAAGAACATCTCCGCGTCTGCTCGTTCTCTTTGGGCTTCTCAAAACGAAAACGAACAACGCTTCCCGTTCCGTGCGCTAGTCTGACTGATCCAGGAGTTACTTGCAGAAGTTGTGAGTTTGATTCCTCCAACTGCTCAGCTCGCCTCGCACACCTTGAAGTTGTAGTGACCACGACTAGTTCCTCTTGCTACAACTCCCTTTAGCAGCGTTAGTACACGAGCACTTGTTGAACGGAATCCCCGGTCTCAAACAACTCCTCCTTCAAAGCTAGCGACTTTCCTCAGGAGCTCGAGACCCTCGAATAAGCTAGCTGTGTTGCGTCATTGAGACTGCACGCTAACGTGGTGAAGAGAGAGTTTAGTCGACCACGAAGGACCTGCTCGTCTTCATCAACTTCAGCTGCATCTTCAAGTATCGCGATTTAATAAGGTTCACTTTGACTTCTAGGAATACTTGTACGAGGACACATCCTGCCGTGATAGAAGCGCGAATAAGAAGAACAGGTACAACATCGCAGCTGATTAAGAGCAGGATCAGTATCCACCCTCTTCAGACGTGATCGAAAGAAGAAGACGCCCTCTTCTAGAAGTTCCATTCACGCACGAAGACCACAGATTCAGATTCGCATCATTTTCTACATTTAGTGGCGGACTAGTAGAGATATATCGAGCAACGAAAACGAATGTAGACACGAAGCCGCGTGACAGCACCCTCGTTGCTGCTAGTCACAATCGCGTCCTTACAGAAAAAGCCAATAGGATCCAGCACAACTACAACTTACTTGGTCTGAACTACTTGTACTTGGAAGAAGTAGATTGATGAGCACGACGAACTTGCTTGTCCATCACCAGTGAAACCTGGTCTAGTACTTCTCCGACTCTCGTCTTGCTGCCATCAGACGAGCAAGTGGGCAGAATGGAGGCAGTTCTAGAAAATTATTTTGACGAGTCCACTCGTCAATTGCGAAGTGGTGCACCGCAAAAAAATGACGTCAAGTTGCCACCAATACACGCTGGGCCCACTGCGAGTGCCAGCAGCTGTATTCTTGCGTTCTTTGCATGTGTGATGTTGCATAGATATAGAACATCGTGTTTGTTTAAGAAATACAACTTTTGCTGTATTCATCTGGCATCGAATACCTTCGAAAAGCACTGCAACTGCATGTTCTCACAAGATCTTAAGAAACCTATCGTTCAAGACGTTTAGCCGCCTACTCCTTCACTTCACAGCAAGCCTGCCGCCCGGGATGATGACAGAAGCCTCATTCAATCTCGCAACGCAGCCAAGTGCGAAACCACCTCGAGAACATGTAAACCTTACCTTTCGTTTTCCTTCATCCTCATTACTTCTCATCGGAAATACACCTGCGCACCAATAGAATGTTGAACTTTTGATGCAATACTGTGATGCATTTTTTGCTTTTTTCGAACTAAGTAGTACAGTGACAGCGTGCGTACTTGGTGATACCACTTATATCAATTTCTCTACATAGTGTATCTCATACCATCTTCCCTCCATCAGGTTATGCGGTCTTTGATCGAAGAAAGATACGAGGAAGTACTGAAGGAGAACGAGAAACTGAACAGGAAAATACGGGGTCTCCATGACCAACTATCCATAGTACAGGCGAAAAAAGATGCATACAAAGGGCAAAGTGAGAAATCAGACCGGGAAGTGGAACAGGTGCAGAAGGCATTCGATGCTGTGCAACGTGATGCACAGAGGTACTAGACTTGACATTTTCAACCTCCTAGAATTGTCATATTTGATAACTTGCTATAATCACACATTATTTTTGTTCTATAACCTACTTATTTTCTTATTCTTTCGTACTACCTATCAAGAATAAACGCCAATTTCTGTTACTTTTTAGAGCATTTTTTGTTTCTGCACATTTATACAACTACTACAAAAGATTGATATTTACAGCTTCGGGGTGACTGTATATTAGAGTTCGCTGACAATACAATGTTGTTGAAAAGACGTTGTTAGATAATGAATCTGACTTAAATGAGATGAAGTCAAAATTCTATGTTTCAATTCTTAAATTCATCAAATTTCTTGTTTCAATCATATAATTTGACCTGTTTTGTCTGGTATTCAGACTTTGTTAACACATCCCTAACCTAAAAAACACATTAAAGCACTCAAACATGCGAATAGTCACTAATTCAGATGCATTCTACTGAAAATTCCTGAAATTTGACTGTTTTCTTCGAATTTGACACATCCAGATGAAAAGCCAACCTCAGGAATTGAATTTTGAAAAGATGAGATAAAATCAGAAATTCTTGGATAGGGCTTACTTTCGTGAAATTTTTTTCTCACTAAGTACGACTACATTCTGCATTTATTTCTGAATTTCCACCCAGAATTCAAAGCGAAAACGAGTACTGGGCTAGCGCGTCTCGAGAGGCAGTGGAAATGATGAATGAGATGCGACAGAATCACATCACAGAGGTGAGGTTATTGCAGCGAGGATTGCAGAATAGGCAGGGCGAGGATAGCAAAAATAGGGTATTTCAACATGAGCGTATCATAAGTTTAGATGATAACTTTTGATTGATTCGACATGATCTACTATTCTTGCTTGGACAACTCTTTTTCTTTCGTCGTTGTCCCTGCTACGGTACATTCCTTTTACGAACGAACCAGGTAAATGAAATGGCAGACCTGTTGGATAGGCTAGGTAAGTGTATAGTGCAGCGGGACGAGGTGCTGAAAGAGAAGACTAGGCTGAAAGCGCAGCTGCATCAGTCAAGGCAAGAGGTGAAAACACTGCAAGACGAGAGGAGAAAGTTTCAGGCGTCGACAAAGAAATATCAGGTGAGCATATTATTATAGTTGCTTTTTTTTTTATTTGCCTTCAGAAGGGTATGTGACAACCTGCTTTTGCTTGCTGGCAACTACAAGACTTTTTTTCCTATCATACTTACAAGAGCGGCCTCTTCCATCTATAGATAAATCAATGTCCAGCAACACATCCATACAAACAGATACAACTATCGGAGCTGAGTAAGGCGAACAGTATTTTAATGGGCGAAACAGGTGGTGGCGGGAAGGGCGAGGAAGACGACCTTTCGGACGACGAATTTGAAGAGGAGCTGTGCAATTTCGAGAGGAGATATCAGGTAATGAATGGATTTTTACAGAAGACCGTTCATATTTCAACAGCTTGAGAAATCTAGAAATCTAGTGGTTCTGACTCATGGGAGTTCGAAGACATTCAACACGAGTCTCGATCAAGTTCTCATAAAGGTAGTTTGCACGACCTCGACCAGGAGCTATTCGCCTTGTTAATCGAATATTTTTATTTCTTCTTTTCCTCGCCTATCTTGTTGAAGGTCTTGGACGAGGGTGCCAAGGGCTTAGACCATTGGGTAGAGAGCCTGCACAGGGAGCGCGGCCTCCTAGAAAAGAGTAAGACAGAGCAGCAGGATCTGATAGGTAGTCTCGAGCGCAATGTCAAGAGCTATCATTCACTTTGCGACCAGAAAGACCTAAAATATGCGGATATGGAGTCAAGATACGCCAAGGTGCAGAGCGAGTACGCAAGACTCCAGACTCAGGTACAGGGATTAGCCGTTGCTGCACTACTTGATAGTCTTAGTTGTTTTCACTTCTATGAAACGTACGCTGTCGTCTTTCCGGAAATAATGCAATCTGGTAGCTGGTACTGTTTGTCTGCACTGACATTCACAAACACTGACACATTCTTGATCTTGCTTTGATGTCTGTCTCTGTGCGCATACAAACATACTTCAACTTCTTCTACAGGTTGCCCAGCGGCAGCAGGACATCGAGTATCGAATCGAGGCCGAGCGGCGTAACTTCGAAGTTCGCATCAAAAAGATGCAGACAGAGTTTGAGCACGCGTCGTCCACCGCCATGGGCTACCAGACGCTCAACGAGAAACTCCAGAATGAGTTGATGAAAGTCCACGATGCCTACACAGCTCTAGAGGTGGGCGCACAGATGGCGGACCCAGAAGAGGAGGCCGAAAGAAGGAGAATAGAGCAAAATGCAATGGACCCGAACAAACCCAGAGTCATATTCCCACAAGAAAGGAGCGACAAATACGACATATTGTCACAGGTAACTATGAATGTAAAAGTATACCCTCACCTTCAGCTCCACCAATGATCAATTCCATCACTACATGATGAAAACTATATTATTCATAGCCTTCCAGTACCAGAAGTACCAGTTCCACTTCATCTAGTTCTTTCACCTTGCCGCAGCAGTTGTTGTTGCACTCGCAATCAATTAACACGACTTGTTTGAAGAAATTTGATGTGAATTACTTATGATTATAAATATACCTAGAACTCATCCTCCTCCGTGATGTCCGCAGATCATTCCCTGCTAAATTTACACTCTCACTCTACTACATTTTTCAGGTGGCGATGGATCCGCAGACTTTGCAACTATTTGTCCGGGATGTGATCGCAGACGTGGTGAATCGTATGGCGGATAAGGCTGGATTTGGCCATCTGTCAGTGGACCAACAGTTTATGTCAGCATCACTCACCAATTTCAAGGATGTCATCGGTGGTGGCCTCGGCTGGAATGGCGAACCAAACATGCTCGCAGCCCAGGCCAGCTTTACAAGGACGGGAGAGCTCCTCAATATGGAGGTTCTTTGTCTTGGAGGAATTTCACTCTGTGAGACTAATGATCAAGAATTTGTTTCTAGTACCGTTTCTACCCACAAGAAATATCGGAACTATAGAAAATTTTTCTTAAGAACCGTTCAGCTTCATCAAGCCAAAAAAAAACAAAAATTTACTTTCCTGAGATCAAGCAAGAGGACGAGAATTAAAATTATTCTCACACTAGGTTTGGCTCGTGGGCCCAGAGCAGATGGAAGTTCGAGGGCACGAAGTCAGCAGCAACGAGCGGTTCACGCTCGATTTGCCGGAGGAGCTGCTTACAGAGTTGGACCAGGAGGATCCATGGACGGAGCTGTTCCAGATGGTCGGCATGGTCGCTGGCCCGCCGCGCAAGATGGTGTTCCCGACGTTGTTGGGGCGAAAGGAGGTCACCATAGCACCGTCCAACATGGAAGTGATTCTCACGATCTACATGTACGACCCGAGAAGGTACTACCTCCAGGTGTACCACGTCACCACGCAGCGCATGGCGGATCTAATCCTGAACGAAGACAACGTCACAGACGACATGGCACAGGGACTAGCGCCCCTGCTGAAGAAGCCAGAGTTCCTCTACGAACTCATTCGAAAGTGCCTCCTCCTCGTGGACAAAGAAAACGAGGCAGGACCTTTGGAGCCAGCAGTGCTAGACCTGCGATGCGAGTACGACCCTAACAAATCCGTCGTACCAGGCGAGGAGAAGTAGATGAAAGCTCCACGACCTTTGCCACGAAGATCTTCAATAAATGTACTTATGAATATATAAATAAGTTGATGATGAAGATGATATCTATCAGACATCATCTGCGTGCTATGTTTGTGCAGGGCAAGCTCATGCTTAGCATGCAAGAACTGAAACATGCTCATGCTCGCACGAGTCCGACGTTGCCGTCTCCAGCACCTTTCATCTCGATGACGTCAGCATCAGGAGTTGCTGAGCAGACGAGCTCGGCACCGCACTTTCGTACGCAATTAACGAGTGCTCAGTAACAGTATCACACTGATCAATCCATAGCACTCAATCACAATCAATATCTATATCTGTGTCACTTAAATCTTAACTCAGGTCTTTTCCCTGTTTACACTCGCAATTAACTCGGTCGGTTTCGATTTCATTCTTATACTACCAGCATTTCTGTTTCGATAAATTACCAGATTCATCTCCAGCATTCCTTATTCTTAATCTTATCATCTATGACTATGACTCCAGTAGAAGCAGTATGTTGATGATCTTTTTGATGTTTTCGCTAAATAGTGAAGCTGTTCGTTGAAATATAGAGCCCTAATGTGGTCATCTCCAAAGCATGAGCATGGACGACTAGAAGAATCACCTTGTTCTCGTCCTCCTCATTTTTATGACATATATGATGGAAAATGTACCTGTACAACAGTCAACATCAACACTTTTTATCTTTCCAGTAAATCTTCTACTCGTCATCTTCATCTTGAGGCAACAAAATAATGAATACAGTCTAATATATATAAGTAGTTTTTATTCGACGCAGCATGCTTGGTTCGTGGCACGACGACGGAAGACCAAGGTAGTTATGAGGTATTCCACGGAGGTGATCCAAAACGTAAAATGCTATCGCAGACGCAGGGTTTTCCAGTGCACTCCCGTGGTTCTGCGTGAAACGAGGCCAAGTGCCACTGGGTTCTGACGTGGCCTGTGGTGGTATCTTTTCTCTGTTTCTTCATTCCCGTTGTTTCTCATACTAGAGTGGCCTCGCCACAAGTAACACGCCAAAAACAAATAGCATGTATTTCGTACTTACTTACTTATTAAATGTTGTAGCTAATAACTACAACAAGAATACTCTTGCAGCTCCTCAAGCTCATAAAAGAAGCAAGTTGTAGCTCATTGTGATCGTGTCGCACATCGGCAGTATTCGCGTTGAAGTTGTATTTGATTCTTAGTATACTCTGCAGCGAGGGGAAAATGGCACTCATTTTAGACTCCTATATTTCGTAGTGAAATGTTGAAGACTTGACTCCCTATAATTCTGAAGTTCACCGTTGTTGTCGAAAAAATGCTCTTGGGGTTAATGATGTCATTGTAGTCAGCGACACTTCTGTCTTCTCTCTCAGAGCATGGTGATGGTGTAGTGTATGACTTTGTCTTATATCTTTATCTCGGTGGAGGAATATATAAGAAAGATCAAAGAGAGTGGAGGTAGACAAGAGAACAACGAGCGCAAATCTGCAGCCGTGTTTCGAAGTAAAAAGCGAAAGCCTCGACGAGGGAAGCCGATGTCGCCCAATGAGCGAATGAGTGAGTTCGTGTTCCATGAAGGATGTAGAAGGGACTCGTGCAGAGAAGATCATGAAAAATGATAGATGTGCTGAAGATATTGTGTGATCTGTGACGAGAGAGCACGCTCTATCTGTGCCCATTCAGTTGAGGGTCGTCGATGATCTGCAAAAGTAGCGAAGATATCCAGAAAGAGTATCTGCAACATCTTCTGTGTACAACAAATCATTGCTCTGATGGAGTGCATCCTGCTGTGCTGTGCAGTGTTCTAGTAGTTTAATGTGAGCGGTAATCTCGTGCTGCTCTCACGACGAAGAGAAGTGAGTCCATGTTAGGCACAGAGGAAGGTCCATCGCGAAGAGTAGAGTGCTAATTTACTCTGTCAAATATGTCCTTCTGTAGTTCGTGACTGTCGAGACAAAAGTACTGTAATTTTGTAATTGAAACAATCGTCGAGGAGAGCGAAAAATTCGCATGATCTCGTCATTTACCGACTCCAAAATCTCTACCCACACAATTGCAGCCACGAATTATTGCTAACGTGCCCACGTAGCAACCCACATCGACGCCTCGTGATTACTGATACTATCGATTGCTTTTAGCAAATCTACTTTCCGCTAATATTTTCTACGATCATAGCTTTCTCAACAACAACGCATAAGAAACGCTAGAAAAAAGGAGCAACTCAAGAACTAGTTTTTTGAGTTCCTATCTTCAACATCCAAAGCAACCAAAATTTTAGCAGGAGAAATCCTTTGTCATAATTAGAGAAGACGTTTGTCGTCTAAGGAGCACATAAAGATAGACATCTACTTCTGTTCATTCACCACTTCACTTGAATTCTCTGTTCTTTCTTCTACTTATCTTTGTTGAAGAATAACTCTCCCACTCAACAAGATGGCACTTCGTGACGCAACTCAGGTGGTCCCGGAGCCCAAGCTCTTGGACGACTTGTTGTCTAAGACCAAGTACTGTGATCCGGATCCGGAGGTGGGTCAAGCTTTCTGGGTCGGCTGCCCTAAGATGCCCATTCAGCGCAACATCAACCTCTTCTCTCTCAAGAACGGAGCTGACTTGGAACAGTCCGACATCGTGTACGTCAACGTCAATCTTTGCTTTTTGTCGTTATATTGTCGTCCTCTACAACTGTGTTAGTTTTAGTTGTATCCCTCCATCCAATTTATTGTCGTCCACTGTGTGTTGTTAGTGTCTGTGTTACTTTTGATGAACACCTACAAGTTTTTTCTAAGGTCAAAAACAACATTTGTTCTTGCCTCAAGTAGAAGATCTTTCTGCTATTGCTCCATCATGGACGATGTTCTTAGTAGATGGACTAGATGAAGACGAACAACGAGAACTCACTTGTCTCTCGTTAATAATATATTTGATTTTTAGGTACTGCTGCGGTGCCTGCGTGTGGCTGGAACCTCCGTACCATGGTACCTGCCGCATGCCGGTCACTAAGAAGCCGCCCACTGATTACGGTGAGAAGCAGACCGACCAGGATGTCTTCTGGGTCACCTACATGGACTACACCTACGTCGATCCGATGAAGCGCTACTGCTTGGTCAAGGTCGGCGACGAGCTGATGTACTTCCGCGTCTGGCTCGCTCACAAGTTCGGAAAGATGTTCAACGGGTACTTCTACTTGTTTCTTTTTCTGGAATTATTTCTAGAATGAAAGAAAATTCTATCCATTTTTTTTTTAGATACTACGTACACAAGAAAATGAAAAATGTCTCATCTTCATCTTAATGATGAATCACTTAATAAATAAGATCTATATTGAAATTAGATAATCAATCTTCTTCTGCTTAAGCTCCTGCTCCTGCTCATAATTCAGATACGACAACGCTGCTGATACTACTTGGTGGTACAAGTTTTACATGTACTTGGATACCGATAAGTCCAACTCCGTCGACATGGAGGAGTTTCAGGTCGGCCTGACCAAGCTCGGCTACCCGGTCGCCCGCAACGTTCACGCGGAAGAAAACAACAACCGCCGTGGTCGCTTGCTCCAGCTCCTGGATACCGATGGATCCGGTGACTTGTCTTTCGAAGAGTTCGCGGACGTGCTCGAAATCAACCCCAAGGCCGTGCTGGAAAAGGTCTCCGAGTTCAAGATGGACAAGAAGTGGGACGACCTGCAGGACCGCATCAAGAAGGCACGCTTCAAAGACGAAGAGTCCTACGTAAACGGACGATACTCTATGCGACAGGTACAACTACTTCTTGTAACTCATGTACTAGAAGAGGATGACTTCATCATATGTATCGGGTGTGCTTCTATACTAGGAATTTTTTAGCGATTTTCAAGCAATGTTAACGAGATTTTTATCATTAAATACTACAAGCATAGACGAGTTACCAGTAGTACTTCTCTTGTAGTTCTTCAAATGAATATTTACATCTTCTTCATCTTCATTGATTTGTTTCCGATTCGGTTGAAAACAACAGGCCTACGACAATATGCTTCGATTCCGTAACGAGAAGCGTCGTTTCAAGAAGAACACCGAGTCTCAGCGCAGTCTCGACAAGTTGTACCCGGATTCTAATAAGGCAGCGAAGAATCGCGCCAAGTCTGCTGATGCTGCTGCCTCAAAGGCGACGAAGAAAGGCAAGCTTCCGGATATGTACACCCAGCACCCAACGGTACTATTAGCTATTGCTGATTTTTCAGTACGTGCTTCGTCCGTGGAGATGATAGCATTTTGTTTATTTCTGTTCTTTCATACAACTTCTTTTGGTTTTAATTGATTATGGCGTTGACTCCCGTCCCCGTGGTTAGTATCTTAACGACGGAGGCACGCGCAGTTGGTTGAGACCAGTTCGTGACCTCATCGATCTTTGTGGTCATCGTCCTTTTGCTCATCCTCTTCCCTTGTTAAAACGAAACAGATGTGGTCGTGCCGTCAGGGTATTGCCGGTCGTGATTTGAAGCATGTGCACCCGAACTTCCGCGAGTACTTCGACTCCCCGGGTACGATGACTTCCGACAAGGAGATCAAGGAGCAGTTGGAGCGTGACATGTACCCACCAGCACCGCGTATCGCGATGAAGGACGAGCTCCGAATGATGCGCGAGCACTTGTTGGAGGAATTTTCGGCTGACAGCTTCGAAAACAAGGACGTCATGCAACGCATCTTCGCAAAGCTCGACGCAAATGGCAACGGATCTGTCTCTAAGGAAGAGATGGTCCAGGTATAGAAAAAAGCCACTTCTAGTACGGACAAGAGTATTTTGATTTTTAGAAATCACAATCGTCTTCGTCGAATACTGAATTCAGAGTGCAGCCACAAGATGTTGAAGAGTTGTGATAGGTAACAAGAATCAGAATGAAGATAGACCACAAGAACTGGCCTTGAACTACACCTGCCTCAACCTACCTGAACAGGGCTTGCGTGAGTTGCACTACCCGAAGGGACCGACCACGATCACTACGCGCCGACGCCGTGAGCGAATCTTTCATCATATGGACGCAGATGCTTCCGGTGACTTGGAAATCGAGGAAATTGGCGCAATTATGAGAGGTGTGGGTCCGCGCGCGCTTGTGGACGAGTCGACCGATTTGGCAATCGCAGGGTCAGCACGTGGCTTGCACAAACTGAAGAACACGCAGTCAGGGCCAGGCGTTAAGCTCCCGCCAATCTCCAGGTAATTGACAATGAATCCTGCTCAAGAAGATGAAAATACTACAGCACGACTGCATTTTGCGTGCTGTAGAATAGAGAACTTCTTAAAAATTTAACATCCCCTTGCTTTCTTCACTGGATTTAATGTTAACTATCCTCGTGATGGTGATCCCCGCCCAAATACCGTGCGAAGATTTTTCAGTTTGTTGCGCATTTCGGTTTTACACTACAAGCAAGTCTTGATGATATAATGAACAGTATAGATATAAAATTCAAATCGTTTTACAGTGCTGAAGAAGATGATCGTCTTATCTAGAAAATCCAAGATGAAATGTTGTGATCACAAAAATAGCGGCACAGATACTTCTTATGAAAAACAAAGCAACATGTACTAAAACTTGTACAGGAGCAGAATAACGTACCATAATGTGATATCGATTTTTCAGTCGTGTCCTCTAATGGTTCTTTTTCTGTGTTTTGTATAGGAAACGAAGCTAGCGGAAGTAGAAGACGAGGCAACATCTAACATACCGAAATTACACGACAATACATCATATCATAAACTATCAACTACATAAGAGGTAGATTTTATTGTGATATCATAGATTGAAAGACGGGCACATCATGAGAAGAAAAACAGTCGGATGTTTTTCTACACATGAATATCGACGATAATTAGTGATCATACTATAAAAATGATTCATTATTCTCTGGTTCATCTTGTGCTAATATATTCGTTAAAAAAATTGGTGAAATAGAATACGAAGATTAGCGCTAACCATCCCCTAATTTGTCTTATGGTCTGAAGAAGCATTGCGCTTTGATGTTTGTGCTGCTAGTTGTAACGCGCCGCAGGTGGGTCGTTTTGCTTCTTTATTTTGTAACTTGATTTATTCATTTTTGGATGTTAGTTTTGATGCAGCACACATAACTCACTTCTTCAAAGATTAGTCAGGTGACTGAGCGTGTGCTTAGAGTTAGTACGTAATTAGTGGAAACACTATGCAGAAGTCCCGATGAAGGACAACATAAGGAAGTGATACCTAATTAAAGAGAAGGCTTTTGCCCCATTGATGATTCATTCGGTCTCGCATTGCACACTTCGCGCCACCGCCTGCTTAGTTACAACTTTCTTGGAAGACAGTGCCAATTCTATCAGATTCGTTTAGTAGAGCTTCCAGCATCAAACCCAATGTAGACCTGCTGTGTGTCACGCACACCCACTTTTATTGAGTCGTAGTTTGTGCACGTGCAGATATAATTGATATTCATGATTAGGACATATTAGAAATGGTTATACATAGGATGAAATTATAGATCGAAAGAGTAGAAATTCAAAGTGAACAGGAATATCTAACAAGGATTAACGTGTAGGAGAGAAATATTTGGAAGTGTTTATCTTGATAGAAACGAAAGGAAAAAATCTGAAAGTAAGAATGTCATGCAAATTAACATTGAAAGTATTGAATCAAACCAACAGATGCGGTTATCGTGGATGAAACAGAAGGTGCTAGCATAAGAAATACAACAAAATGAAAAGAACAGTTTCTTTTCAGAGAAACACGTGGCTCTGTTTTCGGCGTACCCTGGATAGGAGGTTTGCTTGTTCTTCAGGAAAGTGTCATTTGATTGTGGTGCTTTCTTTTCGCCTGCGGGCGTGTCTTCAGTCTCATAAATGAACACAAACACTGGCTACAACTGCCGCCGGAGTATTCATTGCTAAAAAAAAGTGCGCTCCTTTACCTTCAGCAACCAAATGGTATAAGAAAGATCGGCACACTCATCGTGCTCAGTTGAGTGAAACAATGAACTTAGAAGTTCGTTTTTATCTAGTGCCTTCTTCACTCATAACAAACGCATGATCAGTATGAGGACTCACATGCATTACAATTAAGAAGCATGCCGTTTTCGTCTTTATTCGATGGCATTTCGTGACGTGCTTTCATTTGTACGAGGACCTTTCGCTTTCCACGACATCCTCGATGTCCCACCACGCGCAAGGGGTGGTCGCATTGCGGGAATCTGTGATCACGGTTGAAGCTGCTGCAAGCATTTCAGAATGAGAACTGCTGCAGAAGCCTCAAGTAAACGGGAAGTTACTTCTTTGGTCGTTCCTTTGTCGACAAATTGTTTTGGAGGCTCAATTAGAGTTGCTGCACAAGAAACACGAAGGAAACGGCGTTGCGGCCTTTAGGAAAACCTGACGCATACTCCGGATCCTGATACGGGCGTTGAGTGGAGGTCATGGCCAACAAGAGCGTACGGACAAAGTGAGTGGAAATCAGATGAAGTGAGTAGTAGAACTAGAACGACCAGTGACCGCCTGTCGAAGAAAGACGCGCCTACCACCGTCTCCGTTCTTAACCACGCCGGGAGACGCATTTCTTCTGTTGTGGTGGGACGAGCGCCGGTAGATCCGCGTTGTGACATTATACCGATTTTATTCGCTACCACGGAGTTCCCAAGAAGAACAAGATGATGTTCCAAAATTTCTCTTCCCTAAAACTGGGCGACTTCCACAGCTTCGCTAAGGAAACGGCGCAAAAAGCAAGAGAGGCTGCAGAAAAAGCGGCCGAGCAAACTGCGATCAAAGCGAAGGAGGCTAGGGAAGCTGCGCAAAACGCAGTCCAGGTGGTTCAAGATGAATATCGATTAAGACCCCTACTTGTTACCAGTGTTATGATGTACTTTCTTTTTCTTAGTTGATGTAAGTAAGTAAACCTTCTGAAGAAGGAGTGAGTAATTTTCGTAGGCGTTAGTTGTGTTACTTCGTCGAATTGATACGCCATCACTGTGATCTCGATTTGGCTTTCTTCGAGACTCGAGTTGAAGGAACAAGTGCCAAACCGATTGGAGTAGAAGATCAATCAGAAGAAGTACGAATAAAAAGTATGGAACAGGAGGAAGCGGGAACTTCTAAATCAAGCGACGTTCGAGGAACAGCTGACGAGCATCTATGATGTCATCCCAAAGCGCCTGCTCATAATGGAATACCCGTCTCCGGACAAAATCGCGAGACTAGCCAACCGTCTAAACCGCCTCTACCAGGACAAATACCTCGTTCTCAACATGAGCGAACATGGGTACTTATATACATATATGAATATAACTTGTTTTTTTTCCACTACGCCAGTACATCAAAAAATCAGAACTATTAACTGATGAATATGGTGGACATGCACATCGGCCCACACACCCCCACGATGAAGTAAGCAAATTTATTCAATGGTCATCTCTTAATAGGATTTGTGATAGATTTTTCTATTCTGCGTCATCGTAACCTGCATTTTCACAGATATGAAGCACGAGAATTTCGTGGCGAAGTTATGGATATTCGATTTCGTGGACTGCCGAGCCCGCCCTTGGAGCTTTTCTTCAAGCTTGTGATATCCGTCAAGCAGTGGCTGGATACTAGTCCTGAGAATGTTGCTGTGGTACTACTTCGCGTGATTCGAGTAACATGTTGTGACAACTACAAGTGAGTTTTAGTTTGGTCCACACATGATCACTTACAATGCACAAGAGATGAAATTGAAAAATTACAGCTGTCATAGAAGTCATTCTGTAAGCGGGATAGTAATAAGTACAGCTAGACCAACACATCAACAGTTGCGACTGAACTAGTGTCCATATGGATGAGCATCATTGCAACCACCTCCAGGTCCACTGTTTTTCGGGATATACGCGTTCGGCGATGTTCTGCGCCTGCTACTTATATTGGTCTGCGTACTGTCAGACCACGCAGAGAGGCTTGGAGTATACACTGCGACGGGTGAAAGTGAAGGAGAGCAATATTCTGCCAACGCAAAAGCGGTATATGGAGTACTTCGAGCAGGTGATGGCTGATGGCGCGCGCGTTTCCCCGTGCAAAAAGTATTTGACGCGAGTGCTTATCACTGGAATACCAAATTTTCTTGATCCAGTAGTTGCGCAACAACCTGGTACTTTTGCACCTGCCGGACGAGTTTCTTCAGGGGTAGGTGCAGCGGAGCAAGTTTCAACAAAGTCTGCCTCGCCACTGACAGCGACAGCTAGCGCAACTGGTGCAGCCTCCTCCGACCAATTGAGTAAAGTAGCTGCATCAACTAGTGCTGTTGTACAACCAGGGGATGCAGCAGCGGCTTGGTCAGCGACTAGCGGAGCAGCGACCACCTCATCAGCGTCTGCCCCACCGCCTCCTCCTGCGGACCAGACCACCGCGTCAGGCGAAGGAGGGGGAACGTCCTCATCGAGTAACAGTTCACCACCACCACCACCACCACCGCCGCCAACTGGTTCCAGTGGAAACGCTTCCTCATTTGGTGACATGTTTTCTAGTTTTAGTGCTACCATGCGTACGTCGTCAAAAGACGCCGCGTCACAGAAGCTGCTCTCGTTCGGCAAGGAGGTGTCCGCGATAAGCAAAGACTTTTCTCAATCCTTCAAGAGCTTCGCGCAAAGTAGCACGCTTACAGAGGGTTTCCAAAGACTAGCCGCCGGGGGCACCACGGCAACTACAAGTAGTGGCTCAGAGATAAAGGAAAGCGGTGTTACTACAAATACGGTCCGCGGAGGAACAGGAACTACAGCAGCGGGAACCCCGGTGGAACAACAAACTGCAAGTAGTGCCATTGACGACGCTGCTTCATCAGACAGCGAGGAAAAGAAGAAGGAGCCAATTTTCGTGCCGTATTTAGGTACCTTGGATGTTTGAAGATGGTGATGGAGACACACAGACACACACACACAAACACCTTTATCTTAATCTTCGGAATGACAATGGGAGGTCTTCAGTAAGTACAGGAGGTCCTTTCTGCTTCATAGTGCTATGACTGCAGCTCCGCTTCTGCTTAATTTATATTTCCTTCAAGCAACATGAACATCATTTATACAACTAGTAGAGCTGTTCTGTTTAGAGTCAAGTGCACACTTTCACCTTTTCAATCCCACGATCATAACAGAAATATGGCACAAGGAGAAATTGCTTTTCTCATCGTGGAACTCGCTGAACCCAAAAACAAGCCCAAGTCGTGAATATTTTGCGTCCGACACCTGCGTGCCTTTCGCCCTCAAAGATGATGGCAAGTATCTCTGTCCTCCTCTAGATGGGGACGTTCTCCTACGCGTGAGGCATTTCGACAAGCGGAATAGAGCAAAGAGTTCAGCATTTCGCTTGGGTATTACTTCTTACGTCGCTAAGGTTAAGGAGCAAGGTCTGTTGAAAATATGATCGTTATTTTCATTTAGACTAGTAGTTATGTATAAAAGTACGTAGAGTTATTACTAGTAGAGTAGAAGAGGAGCGACCTGCTACAGCTATTTGTTGCAGGCTCCTTTATCGTCCCATGCAAATGCATTGGATCATCTTCTGAAATCACAGGCTTCAACACGAACTACGTTTCGAGTAATTTTTTGCATTTTCCGAACTCGGAGTTGGATACAGCAACGATAGAATTTCCGGCAGATGGCTTTGTCGATCTCTTTTTCGAGGATGCCAATGAGGAGAACGGCGGAGAAACGAAATCAGCAGGGAACATTGAAAAGGAAGGAGCTGTGTTCGAACGCGCTAAACAACTCTTCGACGAAATTCGAGAAAAAGAAGCGGAATTGTTACGAAAGCAAGTTTTAGAGGACAAAGAAAATCGACTTCGGAGTGCAGGGAAAGGAGCGGGATCTGCGGGCGGTGGTACTTATTTTCTGACTTTTCTCTCCATGTAACAAGTAGTTGGATGATACGTGGTGAATACCTGCCTCCTTGTTCCTACAGCTTCTTTCGAGTTCTACGTACTGGTCAGGTGCTTGTCTTTGTTGTACCATTCGATTTCGATCATGGCCTCGTCCTTCTCAGGATCTAGCGAAAATGGCTCCATCGAGGAGCGCATGCAAACAGAGGAGGAGTTTGATCGCTTGCAGCGGCAACTCATTGACCTTGACTCACCGTCTGGCGGAGGTGCGGCGGTCGCGAATGGTGACGTAGTGGATGTGGATGCGCTTTATGGTATGGACGACGCGGCGTGGCGGATGGAGGGACCAGCCGGCTCGGCGCCGTCGTCGGCCTCGAAAAATAGAGGAACGAGTAATAGATCAGACCACAGCAACAGTACTACGAGTTTGAAAGACAGCCTGCGAGCAGTAGCGGAGACGAAGAACGTCGCTGTTGTGGACATGACGACACCGAAAAGCGACGAGGGGGGTCCGCCAACAACACCTAGCGGAGTCACCGCAGGAGCTGACAATATCGACTTTTCGAAAGCAAATAAGCAAGATGAAAAAGAAACAGCAGCACCGCCTCCACCACCAGCAGTAACTCAACCTCCACCACCGGCAACTACAACCACAACTAAAAACACTACTTCTACTGGTGGAGCATCAGAACCCTCTGCTCCACCCGCCGCACAAACACCGCCCGCGACTAGCAGCGCAACATCAGGAAGCAGCGATGGCGGCGCAGATTTGCTGAGCGACCTCCTAGAACGAAAAACGGTCGAAGTCTCGGCTGCACCTGGGCCGGCCGATAAAAAGGCTGCCTCACCAGCTGCAGACGATCTTTTGGACAGCTTAATGCAAGCTGGTCCAGAAGATAAGGCCAAAAAAGATGAGCAGGAGGAAGATGAGCTGGACGACTTGCTCACAATGATTTGATTGATGAAGATGAGCTGTTTGAGTTCCCGCATTTGTGATAGTCTTCTTGTCGTACACTAAATCGTTGTCCTCTTCTATCGCTCTCATGTGGTTGTTCATGATCAACGTTGTTCATCGTCCCTTGGTGACGCTGATGCTGAGGTTGATGGAATGTTCCAGTATTTGTAAACTACTTGTTGACCTCCATGAAAATTTCAGAATCAAAAAAGAATGTCACGCGAGAAGACGCAGTCTTCTATCTTTGTTCTCATCTGCTCACGATCTTATGCAGCAATTTGAGGTCTCCTGGCTGATCAAGTACCCAATCCTAATCGTCGTTACAACGGTGCAATGAGATGCGTCGAACAGCTGAACCCAATCATGCAGAGAATCTTATTTTTCAGTAGTAAATGTGTAAGTGTATGTTGTGAACATATGAAATAAGAACTTCAAAGTAAATCCGGGCACCTTCCAATCGAGTTTTGTACATAGGAAGATTCCTCGTAAACGCGTTGAGGACGATCACATACACATTACTCAGTTACTTCGTTTGATGAGCAAGATGGCCAGGGTTGTGCTCGATGGAAAAGCGCCTGACGGGGTCGCCAATTTTCTCTCTGTTCTTGGATCGTCTTTACAAGCGTCGCCCTCCAGCACAGGCGAGAACAACGTGCGGACCGATCGTAGTGTGCATTACTTGACCGTAAAGAATTTCCATTTCGACTTTATTGGAGCCGGTGGTGGGTCTTCAGACAAGAAAAAGGGAGACGCAGCAGTTTCACTGCCTTCAGTGTTGCCATTTCCGGAAGTGCGAGAGTTTGAACTGACCGGCTGCTTGAATATCGAGGGCCTACCGGATGGCTTTTTTCGAATGTGTACGTGCTCATTGGAAAGCATCCAAATAACTGAGAACAAGGAGCTGGAATCACTGCCGCCTTCGCTGCTGCAGTGCCGCCATCTAAGGAATCTAAATGTTTCCGGCAATAGACTTCACATGCTCCACCCTCAACTGTTCGCCTGCCTAAACCAACTGCGCAGCTTCAATTGCAGTCTAAATCAAATTGCGCGTGTACTGCCCAGCAACGTTAATACGGTACTTTTCCAGCAGCACGTGGTCAGAAGTGGAAAAAGCAAGCAAGATGAAAACTCGACGTCGTCCTCCGATTCTTCGAGTGATTCCTTTTCGGATGACGAGGATGCGGCGGGTCAAACTAAGCGGTCCGTGCTGCCTCTGAAAGAACTGAATGCTGCAGGCAACCAGTTGAGTGCCCTGGAGGCCTACGCGATGGCTTTTCCAGAATTGACAACTTTGAACCTGCGGGGAAACCAGCTCGCGTCTCTGGAACCCCCCGTTGCACCAGCAGGCGACGCTACGACAGCTGGCGACTTGAGGTGTGTATTCGGCGGCAAGTTGAAATGCGTCATCCTCTCCGAGAACGCGCCGATAATGAAACACTCAAAATGCAACAAGGTTGATAAGAAATTGCAGAAATTGATTGCGGAGGCAGAAGAGGGGAACGGAAAATCGATGAAAGCTCTGCTAGACGTGCTCACACGTGGCGGCGAGTCGAAGCGGAAACAGAAGCAACGCGCTGCTAAAGCTGCCGAAGAAAGCGATGATCGGGACGAAGAGGGCCGCAAAAAGATTCGCGCTCTGCGTGGTATTGCAGCGGATATGCCAACGGTGCAAATTTCCACCGACTTCCAGCTCTCCCGCCCGTTCTGGGCAGGCGTAGTGTTGCGAAACCTGGCGCACACGCGGTGGACGCCAGAAATTCTTGCAGGCTTCATGGAGAAACAACTGAAGCTGATGGGCAGTCGACGACATCTCTGCGTCGGTTCGCATGATGCCACTAGTGTGCATTTTCCTCTCCAACTCGTCACTGTGGATGGTCGAGTGCGAGAGGTGGAGCAGAATGATGGTGCTGCCAAGCCGAATGAATTCAGGCAATTAGATGAACAAACAGAAGCACAAGCACGACAATTCTGTCCGCTCTTTCGACCGTTAGCGTTACAGCTGGACGCGGATCATAAGAACGGTGGAGCAGTACTAGATCCTGTTGCCGATGCACGGCCCATTGCGCAATGTGTTGCTGAGTGGAAAACAATGGCGCACAGAGCGACGTACGCTAAACGCATCGATCTCGCGAGTGTCCCGATCCTCCGTGATAGCAATGGCACGACGCTCGCGGTTTACCCTGTCAGCAACTGCGAGGAGACGCGCAATCATCTCGAGATGCAAACTTGCTTATTGGAAGCATGCGGAGATGACCAGGACATGGTGTTTGCCGCTCTGAACTCATTATTGGACTTCCTCCTTGAATGGAAAATCATCGATGTCGGGAAAACGGAAATGCGGCGAATACCTTTAAAACGCATGGGGAGCGATCGTGGCAATGAGGTGCGCTTTGGCGCAAACCTCGCAACACTCGCAGAAAATTTTCCAAACTGGTTTACTGTACCGGAGTAGATCGAAAACAAAGAAAATTCTTCAAACAGCAAAAAGAACAACAACCTGAACCTCACTTGCGCTCATCTTCATAATTTGAATTTTATCACTTTTTCTTACACCAGCTGCCACTTTCGCGGTACCGCTGCGTCCACGTCCTTCGGGTCTCATTTTCTTGTCCCCCGCGACGAATCATATACTCGTATGTGATAACTGTGATTTGGATTTTCTAATCTTCATCTCCCGTGCGGCTCCATCCTCATTCCTGAAAGTTACTGTCATCTTTCCCAGATGGGTGGCTGCAAATATGACTCGAACCTCATCATCATTCTATAATGACAGTAGACGCCTTTCATAGAAATTACACGATAGCGATACACAGGTAGTGACGCTGGAATGATAAGAGAAATGCGGCGTGGTTAATCATGCTGCTGCTAGCACGAACAATGCTGAGGAGATGGTAATATTCGTGTGATTCGCTTGCTGTAATCGGTAGTGCAACGCAGAACATCTTCTGTCCGTGCTGAACAAGGTTGCGGTGCCACTGGATGCAGGCACGCTCAGGTCTGTAATGAAGCTGCGGTGAGTGCGCTTTCTCGGTTGCTTCGGTCGCTTATAAAAATGTAAAGTCACCACCATCGCTCGGTCGCTTCGAAAATGGTAAAAAGCAAACCAAAAAAATAGGAAGCTTTCTCTGCAAGATGAATACTATAGGGGAATCGCAAACAAAAACTAGCACCAGCTTCTAGCAAGTAAGACACTACTAACCTAAGATTACACCTTTTAAGAAAATATTAATATAGTCATAGAACGAGGGTTTTCGAAAATTTTCAGTTATTGTCGACACTACAAGATAGCGGTGTCTGATTGTTCTTGGTGGAGTCTGTTTGTTTCTTCTACTGCTCGAGCGTAACGAGAGTCGTGAGAGAAGGTAGAGGGAAAGATGCAAAAGGGTTTTGTTTGAAAAAGTAAATGAAGATGGATCGGGTTTGTTTTGTTTGACCTTTCGAATGGTTCAAGTAATGTTGAATTACTTAAGGTAGTTACGAGAAGGCTAAAGAAGACGAAGCAATCACTCACTCATTCAAATCACGCATTGCATTGGAACACTTCTCCCTCCTCCTTCCTCATGACCCTTGCTTGTTGTGAACTGCCCACTTCGGTGGCTCAAGGTTTGTAATTGTGTAAGTCAAAACACTCATACAACTTCTTTCACGATACATGATTCGCTTGAGATTGATAAAACCATAAAACAAATGACGTCTCCGCATGGAGCACGACGCGACTGATTCTCCGCCTTGTACGATTGTGTTCACCACCGATCAAGGATAAAAGAGAATACGAGAGCGCGATCACTCTTTCCGACAGTGGTAGCGGATACGAGTGGTTCTTTTCAGAACGCCCGGAAACCGCTACGAGACACGAAAACGATCCACCGGAGTAGAAAAACAACAACGAGCCCAATCTATACTCCGACAAGGAACTGGTAGTGATCAAAATAGATGAGTGACCACACTCATTCAAGGTCAGATCGTCGCTATCATACGTCCAGTGACGACATCAGTGACCTGCGCTCCGGAGTCCCAATGTCAGCGGAAGATCAGGAGATCGAGGCTGCGGTCGGCAATGGCCCGAGTCTTCGTGCAGAGCTCGAGCGAGGGGTCGGCAGCTCGCCCTTTAGTCATCCGGGAGAGGACCAAGAGATGACCGGGGTGCCGGAACCTCCTCCACCCGACGCCCCTGGAGGACCTCTCTACAGAGGAGAAAACGGCAATGCACTGGGACAGAGTCTGGTGCATCCGGGAGCATCATCCATAATGCCGGGGAGTAGTAACTTCGGGATGCAACCCCCAGGACTACCGGCACTAATGCCACCTGTGCAACTTCCATCTGTGGATGCTGGTAGAGCGCTTGCCTCATGGAACATGAGCAACGGGATGTCGATGCAACGACCGATGACGACAGCAGGTGCTCCTCAACTCCACCAATCGCAGCAGATCAACAACTTTACTTCTGTTACCAATCAGGGCGTCAATGCCCAAGACATCGCGAACCTCGGCATTACGTTCGGGCAGAGGACAGGAGTCTTAGAGGAACGGGTAGGAAGTGTTAACAACCAAATTAACAACATGTCTTCCTACGTTCAAAATGCACTGAGTCGGGGGGAAGGAGTACTCAATGAGCGCCATGAAAGGTTGAGCAGCGAGATCCAAGGTGCACAACAGAACATCCAAGGCCTTAGTCAAACGCAGCAAGGACTCAGCACGGCGCAGAACCTACTGCAGTCCCAGCTTGCTAGTACACAGAACATTGCCGAACAGCAACTGGTGGCAAGCAACAACAACATCAGTAACACCGTCCAAAATGTCGAGCAACGATTGATGAGTCATGTTGGAGCAGTCGCAGGCAACCTCTACGAGACCATCATCAATCAAGTGCGACTGGAGCAAGCACAGAGAGCCGGTGGACCTGAGTCGTCCGATGAAGAGAGGCATACGCGGGGCGCAGCTTCGTCTTCCGCAGTAGGAACTATCAACCGCTCGCTGAGCCAGAACGGTCAAGGACGATCATCTGTCAACCAGGGTGTACCTAACAACGACCCATACAATACCGGCGCCGGTAATAACCCCCACAGAACATTCAATACTAGCGAGGGAGTTAGGTTTGGCAGTGGAAGTGGAGGTGGAGATCGACCACCACTCGGCAACGGAAGTATGAGTGCGGATCAGGGAACCGGTCCGCCACATCGTCGATGGAGTGTTGGCGGAGGATACCCTACTGAACAAGGACTACCCCCTGGTGCTTTTACTAACATCAACTATGGTGGTGGCGCGTTTGGAGGGAGCCCTGTTCCAGGAGGTGGCGGTGGACCACAGGGATTCTCAGGTGATCCGATGGGAACAGCTGGCAATGGAGTTGGCTCTACACCAGGACTTTTTAGAGGTTACCATGGTGATCCGGTTCCAATGCCCAACACGAATCGCGCGCCTGGAGGAGATCAGGTTTATCTAGGGCAAGGAAGCAGTAGTGGTGTAGTCACGAGAGAACTGTGGAAGTTCACGAAGATCGCCTTCGAATCTACCTACAAGAAGCAGCACAAGTGCCAAGTTCACGAGGGATACCTTCTGACAGCGAAGGACAAACGACCAGACAAGGACCCGCCAAGAGTCGAGAGCTACTCTAGCCTTATCGACTGGCTGGGGGCGTTTGAATCCTACCTACTACGACTAGTGTCAAAAAGGAGGCCAGAGCAGTACCTTTTCCCAGAAGAATTAGAAAATGAAATAGTTGAAGAACTCATCTTCTCGGGCGAAGGAGCGGACACTAAGAGGACTAAGTTCGGAAACGTCTTCAAAGAGAGCCAGAAGGTGAAGTTAAGACGGCTAAGAATCACGCGTCGATCGAGGTGGACACTTACGTGTGACAATCTTACGATCCGACTTTACGAGGTGTACAGACATGCGTTTGTTCGAGGACGAGCCGAAATGGAGCGATTCATGCAGTTCCGGCGCCGCAAAAACGAGCCCGACATAGAAGTTCTTCAGCGATATGTCCAAGAGGCTGACGAGGCGAGCGTGAATCTGTTTCCTAATAGTCCAGAGGAACGCAACCACGTCTGGGAGGTATTCATCACAAAGGTGCCCGATTTCGCACCACAGGAAGTTCACGATATGATGGTGCATACCAATCTCGGCAGAACTGGGGTGCCGCACTTCGAGAACGTCCTCCCGTACATGGAGTACCTGGAAGGTGTGAAAATGATGCATCGTAGAGGAAAGGCAACTGAGCAGGATGGAATCACCGCAGGAGGTGCCCGCCAAGATGACATGGAAGACACTCCCCGTGTTGCCGCTGCTTCTGCTAGGACTGGAGAACAGGCTGCAGTAAATGTCGTTGACCCGAAATCGCGCTACAGCTACAACGCGAAGAACAAAAAGGGCAACTTCGGGGGAGGTAGTGGCTCCACGAGTGACAAGAGGAGACCCTTTCGTCCAAGGGGCGGGAAGGTCATCTGCAAGTGGTGTCGAGACGAGCATCCTTCTGATACTTGTAGGTTCAAAGGGAAAATGGTATGCAAGATCTGTCACTCAGAAAGCCATCGGGCGGCTGACTGTCCTCAGGCGAAGAAGGATCAGCTCAGCAAGGATCTGCGAACGCCAGCATTCCAGAAGAAGACCCCCACCGAGAAAGTCGGACACATCCTCAGCAGCATCAAATCAGATGAAAAAGAACAGATCTTCTTGACAGTGGTGGGGAGAGACGATAGAGCTCGAGAGTTTGAACTACAAGCACCAAGCGCGAACATCGCTGAAGAGCAAGAGGTGATGTGCGTGGAAGTAACTCCCGAAGACAGCCCGGAGATCTTTCATGTGCAAGAACAGGCTCAGGCTACAGGCGAAGAGGAGGTCGATGATGATGATGATTCTGACAACGACGGGGATGACAGATTCACTCGCGTTCTCTACACACAGCAACACGTCCAGGTTCGTGATGATGTCTTCTCGTCGGTGGCACTAGAGCAAAATGGCTTTCGTGGAAAGGTGATTCAGAACGATAGCGACAAGAAGGACTTCTCTGTACACGACATTGCAGAGCAAGTCAAGACCATGCAGGCTGCCGAGTCATCTTCTGGATTAATAGTTGACGAAGGTGAACGAGCGTGCTACTTTACTACGGAAACAACGATGATCCAACTAGACACAGGCTACAATGGACTCACCTACGTCGATAGAGCTACCGCAAGAGCAAACGTAGCACGTGCAAAGGAGCATGGACTAATTGTACAGTCGAGGAATTGCAATGGCAGCACCGCCGGGATTGGACAGTCCTCGCACAGTATCCTCGGAAAACATGTCCTGCCCTACAAGCTCACTCGGGATGATGGCAGTCTCTATTGTCTGGGCTTTACCAACGTCACAGAGACCGAGCATGGACCGAATCTTGCTGGACTGCCACGGCAGATCGAGGCGTACTTGACGAATCGACTGAAACCAGGACTCCCACACATCATCGAAGGACATGAAGGATCCACAATAGTCGACTACACCGGTCAACACCAAACATACGCTGCTATCTTCGACCTCACGGAAGCGGACTACGCCATCTTGCGGGAGGTACAGAAGAAAAACAACAGCGGGTCGTGGTGCCGACCAGTGTTTGATCGGAAAATTGAGATTCATGCCGATCAGGTGCAGCCTCTTCGTCCATTTGATCCAACGACCATCAGCGAGTATCAGCGGCGGGTCGACACGAAGAGGTTGACGGAGTCTGCTACGTCCGCTTTGGCGCTCGTCTACCATGAAGAGGAAGCTTTCAGCAATGGCAGTCTTCTAGATGTTGGTGGGCAGAGGCCGATTGACAACACATGGAACGTTTCGACCGATCAAATCAAACGGACTGGTGACGACGGAAGATATGCTGTCTACCGCGTACAAGAATACGGAATTGACAATCTTCCTGACCCACCCAAGTGGTTGCGCGACCGGGTTCGCCTTCGACGGTGTGTGGATGTTCTTCGCCAAGAGCGGGCGGCGCCCGATCTCCATAACGACTGGCTTCGAACAAAGGGCGAAATCAACCACACAATCACGGGGGGCAAAAGTGCGTATGTGTCCATCGACTACTACTTCCACGTCCCGACTAAGGTCGAGGGTCGGGAGGCCCCTTCGTGGATGTCATCTGGAGGCAGAGAGGAGTTTGAGAAGGGTGGAAAGGTCGACCGCAGTCGTGGCAGGCTGTCCCTTGACTTCTGCAAATCGGCCATTTTCTTCTCGGAAGGCGTCGAGTATAGCGAGATTGGAAAAGGGACCATTCAACCATCCGTGCATAACGGTCCCAGTGCGCGTAGAATGCTCAAGCAACCTTCAAAACTCGACGAGGTGCGCCTGTACACGTGCAAGGACTTACTGGACGTGCCTCCAGTTGTGCGGGATACTGCGCGAGTAGTCGACGTAGAGGAGCTTCAACACTTCCAGGAGGAAAATTACTTCGTCGCTAGAACAGCTCTAACAGGTTTAAGCACCGAGCTGAAGAAGCGAGTGAGTAGTGCGCAGATCAAAACAGTGGTGGGGCTGCTGACGAAAAAGGAGCGAGTCATCCTCCGGTGCAGCAATGGAGTAGGAATGTCCGTTGCAGTTGCTGAAGTAATCCGCGGTCAAGGTCGACACCACGTCACCAGGCACTGTTCCTTGCAAGGGCAGCTGTTTTTGCACAACCACTCACTGTTGCCAGACGGGTCTACCATCAAGTATACGGTCGAGGAACGTGCCCGAGTTGATTCTCTTCTGTCGCCTATTCGCAACATCACCGACTCCGAACGACGCAAAGTGCGGCTGATTCAAGAAGCTCTCTTCTACCACGGGAGACTGCTTCCGTTTGACAAATGCATGCAGATTGCAAGATCTCGATTGAGGGGGGTCACAGAAACATCGCTTCAGGAGCTTGTTACCATCGCAAGACGTGACTCCCTTGCGCGACTTCGGTACGGAGTTGGCCCGCGGGTGCGAACGTTAGGATCCTTCCACCTGTGGGAGTCTATGTCCACTGGAGGAGTGTCCCTACTAGATACAACGTTCATCACCGAGTTTGGCTGGATTTATGCTGTAATCGGAATCCTCTCAGTGGGCGATGGCCGCGGTGGCCATTTTGTGTGCGGCCTGAAGTGGAAACTCGAGCCGCTATTAGCGAAATCTAGGCTCACGGACGAAGAAAAGCATCAACTTCGGGAGGGCATCACGTTCAACCTCAACGACGGTTTTTCGGAGAGACTGCTCGCTGGGAAGGGTTCGCCCTCTCGAGAAGACGTCGCGCGTGCGTTGCGCCGCTTTTTGCGAGAGAAGTTAGTGCGACGTAGACTCGTGGGTGATGCGGGTAGCGAGAACCTCGCCCTTGAGGATTGGCGGCCGATCAATCGCAGCGGTCGAGAAGTCACGACTCTGCCAAGGGGAAAAGCGGTGTACCGCTTGGAGAGACGTTTTCTCTCAGTTAAAACTATCCATAAGCGTTTGCGCCGAATGCCGTGTTTCGCGCGGATGCCGCTTCAGTTTTTGCTCGACGAAATCGACGAAGGCATGGCCAATACGCCGGCATCTGTCTATAGCGGACGGAGTCCAAACCAGACCTTCTGGGGACTAGAGGAGGCAACTGTTGAAACAACTCATCCCGATGACTTTGCTGCCGCTGGACTGGTTCATAATACTGAGTACAACATTGGCCATCTGACCGAGTGCCGACTGCGAATTCAAGGGGAAATCATGCGAATGCAGCTTGAGGACCAGGATTATCGAAAGGGGGTCGATAAAATCATCGCAAACTGTCGAGCGCAGATTCGCGAAAATGACACGGATGAACGAGACGTAGGACAAGAGGTCGAGTATCACAATCTGAAGTCCGGACAGTGCACCAGAGGAGTTATCCTTGCTAAACATCTGAAGCAAGGAACCCAAGCGTTCGAGTACACGGTGAGAACACACGGGAGAACACTGCATGCCGTTCCCCCTACTTCTCTTTCGACGGGGATTAATTTTGATCACTTCAACGATATTCCTCTAGACTTGCAGCCTCTCGTTCCGAGCGACTTCCAAGTTGGAGGAAGAGCGCATAATGCACACAAACGGTGGCTGGAGGCAAACGATTCCTCTGATGACGTCGAGCTGCGGGCTCCGGCCAAGGCTTCTAGTCACGAGGCTGGTCCGTTTTTCTCCTATTCAGCCCCCGGGGAGGGGACCGCAGCAAGACGAAGGACTGCTGCTAAATCATCGAAGAAACTCCCAGTCCACGAGGCGGATGATGGGGATTCTAGTAGTTCACTAGAGATGACAGGTGACGAAAAGGAGCAGGACGGAGTGGAAGTGGAAGAGGATGAGGAGGAAAAAGAACCACAGCCGCCACCTCTTGAGGATCTTGATCTCGCGGAAAATCAGGAGCAAGAAGATGATCTTCTTCAATCTGGCTTAGTCCAAATCGGGGCAGTTGGGGAACTTCTGGAGGATCAAAAGGAATTCGCAGGAGATAGCGTTTTCGTACAAATCCAGCAAGAAGACGAGTCTCGAGACGGACAAAACGACCTGGATAGCGAGGAAGAGACAACTCCGGCATTAGAAGAACGATGGCAGTCAGAATTTGTACTTCCGACGCGTGCTGACCGCAGAGCACTCACGAAGATACTGGCGAAGGAAAAGACCGGATCGCTTCCCGAAAGTAGCGTTGCGTTTGGTACTCTCACGAGCGTGCTTATGCGGAAACGTGAAATTCGGTTCACTCCGGAGTCAATCGAGATGTATAGCGGGTGGTCTGATGAACGTAAGCCGCTATCGAAACCAGAATTCCAAGATGAGACTCTTGTCTCTTGGGGAGTGCGCAAAGTGCAGTTCGTGAAGAATCAGGAGGAGTTCACTGATCATGGGGGACAGTTTTTGATCCGCTTTGTGATGTGGAATCTAGATCCGGAGAAGTCGTACGAAGAGCTGAACCTCATGTCCATCTTCGATCCCCGCGCCAAGGCACGTCCCGAAGTCACAGAGAGACTCCTAGGAGCGCTGAAGCATGCGGACACCGACCACAGCTTTGCGGACTCACCAGAGGGACTCGATAATAAGAAACTGCTACTGCGCGGCCACCTGAAGGAGTGGACCCAGATGCTCGAAGAAGGCTTAGTCCAGCGCTTTGTGCCTGGAGTGAAGCATTCGGACGAGCGAGTTCTTACGGCTCGTGCAATCTGCGACCTGAAGATGAAAACTCCGCGGCATTTCACCGTTGCCATTCGAGTCGTCCCGGGAGGGCACAACTCGTCAGTATCGGCCTCGGCCGAGAGCCCTACCATGAGCGAAGTCGAGTGCAGACTAGTGTTGAATTCTGTGCGTCACGTCCGAGGAAAGAAGGTGATCAAGTCGGGAGATGTACCGCGCGCATTCTTGCAGAACCATAAGCTCAAACCCGAGAATCGGCCACGCTTCAAGTACCCACACAACGTGCACCAAGAGTATGTGAACAAGGAAGTCAAGTCGAGACTCGGAGTTGGACCGGGAGACATCCTCATCATGTTGATCAGTCTGTACGGTCTGCGGGAGGCGGCGTTGCTCTGGTATCGAGTGCTAAGCCAGTTTTTAATGGAACTAGGGTACAAGTTGTCGGTTGGGTCGCCGTGTGTCTTCTTCAAGGAGAATGAGCGAGTGGGCGTGCACGTGGGCGATTTGTTGTACACCGGCAACCAGGAGAGCTTTGAAAAGTTTGCAGCAGCAATGAAATCGCGCTTCAACCTCAAGGATTGGAATGACGCACGCGACGGGCTGTGCTTCACAGGGCAGAACATCGTGCACAGGGTCAACGGCGTGGAAGAATCAACTTGGTGTCACATGAAACCAAAGATTGAAGAGATGAAGTGTGCTCGCGACGACTTGCGAGCTGCTCCGGAACCAGGAAAGGATGGACATCGAGAACCGCTCAGTGCTGCAGAAGTCACCGCACTAAAAGAGAAGAGAGGTTCGCTGCTGTTCATCAGTCGTTCGCACCCAGAGGCTCGCTTTCCTACTCGATGTCTCGCGGTCGGAGCAGATGTGCAGAAGGATCTCAGGTGGACGGTCGAGCAGGACAACATCACTCGACGGCTCGAACAAGAATCGCCGGGAGTTGAGATGGATTTGAGCTACAAGGACGAGTACTTGTGCATGGCACCAGAGAGATGCATCCTTTCAACAACCCACGAGTGACGAAGAGGCGGGTGTGGCAGGAGACAGTGATCGACGTCAACCGCTCACGAAGAAGGTCGATCTCTTCTCGCTCGGCTATACCAAATATCGACCGGGGTGGATCAGATCGTGGGAAGAAGAACCAAACAGCGTCTTCATCGGCAGAGGATCAGGGTGGAGCTCGCCGCTTTTAGTAGGAAGAGATGGCGACAGGAACAGCATTCGTGAAAAGTATCGGGAGTATGTCAAGGACAACTTCAAATCCGAGGAGCTGCTTCAGCTGTCCGGCAAGACTCTTGGTTGTCTCTTTGGCTTTCCAGGAGGCGACGCGGACGTGCTACTTGAGTTAGTACGCGAGGAAGAAGCGAAGAGGATGAGGAAGTCCGAGAGGGAACAAGCTGCGCTACTCTTGGAGAAAGGTGAAACAAAACGTAGGAAGCGAAAAAGATTCGCTAGTGTCGGAATTCCGTCTACCGAAAAAGACACTATCAGTCGTCAGGCCAAACAGCTTCGGCCAGTGATAGGCTGGGTGCTAATATCGGTCGCGAAGGCTGATTGGGATGCCTACGAGAAAACACAAGGAGCGATCAAACGGGTGATGAGCGTGAAGGAGTACGAGGAACTTCAACGCCACGGAATCCGCATGTCGTTCATCGCTCTTGACACGATATTTCTGTCTAATCTATGCGTTTCAAGTTATGACGCGGAGTTGCATGCGATCGCTGAGGCAATTCCCGTTTTGGAAATGGTACAGGAGAAGTATCGAGTATGGGGAATCGAGGCCGCAGCTATGCTGCTGTCAGACAGCAAAAGTGCGGTGTTGAGAATTTTGAGTAAATCGGTGATCTCCAATTCAGATGCGCCGGTGTTCAAAGTTTTGGCGAAAGTGAAAGCAGCATATCATTTTGGTAGGTGGGAACTCGGTTCGATCACAGACCGAGCAAATTTTGCTGATGGTACTACCAAGGTATGTCAAGGTAGTAAGATCGTTCAGTTTCTGGAACTTTTGAAAGGAAAACTAGTTCTCCCTCATGGACAAGCTCATGTCCATAGAAGAAGGCACACACGGGAGAAACCACTAAGATCAGGTCAGAAGGAAATTTAGAAATTGTGGGTTCCGTCGTGAATTGTAAATGAAAATAAGGATCTTCAACATAAGAAACCAAGAAGAAGTATGTGAGTGAAGGATTAGTAATTTTCGTGGGAATATGATGGGAAGTTTTGCTGACATAGTATTATTATTTCAAGTTTCATTTCTGCGTGTAAGTAACAAGTAGTAAGTTCGAGTGAGTATTTATATATCTTCACCGACAAGGTTGACCATGGAGTAGCGTTGGTAAGAAGTGAAAAGTTTTCTTTTTCTCAAAACATGAAAAACAGGGAAGTAAGAAACTCTCAGAGCGATCGGATTGTTTGTCTAATTAGAAGGCACATAGATGGTAAGCATTGGCAGAACTAATCTAGAAAGTCTACCGTGGAACTCTCGTCGTCGATTTCGTCACGATAGTTGTCTGTTATTTGGAGTTAGAACAGCACCGATTCAATTTTGTCAAAGTGTGTTTGAAACCCTTGCTCAAGACAGCCTGAGGATGTCAACTCTGTACGATTACACCTACAACGAGCCAGTCCAGTTGGCTTCTCATCTGGCTGCGCTCGGAATTGACGCATCTTTTATAGATAGTCATGCTGCCGAACTGGAGGATGTCACTTTCGGAATCCTCGCTAAGGACGCGACACCAGTCCCAGAGGGGTCGTTTCCAGTGTCCGAGGGAGTTTATTCCCGATGGCATTGTTTGGATGCGATCAAGCGCTACATCCAACGGCGCTTCAACTTCTTTGACGCTGATGATGTTGACTTTCTGGTCGACCTGGCAGTCAAAAACATGGAGGATCGCGGCGTTCTCTGCTCGAACTGGCAGGGACGTGAGCAGGTCATCCAGGTGGCGTATGTTGATGATGTATCCTTTGTTCTTGCAAAGGGACGTGGGCATATTGCCTTGTCAAACTCTACTAAGAACAAGTAAAGAGGAGGGTGAATGGAAGTGAGACAAAGATAAAAAGGTCGCCCATCATGTTTTTCATCCTACAACATTCATAACGGACGAGATAAGAAAAAGAGAAAAAATTTTATTTGGGTGCAGGCATTTTCATTTGTAAGATCTTTTATGAAGGAATGAGGTTGAGGTGATAAGACCTCTGCTGTTAGATTATTTCTTCTTTTAACGGTCGGGTTGGTTGGTGCTGCTGTACTAATTATAGACTTTCCGTTGTCAGGATGGCACTGGTCATCGGACTGCCAGGGGCAACAGACACGGCGATGCTACCGTATTGCCTATGTGTCGGGGAGGTAGGACATCACTGGATGGTCTTGCTGAGGATCCAAACCCAAAACTGAGACTATTCTTCAGTCTTTTTCTTGCTATGACCTGTATCGTAGAAAGCTTGTTGATGGGTGAAAGTTCGAAGGAAGTTCTGTATCGGATCTATCGAAGTGCTGAAGTCTAATGGGATATGGAAGGAAATAATTGAGGAGCAAAGTTTAGAATAGGATCGTCGAATGAAATAGATCCTATACCTCTCGCACTGACCCGTAACGCCGAGCAGGAACATTCATTCTTCCCCCCCGGAACTGTCGACACTACAAGATAGCGGTTTCTGATTGTTCTTGGTGGAGTCTGTTTGTTTCTTCTACTGCTCGAGCGTAACGAGAGTCGTGAGAGAAGGTAGAGGGAAAGATGCAAAAGGGTTTTGTTAGTTTGAAAAAGTAAATGAAGATGAATCGGGTTTGTTTTGTTTGACCTTTCGAATGGTTCAAGTAATGTTGAATTACTTAAGGTAGTTACGACTTACGAGAAGGTTAAAGAAGACGAAGCAGTCACTCATTCATTCAAATCACGCATTGCATTGGAACACTTCTCCCTCCTCCTTCCTCATGACCCTTGCTTGTTGTGAACTGCCCACTTCGGTGGCTCAAGGTTTGTAATTGTGTAAGTCAAAACACTCATACAACTTCTTTCACGATACACGATTCGCTTGAGATTGATAAAACCATAAAACAAATGACGTCTCCGCATGGAGCACGACGCGACTGATTCTCCGCCTTGTACGATTGTGTTCACCACCGATCAAGGATAAAAGAGAATACGAGAGCGCGATCACTCTTTCCGACATTATTTGATTTCAATACGCAAACAATAACAAACGAAAACGAAACTGGAGCTGTCCAGGTCCACTCTAGGATGTTGGTAACGATGAGCGACGACAAGTATGTCGCAGTGTACGACGGGACATCAAGGGAAAAGCGCGGCGTCGAGTCGAAGAATCTGGCTAGGGCTAGTTCGTTACGATGCACGACCTCGCGGCACCGCCGTCGCCTGCCGGCGAGAGTACGTTGCAATCTGCGGCTGCGTCCGTTTTGCGCATCAGTTAGCTTCGTTCCTTTGCATCTCGCTATTGTTGCAGTTGATGCGCGCGATCAAGCACGTGGAGTTATCACCAAAACTGCTACGACTACTAGTGCGAGAGACGAGGATGCCGACCATGCTACGGATGACGATGATGCGAAAACAGATACTGCAGCAACGACGCGGACGATAGACAGTGAAGGCAACGCGAATAAAGTAGAAGATGATGCGCCATCATCACTTAACGACCACGATCGAATTCCCGCCGAGAGGACCGGAGCAGAGTCGGCAAGCGGTGGAGCCTCAACATTATCCTCGTCTTTCGAGGAGAAAGAAGCTCGAGAGCAAGATACATCAAAAGAGGGCGCTGTTGAGCACCTTCTCGACAGGCTAAATCCTGAGGAGCGAAATCAGTTGCAGACCTTCCTAGAAGTGATTGATCATCGTGATCGCGTGGACCGTGACAACACGAAGCAACGTCATCTGGATAGAGAACAAGCAAGTCGAGAACATCATTTCACCAGAAATAACAGAAATACCGGTAGAAGCCCTAGCAGTAGCACCCAGTCCCAGTCTACTTCTGCATCTTCTACTTCTTCATCAACAAAAAATCCAGCTGCTGCAACATCTTTTCTAGAGGATGAAACAAGGCATTCAACAAGAGAAATAGACAGTTTTCCGAGAACATCTGGTTTTCCTGGAACATTATCTACTCAGCAGCAACTCGGTGATTTGGAGCGTCAGGAACTGGAACACCTTCTGGAGTCTCACAGAGGTTACGGAGGGGACTCCGATCAGATGAAGGTTCTTTTAGAAGAAAAAACGCGAATATTGCAACAAATTGCTGAGGATGGACCCCGTGGGTCTATAACTAGTGCCACAACTAGCAGCAGGAGCAGGAGAACAGCAAGGACTTCTAAGACGAGAAACTTTACAGATGCAGTCACACTGCGTTCGGGAGAAGCAGAAGGTACAACAAAACATGAAGGCTATAAAAATAGCTACGGTCACTCCTCGAGAGCAGAAGATGCGGCAAGCTCATCAATGTTGCAGAAACAGGCGCACATGGGACAACATGGCCATCGAAAGCGTCATGAGAATCTTATGATTCGGCGGGACGAGAGCATTGGCCTTGGCGGATACGGAGGACACCAGACCACGACGAGAAACGTCCAGGAGCACCACGCCGGCGATAGGGAGAAAACGATAGAATCAGATGTAGCGGACGATCGGCCTCTCCTTGATCCAGTGCCCTTGGCTGATCCGCGCTCCGACTCGCCCTCACGTACTACTTTTCCATCACGTACTACTTCTAACTCTATCATCAAAAACAAGTATCATGAAGAAGAATCCTGTTTGTTGATCAAAGACAACTACTACAAACAGAGACGTACCTTGACATACATCTTTCTAAGAACTCTATTCTTTGCTTCAACGAGGAGTTTTGTAGAAGATGTCGCACACACTCTCACCCACGACACTTTACACACTTCTTACTTCACTCCATCAGGTGTCTTCGCGATCATTCTTGCAGAGTCGCGGGGTGTTGTGGCCTTCTTGCTGATGATCGGCGTTGTCTGCCTGGGCTGTTTCACGCAAAAGATTCTACGATACTGATCAATACCAGGAGGACTCTACTAATAATAGTAATAACCGGTTAATTTTCTCATTCCCTCGCCTTATTCCCTTCACACAATATAATGATACTGATCAAGTCCAAACCCTTTACGCCTACTAAACCAGTTTTATGCGAAAATGAAGAAAACGCATGTGGTCGTGGTGAAGTTAGAACATCAATCTACCAGGCATTGCAAGATGAAGGGCTCCACGATTACAACTCGTCGGATCGGCACAAATTGCTGTGCTTCGAGAAGGCTGCTGATCTTAATGAGATACATCATCAGGCACTCGGGTTGGACAGGATCGCTCGTGCGCGAGAAATCAGACGGTCTGATAGGGACGAAAACGAAAACAAGTGTGCATCTCTTGCATCCCAAAATCCTGATTATCGTTCGTTGCCAATGCAAAGAGGGCGCCATCGAAGATGAGAAATGATGTGGGCGGAAAAGAAACTGCGAAGTCGATTTTTGGCAGAGAATCAACTGAAAGGTGTACGACGAGCCTCTGTTGTCCTTAGTCTACTCTTTCCATCCCTGCTGGTTTTAAGTAATTATTTTTTCTGCGGAATATTAATTGAGCCACCTCCGCCTAAGCGTAAGCTTAAGCGTAAGCTTTGGTTCTTGTTCTTGTAGTTATGCTTTGGTTGTTGTAGTTTAGATTAACGCGTAGGAAATTAAGATGTCCTTTTTAGTTTTTAGTCAGAGATTGATGTATGCGATTTTGAACCCCGAAAACGATAACAAAGCCAAAAACCATCCAAATGGTGCGTCAAGAACGTGAGTCTCCGGCATCACCTGCCGCGACCCCTCACGGCAAGAGAGTGCAGGGCAGTCCTGTCGGATCGAAAACGAGGAGGCGCCGCATTCGCAATCGCGTGTTTCTGTCGCCACTCTTGTGCCTGACCTCCAGTCGAGGCGTGTTTGACAGTGCTCAGCATGCAGTTACAGCACGAAAGGATGAGGATACACGAGCTTCGGAGGGACGTGACTTGAGAGGGCATCATTCGGACCTGGCAGGTGAGATTCGTGTGCTACCTGCAGCATCTTCTAACTATCCGTCGGGTGCGAGTACCCTCGTTCCCGCTGGCCCATCACACCGCTCTGACATCTTCCTTGACGAGTTACATACGCACTTTCACGAATTTCAAAGTGCGAAGGTGGTACGACCCGACCGACCGACGCGGGGTGGCGCGGCGAAAAAGGCACCGCCGTCTTTTGTCGAATTGCGCGACTTGGCAAGACGATTTGGTGCCTCTGATCATGAGCTCGCACTCCTTGATGAGTTGTTACGTGGCGAGATAGGGCGTCGCGCATCTTCATCGTTTTTGGATGACCCGACAAGAGTGGCCCCAAAGCATTTTGCTACTAGTAGACGAAGAAGTGATAGGAATGACGCAGTAGGTGCTGGTGGTGTTGTAGTGACAGACGGGCAAGAACATCCAAGTGAAATTTCTGGGAACGATGCAGCGTTGCAGGCAAAGGTGCATACATAGTAAATTTTTAACATCACATATTCATATTATAATTGCCACGGCCTCTTGTCCATCATGATCATGCAAGTAGAATTAATAATGCTGTTCATGATCTTACTAGGGAGCTTCCGCCTTGAATATACAGACTCCCGAGGCCCAGCAATATGTCCTCTGAACTCCTCCAGAGATTTGTTTTAGGACATTGATAACTGTATTCAGGTAGTGAATCATCTTGGAGATGTAGGAGTTGCGGAGCCGTCGATGAAACCTGCAAGGCTGCGAAAAGAGGTAGATGATCATCATGTTGCGCCTCCACTTCCACATACTGTTAAGAGTAGGTGGTCTTAGATTTTCCTGGTGCCGTTTGTTGTGTCTTTTTGAAGAGGGAAAGGCATAACGGACGGGGTAAGTAAGCGCCAAGTCCTTGCGTCTAATATTAGCACAAGCATGCGTGACAGAATCGGCGAGCATTTGTCTTCTCTTGTCGAATATGTTCATGGTGTGACCAAGTCTACGATTGGTAGTAGTCATCCTGTGGATGCTGGATCAGGTGGCTCTTCGTCTAGTGAAAGTGGTGGTGCGCCTTTTGCTACTCAGACCGAGCACATCAATCATAAAGAGGACCGAAAGGACAAGAAAGACCGACATCTTCAAAAGCAACATGGTGGGAGGAAACACGAAAAAGAAAATCAACTTCTCCAGCACAATAAGCCCGTAGTAGAGCCGAGCCACCACCAGCACGCTAAAAATACATCCGTGTCTTCCAGTAATGAACCACGTGGACAGAAGGCACGGCGAACAGAGGCATCATCCCAAATGACCGAAAAAATGCGCACATCACAAACGGTGATTTTTAAGGCTCAACTTTCATTGGTCATTGAAGTTGGTCACTGACACCGAAGCGGAGACCTCATGAGACAACACGGGAAATCAAACTCTAAGGGATGAAGGGCTCTGTAAGGGGCCTTGTCCCGTTCAGAGTCAGTGACCAATGACTGTTGACCTTTAAGATTTACAAATTTCAAGCCTACTTCATGGGCGGAAGTTACATGTGGAGCTCCGGGGAAGACTTTCAATACCTCTTATGACAACAACCTCACTGGATTCAATTTAGATTTTGAGCATCTTGAATTCGCTCGGCTCCCTATCAGGACTATTTGCATGCTGAATCATCATTAGCATTAATTGTTTGTCCTTCTCGTGTAGTTCTACTTTCCTCATAAAACTCATCCTGCAAGGCGAGGCACATCTTTACGACGTATTCGTATCACGCGCATCAGCACCAGTTTCTTGTAATTTTTCGCTAGGACTGAGTCGTCCTTTCATTCTGCTGCGCATGCGACTTTGACACCAAAACGTGCTCACAGAGCGGAGCTTTCTGTATGGACAAGAGCTCCCCGGCAGCCGTCAAAGTCGCCTTACTGGTACTTTCTTTGATCTCAACAAGAGCAGCATGATTTATGAGTGGATGAGAATGTGACTATATTAATAAATAAAAATATGATTTCTTTTTCTACATCGACCACTTACTTTTTGTACTAGAACTTCTATCATCTGACAAGTAAACACATCAGTTGAAATGCGTCGCGACGCCGGATGCCGACGAGTGCAAGGAGGCAGAAGCAGAGGAGGTAACGAATACGTCCAACGATGCTGCTGAAGCGGAGGAAATAACAGTCACCGAACCTCCCACGACACCGAAACCCCAAGCTGAACGGTAGTAGTCATATCAAAGCAAGAAGAAGAACCTGAACTACTTGAACAGATGATGAAAAGATTACACCTGATTGTACTTCCAAATGTTTTAGATGATGCTTTCTTCGCAGAAGGTAACGGGACAAAGGCATACAAAAAAAAAAAACACAACACAAATCAATAACAACTTTCTACATCAAGCACAGCAAGATGTGCAAAAATAGCGATGAATGTTCAACGCGAGCACCGAAAGTCACCGTACTAGAGTAATGACCAATGAATCAATCAGAATGATCGGCTGCTCCTCTACCCCTCAAAACCCGACGAGGATAAGTCATGTCGATGATCTTCAGTTAGTTAGACTGCAAAGCAATGCTATGCCATGGGCAGTAGATATGAAAATAGACGACTAGGAGCGCAGTTAGCGAAGAAAACAAAATAGACATAACTGACATTCAGCTTGGCCTTGGTGTCAAATAGTTGTACTACGACGATTTTTATTCGAGGTGAAAAAGCTGAGCGGCGTCAAGCTAAAGAGATGCGCGGCTTTTGTTGAGAGATGACGAGCAACGTAAAAATGAATGCTATTTCTTTGAGATGAACAAGGAAAACTGGTCTTGTTAGAAGTTTGGACGAAAAGAACGCAGGATGCAAGAGAAAACGGAACGACGAAAAAGTTGTAGTAGAGTTGAAGCACATCGAGGCAAACAAGATCATGTCAATCTTCTCTCAATCTCGATCTCAATCTCTCTTTTTTGCCTGTTTCTGACCGTCAGCCGGCTAAGAAGATCAGGCCCACGCGTCGTCCGCATCGTTTTGGTTCTACGTCCAGTAGGTCTACTGTCAAACCGATGGATGCATGATTCAATTTTTGAGTCTGATAATTGATGTCTTGAGAAGCAATCTTGCGGAGTATTCTATTACACACAAAGACAGGCCGTGTGGATACGTGAGAGTAAGTAGATGATAATTTAGTTCTTTCTCACAAAACTTTTGTTCTTTGGAATTGAATTTTTGTGTCAAGTTGTATCATGCACTAGTGCTCCACTACTTAAAGTAGCTGGACGGAGAGCAGAACGAACTCGGAGGTAGTAGCGATTTCTGAGGTAGCAAGCATCTACTTGAATGCTGAGATAGATATTGCAGTTGTTCACAACATTGAAATTGATTTAACCAGGTGGAGCCAATTATAATAGTTGTATCGCCATCAACATCAAGTGAAAGGAAAACTACGAAAAATGAATTGGTGGAAGAACAAAGCAGACTACCACTACGTCTTTCATACAGCCGTTCATCTTAAAGATTAAGACATAAACGATGAGCAACCAAGCTACTTCCTCGATCTCGTGTTTTCTCACTTAGCGCAGCAGCCGCAATGACTGCGCCAGGGCCGCCTCCTGCAGGCGGCGATGGAGCCTCTGGCGGCGAACGCACACCGTCATCCTTGTTCGCGTTCGCCACAAGTGCGGGTTCCAATTTGCTCGCTGCCGGCTCGCAGGCACTGGAGGCGGCGAAATCGGCAGCAGTAGAGGCCTTAGACGAAGCCGAGCAAGAAGAACGCGCAAATGCCGCGGCCGCGAGTCTAGCATCATCAACAGAAGGCGCTTCACCTAAGACACTCGCCGCAAAGCTGCAGGTTGCACAGAGAGAGGTATCTGATCATCGTCCGTGTGCTTGATATACTCACTTTTTGAAATTGATAATAGATATCCAACATAGAAGCTGCTTTGATGAAGGAGATCCACCAGAAGAGACTACTAGTACTAGTTCGATTTTGATATAATTGTACTCGCGTTACAACTAGCTTGGAGTTGGAGGTTCCTGCAAAAAACTAACCTTAAAAAAAGTTCACCTCCTCTTTCCCTCCCACTGCAGATCCAGCGTTTGCAGAAAGAGAATGCAAGTATCGCTGCCACTACGCAAGCGACGGTGCGACAGGAGTTTTCGGCAAAGTTCGAGGACGTGAAGGCCAAAGTACAAGAACGCTTGAGAGCCAGCAACGATGAGAAGGTGGCATTGCAAACGCGCGTTCACGAACTTGAGCAGCAGGTTGCTAACTCAGGAGAAGGAGGAGCGGCTGCGGCAACGACTGGTGGCGATAGTGCTGCAGCAGGTGGAACTACAGCCACGACGGAGACACCAGAAGCGCTGGAAGCTAGAGTCGAGGCCCGGCTGAGAGAAGAGTTTGACGCTCAATTGGTGACAGCAAAGACGACATTGCAAGAAAAATGGGAACAACTGAAAAAATCCGCGCAAGAAAAGATGCAAGAGAAGGAAACTGAGTACTTTCCTACATCATACCTCATTTTGTTGTACTTACTTGTTGATGTTCTTGTTCTCTTGTAGTTCAGTTGTCGGGGCACGAGCACGAGCTACTGGTGGTTTGTAAATAATCATTGAGAAGAAAAGGCGGTTTTGAAATGTCTTCCTTGTCCTCGAAAATAATAGAAGCCTTGTAAAAGTAGTATGTGATCATGCATATCGGACTTGTTCGACCACCAAACTTATCCTCAACATCCAGTGCACATCAATTGCCAGGCACACGCAGCAATTGTCGTCTTTGCAGGAAAAGATTGCTGCGCTTGAGACCGCGAGCACTGCTGCCGCATCTGCTGCGGCACCCTCAACGGAGACCACTGATGGTGCTGCTCTAGAGGAATTGAAGGCGAAGATGACTCAGCTGGAGCAAGACGGTTCCGAGAAGCAGCAAAAGATTGATGCTTATGTGGAGCGCATGAAAGTGTTAAAAGAAACTTTCATGAAACAGCGTGAGGCGCAGCAGGCCGTCGAGAAGGAGCGCGACGAAGCTAAAGCGGCACTCGAAGCTGCCAACAAGTCAGCTGAAGGCAGTTCGCGAGTCACTGAGACCGAAACCGTGGCGCAGCTTGAGCGAGCGAAGGTCGCTGAAGAGGCATTGGTGAGTGTGCAGGAACGTTGTGTGGCGGCCGAAGAACGCATTGCGCTTTTGCAAGAGGAGGCCGCAGCATTGCGCTGGGAAGCGGACACTGCGAAACAGACCGCGGCCACAACTGCTACTACGGCGGACAACGCCGCGAAAGCAGAAGAGCAAGCTGCGAAAATGAAAGAAGAGATGGAGCAGCGCCATCGAGAGGAGGTTGAGGCTCTCAGCAGTAAACACGCGGCAGCCTTGGCGGAAGCGCAAGCGCGAGTCGCGGAGACTACGAACTTGCTCACTGAGCGCGCCGCGGATTTGGAGCGTAGCAAAGAGCGCGTAACGCAGTTGGAAGAGACTGCGGAGCAACAAGCCGAAGCGGCGAAGCAGCAGGTGGAAGCCGCCGTAAAGGAGCTCGAGGCCGTCAAGAGAGAAGCAGAGCAGTCGCACAAAGACGCCGTCTTTTTTGAACAGCAAGTTGCGGATATGCGCGACAACAAAGTTGCTAGTGACCAGCTAGCCTTGTTTCAAGGTGAGATCAAGGAACTCCAAAGTAAGCTTGCTACCGCAACGCAGGAACGGGATGCCAGCGTGAAGGAGCTGCAGCTGTTGCAGCACACCCACGAAACCATTCTGGCGAAGGAGCGGGATAACGATCATGTTCTGATCTTCCAACAGGAAATCCAGTTGCTCCAGCAGAAGCTGCGCTCGGAGCAAGAAGAACGCCACACGCTGGAAGATAAGCTTTCCATGCACGAGCACGACAAGGAAGTGAGCGACAAGCTGCAGACGCAGCTCTTCGCGCTGCAGCAGAAATTCCGGACGGAATCAGAGGAAAAGGTCGCCTTACAACGGAAAGCGGAGAGTCTAGAGATGGAGATCTTAAATCTCAAGGGCAGCGCTAGTGGCGCGGCTTCGACCACCTCAGGAGCCGCGTCGGGCAGCGCCGACTTGCTGCAAATGGACACTTCCTCGGCCGCGACCGTGTCGAGCTCGTCGAAAGACGCGTCCTCGAAAGAAGGTTCTGTGGGCGAGGCCAGCCAGGAGCTTCTGGTGGAAAGTCAAGAGCGCGTGGCCGCATTGGAGGAGCGGACGCGGGAATTGGAGCAGCAGCTTGCACAGAGGAGTGAGGCGCTGACCAAGCAGGGTGTGGCCTTCGAGGAAGAGCGAAAATTGTTGGGGGATGATTTCGAGACGCAAAAGTCAGATGCCCTGCAAGCCCTGAGAACCGAATTCGCGGCTAAGTGGGAAGCAGCCAATGCGCAGCGGGTCGAAGCAGCGGCAGTAGAAAAGACAGTATTGGAGGAGCAGGTACGGGCAGCAACGGAGACGAGCGCCAAACTGCAAGCGGATATGCAGGCGTCACAGGAGACGCATGCGAGGGAGGTCGCAGCGCTGCGGGAAGAACATCTCAAAGAAATGGAATTGTTGCAGGCAGCGGGCGCGAGCATGGAAGAAGGGGCCGAGCAAATGAAGCAACAGGCAGCCGAGGCAGCAGCGCAGCAAAAAGAGACTATTGAAAAGGAAAGGGCGCTTTTGGAAGAACAGCTGCGCGTGGCGGCTGAAAGACAAAGCGTTGCGGCGGAGACACAAGTAAAAGAGTTTGAAGCAGCAAAGGCCGAGCTTGTGGCGCGAGTCGAGACGCTAACAGCCGAACGCGATGCTGCAAAACAGGGTGCGGGCGAGGCGACTTCGCTCGGCGAGCAACTAAAAGAAGTCGAAGCATCGAAGGCCAGCCTCACCGCGCAGCTTGAGGCGTTAACAGCCGAACGCGATGCCGCAAAACAGGTTGCGGGCGAGGCGACTTCGATCGGCGAGCAACTAAAAGAAGTCGAAGCATCGAAGGCCAGCCTCATCGCGCAGCTTGAGGCGTTAACAGCCGAACGCGATGCCGCAAAACAGGTTGCGGGCGAGGCTTCTACTATTGGTGCGCGACTGCAAGAAGTCGAAGCAGCCAAAGCTAATTTAGCGGCGCAGGTTGACCTTTTGAAAGCAGAGCGCGATGCCGCAAAACAGGTTGCGGGCGAGGCTTCTACTATATTAACTGGTGCTCAACAACTGCAAGAAGTCGAAGCCGCAAAGGCAAGTTTAGCTGCGCAGGTTGACGCTTTAACAGCAGAACGGGATGCTGCAAAACAAGCTGCAGATGCTGCTTCTATGAGTGGAAAACAAGCAGACGCAGCCACTCTTGCCGAGTTGGAGGCGGCGAAACAGCAGCTCCAGAAAGAGGAACAAGCAGTAATAGAGCTGCGCGCAGAGAGGGAGCGCTTGTCTGCAGCCGTTGCTGCGGCCAATGCAGGTTCCACTGAACGCGAACAGCAGCAGACTGCAGCGCTTGCAGCAGCAGGTGCTGAAGCGAAAGAGGCACAGGAGAAACTCGCGACAGCACTGGCTCAAAAACAAGAGCTCGAGACTGCGTTGGAGGCAACACGCAGTGGAGCGCAGGCCGCGGAAGCTGCATCGGCGGCGAGTGCTCCGGCGCTCCCCACGGTGGAACCTACACAGCCCCTTCCAGAGGCACCTCCACAGCCTGAAGCTGCACTATCTGCGGAGCGAGAACAGGAAATACGGAATGAGTGCGAGGCAAAATTCAAGGAGGATAAGCTGAGGATTCGTGAGGAGTTCGAGTCGCGGTTGAAGGCCAAGTTGCAATCTGTTGTCGAGGATTTTGAGGCGAAGCAAGCAGCAAAAATCAAAGAAGTGGAGGACCAGCATAAGGAAAAGGTAAATACTCGTAAGAAAGTCGTAGTACTAGCGACGTGCGAGTCCAAGTTGTACTTCATCCTAGAAATGTCGTATGTGTTTTTAAGCATGGCTGCTCCTTGTTCTCGTTTTTTCTTTGTTCCACCTTCATCATCGTTTTTTTTTAGAAATAGAATTCCTCGCCACATCAAACACAATGAATGATCTTCAAATTAAATTCAGGAAGTGCAAGGGTCGGAGAGCGTGAGTAAAGCTTTAGAAGACCAGAAGCAGCAACTTCTGAAGAAGTTCCAGGATAAGTGGGCGTTTGAACGGGCCGAGTTTGATCGGTCCCAACAGCAGCAGCGGGACCAGTTCGCTGAGAAGCTCTCTGCGGTCGAGGGTCAGTACCGCGAACAAATTGGAGCTTTGGAGAAAAACGTGCAAGACGGCAGCAAAACGAAGGCGGACGAAGTTTTGCACCTGCAAAAGTGCCACGCCTTGCAAACCCAGGAGCTCGAAGCGGAACTTCAGAGTGTGAGGACCGCACTCGCAAAGCGCGACGCGGAAGCACAAAACCTGCAAGCGGAACGTCAAGACGGCATTACCGCTAATGCGGAACTCGAGAAAAGCCGGGTCGCGATGGAAGAACTCCGCAAGCAAATGGGACAAAGGGAAAAAGACGCAGCCGACCAACTGCGAGAAGCAAACGAGCGAGCACAAAGAGCAACATTGTACTGTGCACTTTTGCAACCTGGTGTAACAATGAGAATTAGACGACGATCACATTCTTTCTGGTGCAAAGCCATAATCTTCAAATTCGGTCACTTTTTAGCAGGAGCGTGATATGCGTACTTGTTGCAAGAACTACAGGCGTATCATATTCTTTTTTAGCGATCAAATAGAAGTTGTGCTTGTGGAGTAGTTGCAGTGATAGAAGTGTCTAGTAGTTCGATTGAGCTTCAATTTCATGTAAGTACCAACGTCCAGGTTACAGCGCGAGAATGAGGAGCTGCGGAAGGAGGCTGCGGAGGATGGGCAAAAATACCATCGCGTCATGCAGGGCATCGTCGAGGCACAGGAGCAGCGCGTCCGATTAGAGACTTTGCTGGAGCAAGAGCGACAGGCACATAGGGACGCGGTAGAGAGCAAGGGTGAGGAGCTGCAAGCGGAATTTGACTCTCAGATGGCGGACTTGCGATCATCCACCGACAAGCGAGCAAGGGAGCTGGAACTGGAAAAACAAAAGCTGGAGTTTGAGCACGGCAACTTTTCGAAGGAACTAGACCGCGTACGAGGGCTCCTCGACGCGAAAACGAAGGAGTTGCGAGACAAGACGAAAGAGTTCGCTGAAGGCATGGTCGGTTCGTCTAGCATAGAACTCGCAAACAAGGTAGGAGGTCCTGCAGGACCATCGTCGGTCGGAGTTGGAATGAGCAGCGTGGTAGACCATCAACATCACCATTTAGGGCAATCCCCCAGCCATCTGATTGGAGGTACAAGCGCTGCAGCTTCTGCGAGTGCAACGAATATTCAGCACACGCTCGAAGTCGACCACTTGCGCAAGAAGCTGGGTGAGCAGACGAAGCGCATTGAGGTGTTAGTATGCGAGAAGTCTGCTTTAAACTTGGAGATCCAGAACATGAGTCGGCGTCTAGACTTGGAGAGTCTAGGCGTGGAATTTCGTGAATTTGCGCCTCGAAAGGTGCATCACGGGATCATTGTCTTCGACGAGTACTGCCAAAAGGGCCTGTTGTATCTGCAGAAAACTCCCAACGTCCGCGTGGGCCTCTTCGGCTACCTCATCATCGCACTCGCCTTGAACGTGTTCATGTGCGCCAGGTTCCTCCTGGGCTAGGTCTACGGCTAATCTGATGACCACGCAATTGAGCCGAGAGAAAACATGCTGGCTGGCGGAGATGAATACACCATGAACAAGAAACACAACCGCTTTAATAGTCTGTTGCTCACCACCACTCTCCATTTTTATTTGCCTCCTAACTTTCACCATTTAAGAATTAATGAAGTTGGGTCGTTCTCATTTCCTGTGACCCATCTGCTTCGCCCAGGCACTTGTTCACCCACTACAGTTGTGCATTTGTCATGGCACAGAGATCAGGCAGACAGAGGCCACATATTTGTATCTAAAAGTTGTACAATAGACGAAAACTACAAAGGAGATGTCGAGAGATGTCTGGTGGACGTGGTCGTGGAGTCTGCCCCCTCTACTGAAGTGGCACGATAGTGTTTTCCTCGCTTCCAAGCTAAATGCAAGTTAGTGCTATTCCATGATTTACCCCGACCTCCTTTAAAGAATTTCTCTTGTCGTAGTTCTTCTTGTGCTTGTCATGCACAGACTCGCAGTCTTCATAGATGACATCCAAGATGGATCGAATTTTACCAGCGTAAAGTAGAGGTACGTTGAGATCACGGCTTTACTTCTCAAAGCCTCTCCTGTTGACAGGTTCGAAGCAATCATTCTTTGCTCTTCAATGCACTGCTTCGTCTCTTACTCAAACGCAGAGGCGAGGCGACGACACCAGACGAGGTGGAGTTCTTCTCACGGAACAATTGACGTGCAGATGGGTTGTAATGCGAGATTCACTAGAGAGAGAGTGAGAGATTAGATCCACCCCGAGATGATTCTTCGTTCCCTAATATTGATAGTACTGGGAGGGATGGGCTCTTGCCTCTGTAATTATGAGCGAACCAATCTGTTGCAGCGGGTACCGTAGAGATCCACAAGGTTTACGATGGGTTGTGAGGGAGACTATGATTATGAACAAACGAAGAATCCACTCTGTTGTTGCATACTGCTCAGCTCTGTCGTCAGTGTGACATTATTGTTAATAGAGAGATCTCACGCTTAACCTTAAGTACGTTCGCTTATCTCGTTGTCCTTGCTTATTTGGGTGGCTGGAATGTGACCAAGACCACAACGTGAAACGACAAGAAGAAATGTTCAGAGTTGAATACACCTGAAAAAAGTGTTGACATTATCTGTTTGAGAGAATCAAGAAAAGATTCTGGGTAGATGAGGAGGGCGTAAAAATGTCGACGTCGATGATTGTGTTTCGGTTGATTAGAGATTTCAAAATTGATTTTCGGTGCCAATTATAGACTCCAAAAAGAAGTATTCATCGAAAAATTTTCAAAATTCTACTCAGTCCATTGATTCATGATTGTCCTTGAAGACTTTACTCTTGTTTGTTTCTTCTCCTCGTGGTGAGAATCCCTCGTCTTTTCGTCATCTTTTCCCTTTGTGCTTTCGAAAGACTTCAATTTCTTGATCGTTTCGTAGTTGGTTGATTTTCTCGAATCATCAAGAATATATTGAAACCTCCACGTATCAACAATTCATCTGTTTTCTTTTTCCCATCATCCTTCATCCTCTGATCTTAATCGATTTATTCGACATCGACTAGGCGCATCAAGTACAGACTGTTGAATCCTCATCCTACTTCGATCAACCTCCAAGAACACAATGGTGGACCCAGCAGAAGGTGAAGTTGAGGTCGAGAGCAAGGCCGGCCTGGGCAACCTCCTCGGTGCTCTCCGCGTAAACAGTCTGAAGTCCGCGCTCGCGGGTCCTATGCAGCAAGTCGACAAGAAGAAGCTGATCATTCCCGACTCGCTCAAGAAGACAGAGGCGTACAACTAAATTCTTTTGTTCTTGAAAGACCTGCTCTTGGATCAACAAAACGTACTATGCATTAGGAGGTGCACCAGCTCTACCTCATCAAAATCAACCAATCATCTCAACAAATCGTTTCAACATTTAGATTTCAAATCCTTCCACGTAAGTAGTAGATGAAGAGGCCAAACGAGAGTCTCCAGATGAAGATTTACCTCTCTTGTTCCGTTTCGAGAAACGTTGAATCTTCACGTTCACAGGCTTCCGTTCTCACCAAGGAAGCCGTTCGCTCAGTGGAGCCCGAGAACAGTGGCACAGCAGACGCTTGACTACATCGGGCAAGATGAGACACAAAACTCGCCGCTCAGGAAGCTCTGCCGTGACAGCGTCGAGAAGACTCTGCCAGTCAGGGCAATCGTACTTCGTTAATTTCTATTTCAAAAAAACTTGATGTTGATGGAAGATGAATTATGAAGCAGTAGTCAGTAGATGAGCATTTTTTCCAACTGTAGTGGTTCTATCTCCGTTGTAGTTGTAGTCTTCATACAACTGGGATTCATACTGCACTTCGTACTACAATTCGTCTTGTTGATACTAGGATCATCCTGCATGATCGTAGAACTTGAGGATGAGCAGGTTCACATCAGCTTTTGTGGGAATAGAAACTACTCCCACAACACATATCTCAGGTACATCACATCGATGTGGACCCGATGAAGGTGAAGAAGAGCACAACAGAAACAACGCTGCACAATGTCACAACGTACTTCAGCTTTTTTTGCAAACAAAGTTTTTGAAATTTTTGTAAGTAGTTGAGCTTTTCATTTTGAATAGTACTTAGAGTATGTAGTTCTTGTGCTTTTCATTTTTTTACTACTTAGACAGAGTTATATATAATTGAATAGAAAGAAATAAGATCATGAAATATGATCTTCATCAAGATTTTCTTGCGTATAAAAATGTACCACGATCATTCTCCAGGAAGATGAACATCATGAGAGGATTCGTCCCTTGTTTTCACCCAAAGAAATAAATGATAATTCTTCCTCATTTGTCCTCAACAGTGTCAACCGCCGAACACAACGGGCACTGACGGCAGAGGAAGTTGCGGAGAACTGCGAAAAGAGCATCGAGTTTTTCCGCCAGGCCAAGGAAACAAACCAGAAAATGGTACCAACGATCTCGACGTTTGAATTTGTCATATTTAATCTCGTCTTGTTTCTCAAAACTACGACTTACGTAATTAGTATCTAACGCCCTTAATCTCAACTTTTTTCCTTCTAGAAGTGGTATACTTGTTGAATTGATACATAGCCGTTCGTTATTGCGAATCATAAGTCAGTCTAACTATCGAATTATTTTCCTCTTCTTCTTCTAGTCCTAGTTGTACATCAACAACACTCTTCTTGTTGAACGTCTTGCGACCAGCGAAATCAACATCGACGTCGCCGCACATCACAACCCTCTACTAGATGAACATGGAGGACGACAGGGTCACGCTTCTACACTACATCTTAAACAATCCAAGAACTGAACTCCATGTTCATGTTCATCTTCATTCTCATGATGAATGAATCTCCATCTTCTACTTCTTAAACGAAACAACTCCATTTTCATCTTCATGAAGATGAATGAATCTCCAGCCCCTTCATCTTGTAGACATCAACAAGCGATCAGGCAAGACAAATCAAAAACTCGCATCTTAAAATTTTTTGATATTTTGTTATCCCCGATGAATTTTAGGAGGAAATGTTTCCCGGTGGCATGTTCCCTAAGAAGGGCAGCGCTTGGGCTAAGATGCGTGAAAAGAGCAAGATGCGCGGCAAGCTTGAGGTTGCTGGTGCCCCAGCTTCGGGTGCTGCGAGCCGCACCACGACCCGCGATTGATCTTCAGCACAAGGGCGAGGAAGAACGGTGTAGTAGATGTAGATGGACTGCAATGCAGTGGAGGAGGACCGAGAAGATGAACATCTTGGTCATTACAAGCAGATCAGGTTCAAGCGCTACAACAAACCAGCTGGAGGTGGACTACTTATCGGATCGGGTTCAACACCATCGACGATCAAGATCAAACAAGACATTAAAATGAAGAAATCAACGATGACGAGCAGACGAAACCGCGGTCATCATGGACAAGAATTAAAGATGAACTACAACCAACGATAATTAGTGATTCTCCTGCTTGCAGCTGTGGTTTTATCTCAATCGGATCATGCTTAACCCCGAGAACAACAAACATTAACATTCGTTCCTCGATAAATGTGGGCATAGAGTAAGTAGATAAACCTCTGTAATTGAAACAAGAACGTTATTTACCCCTACCTCTACGAAAAGAAGATGTTCTTGTTCCTCATCATGTCATATAAATGCATTTAGTTTAATGAAAGAAAGTCAGTCCTTCGTTAGTCGTTTTAGTTCATATTATTTGTCACAACAAGAGTAAAGAATTGAAAAGTAATTGTAAATGTCGTAACACACGCACACCGCGTGAATGTAACTAGCTATTAATTTCTGTCAACAATGAAGTAGTCATACTTACTGAGTAGAAAATAGAAATAGATCGTAGATTTTCTAGAGGGATCGCAAATTCTTGGAAAATAGTAGAATCTTCTCTATCAAAATTCGGGGATAATTTGTCTTTTAATATCAACCCGCGCAGCAGAATTGATATCTCTCCTGACATCAAGTCTCATTCTCATCAAGTCTCGGATGAGAACGAGTTGAGACCTTATCCACTCCAATTAATGATAGCAACGAACCAGCAATGAATAATTAATGACCTCTCATCCATGAGAGTAAGTTGTAGAAGATGTTACTTCGAAGAATAAGAAGGTAGTACCAAGACAACGTGAAGAAGTGTTGGATTTATTTTGTGGCGTAGCCTTTCTCTTGCATTGCAAAACGTAGCGAACATGATAGTCGCAGTTGCTGCAGAATAAAGATGAAAGGTTGAAGATACCTAGCATGGAGGATTCAAGAACTCATCATCAATGACTCATTTTTACTCCCAGTTGAAAGAATCGAAGCGAGGAACCGCATGGAGCAAACTCCGGAAGAAGTTTCAACAGGCGGCGATGAATTAGGAGGTCAATTTTTTCTTCCCGGTACCGGACCAAGCGAATTATCCTGCGGCCGGCCTTGGGTTTTCTCTAAGGCCTGATCATCAGGAATGCACTACAACAACGCTTGATAAAAGACCTCGCCCTGCCGAAGAATATCTTCAACACACAATCAATTACTTACAAAAATTGCTCTACTAGTAACATTAGTTTTTGTGTTTGCGCTCGTCTTTTGCTATCAGATCTCATCTATCATCTTGTTCAATCTACTTCTACTCTGCTTGCAACCAACAAGAAGCTTTTCTTTTCCCGATTATATTAGCTAATTCGAAAATGCAAATCGATATGATTTTTAGCAGTATGCATCTGCATGACCTGGAGATTTGGAAATGAAATTAAAATTGGGAGATCGAAGAACATCCCCACGTGCTCGTTCGTTCGTGCTCTCGATTTATGATTGCTTTTTTCATTCCATCCTGCGTGCACTTATTTGCATGATGCGCGTCTATGCCATAACTAGCATTAGATTGTTCATCATCTTCTTGCACACTCATCAACTACGGGGCACCACCAGGGGTTGCAAGAAATATTCGAAAATAGCACTGTAGTTATGGTCTTTGGGGGGGGTTCATTTGAAATTACAACTCAATCATTTCTTTGGAAACACCAGGAATGTTTTTGAATTTGATACTAGTCAGACATTTCATTCTTGAATGATCGTGCATCTTGTTGTATTCAAACAATATTTTTTCTGGATAATTATAGTTTGGTTTGGATATAGTTGGCGTCCGGGAGCACTGATAATCAAATTTGAGTCTTGTTGAGTTGCATTGTTACGCCTTCCACGCTTAGGAGCCTTCATGGATGTAGCAAAGGATCATGTGAGTTCGCTCTCCCAGTTTACTTAGAAAGAGCCACCGCAAGAAGTCCAAAGGCCTTCTTGAAAATACTACAGGTACAGCCCTTCACACCAGAGGACTATCTGCAGCTGAAGATGCCCAACTGCAGCTACAACCACAGTTCAATTTTTCCTAAATGTGTTCTTCAACAAGTTGTACTACGAGTAGCCAGTTATGATGGCATCATCCAGTTTCATCTTGATCCAGAAACGTCGGTGCTTCGTTTTTTTTGTCTGCAGCTAAGGACCAGCTGCTGCTATGTCAGCTTGGTTTCCACGGTCAAAATCGGTCACACAAATATTTCGTCGAGAGCAAATTATCTCAGCGATGTACATACAATGAAGAAATTTCGATCGTTACGAACAATCTGTTACCTTCTCGAAATCGGTTTCGGTAGTAGATTTCCGCATCAACGCAACTCCTCATCAACCTCCGAATGTATGATCCCCCATTCTTTTCTTGGTTGCACTAAAGGTACTACGTCGAGCTCCTCACGTCCTACTCAGCTTCTTGATCATCATGATGTAAAGAAAGTTGAAGATGCCGTAACTCGACCACTGAGTAGTTGATATCACTGTTGAGAAGTGTGCTGAGTCAGACTGGAACCCTTCTTGTTCTCGCTTCGAAAACGAGGAGAAACAGACTGATAGGAAAATCGCTGGAAGAGGCAAAACTACATTGGACTGCCAACGCGACGAATCTCATAAATACATATATTTGTATCTCTTGCCCTTAAGAAGCAGTACTCGTATTGCTAGCAGCTACAACAAGATCTTGGCTTTCACCGCTTTTCAGACCGTAGCGAGCAACAACATAAGCGTGGAAAAGCAATTCGTGGTATACCGGACGACTGTGTTACTAGATCACAAGACCACCACAACTACTCGACAAGAACAACTGCCAGGAACAGATCTCCACTTCAACTCCGACCAGAGATCCGCGACAGCACAGAAGCAACAGGATGCCGGTTCCTGGTGCTTACAGAATTCCTCCACGACAGGTAGGGGGCAGTAATACTGTCGACCCTTTCTCGTTGTGTCCTCGTAACAACGATGCTGCTCAATACAACGTTGGTTTTACTAAGAAACGTGATCTAGCTGAACCGCAACGCATGACCCAGAAACAATATCGCGTCTACCCTCTCCAGGAACAACAGCCAGCAGAGACGCCACCGAACGCGAATTTTGAAGATGAAGAGAGAGAGAGTCCACAGGACACCAGTCCGTCTAACTATATGGACACCATGTTTTCGCCTCCACCTGGGTCCGCTGCCTCTGGTAATACTGGAACCGGACGTGGGTCGGGTCGTATCGGTCGTGGCAATAACTACAGCACCTCACCGCCAGCACGACCTTCCAACAATGTTTCCTCATCTGCGTCTATGCAGCGTCGTATCGAGATTTTACGACCGGCGAACAGAGCAAAGGTTTCACCTCTACTGAACAACAAGAAAGTTTCTACTCCTTCTAGCACGACTAAGACTACCTCTCCTGTCCCCGGACGAGGACACCAAGGGAGCACGGATCAACCGGATGGCGGGATGTTCAATTGGCCATGGATGCCAAAGGATCCGAACCAGTCGAAAAAAAAATTTCTTGTTGTGCAACCGACCAAGAAGTCTGACAACCAACATCCTTTAACCCAGATCTACGATCGTGCGCCGATCGCAGCGCCGGTCGGAGGGTGTTCGGTACTGTCTGATGAAGATAACACTCTCGGAACGACTTTTATGCCGCCATTTGATATAGAGTTGATTATAGAGGTTTCGGTTATTTTACAGCTGTAGCTCTAGCTTGAGTTTGATTGTCGAACAGAACAAGGTAATTCTGATACATAGTTCAGCGTTCTTAGCGTTCAAATGAACTACGTCTCGATATGCTGAGACATGGATGTGTTTGATATGATTAAACATTTTATTTTCATTTCCATCTCTCCTCGTTCTCGACGCATCATTTTCCCCATCTTCTAATGCAACGACTCCTGGCAAAAGCACGAGGAACTGGAACCGATCGCCTGTCACGCAGCACCAGAAGAGCATGCCTTTCACACGCAAAAACATTAGCCCAACACCGCGTTCTGCTCCTGCAGACAAAATACGTATGTCCTACGCATCTCCTTCCGGTGGTGCAGCCAGCAACTTTCCCATCCAAGAAGATTGCAGTGGGACACGCCGCCGCAGTCCGTACACACCTGCATCGGATTGGGACGCGAACGACGCACGGGACAGGAGAATCATTTATGTTGACTTTTGAATCATTTACTACCTCTGATCATTACCCTTCCTCTTCCCCTCCGTCCTCCCTTTCATTTCTCCCTCTCCTCTCCAAAAATTAGGAATGTTCGGGTGTATTAGATTAGTGTTAGTTATGGACCAAATAAAGATTAACTATTCCACTATCGTCTAGAACAACTGCATTATTTTAATGACGCAGGAACGAGATTGAAGATTAAGAAAACGATAACCTTAAGCATGGATTGGACTAAAGTAAAGGATTCAGTCCTACAACTTTTTGCTACATATCCCGCTCCGAGCTTCGACGTAGTCCTCTTGCTATGAAGTAGAGATCATGACCCAAATAAATCTTACTGCCGAGGGAGCCTCATCATGGTCATTTCGTAGTCGTTCTTTATTTTCTTTTTTCTAATGCAAGGAAGAAAGATGCAATGAAGTGTACGACATCGATCTGGTACTGCCCCATCAACGCGTATGGGGGTTACTGAAGGCGATTTTTGCTGTTTTATGCTGCTTGTGCGGAATGATTTTCACGTGGTTGTCCCGTTTTGGCGTGAAGTCGATCATCAGCAAACTGTCAGACACTGAAAAAAAGCGCTTGCGCAAGTGCTACGAGAAATCACGCACATCGTCCTACAGCTGCATGGGTATCGACGAGTTTTGTGCCACAGACGAACAGAAACAAGAGAAGCAAATCATGGAGCAGAATATCTAAAAAAGAGAAGTAGGAGTAGCAAATGTTGATGAAAATGCTGTTCATCTTCTAGTACTGATGAAAATAGAAGTTGACCCTGCTCTTGACAAGATGAACGGAATATTATAATCAATAAATGTTGGACCTGGACGAAGTAAGAAATGTCTTAGCGGACGGTCTTACCTTCAATCAAAGAAAAGAAGCAAGTTGTACCATAGTAAATACGATGAGGTACTACAACTTCAACATACAACAATTTTTACACGCACAAAAATTAAGTACGTACAACAACATAAGTACATAGAACACTGACGTATGATCTTGATTAAGATTCTTCAGTCACAACATACATGAGACGTACTACACACGCATGACCAGCAGCAACACGGCATCTATCAGTACTAACACTAACCTGATTATATATAGTTATATGAATCTATCCCACCACGACCTCAAGCACATAATTCTACATGAACCGATGATAATAATCGCATCTCTTCCAAGAACTTCAACATAGCTATCGAACCTGAATCTAAAAAGTTCAAATTTGATCTACTCATCAATTGTAGCGCAGGCTACGAAGATATTCACCCACACTCATGAAATTATCCGTAAACTCCACACTAATTTACATTGTTACATAGTTCTGAAATCTGAGACTACATTCCTTGACCATCTACTTATCGGAAACACCCTCAAAAAATTATATCCTCATTCATATCCTATTTCAAAAATTATATTATCCCCCGGTATAATACCTGTGCTGGGTGACTGGGGCGCAAGTCGAGCTTACGCTCCAGTCCCTGACCACACCCCTCATTATAATCGGCTGCGCTACCTTTTGCACCTCTCTACTTCTCTCCCTAGTTACTTCCTGTAGTATCTCCCTTGCTCTTCCTCCACAGTTGTGTGCTCGTGTTGGTCATTTTTCTATCGGAGGGGTAGCTCTAATCTTCATGCTAATCGCCGTCCAGTCCTTTCATCATTATGTTTGAATCATACAAAAAGCAGACTATGCGCTGCGAACGAACAATGCCACCCTCTGAGTACGCGAAGTTACCGACGACCGAATCTGGTGTCGTCCTGCTCGCCTCACAAGAGGTGCTATTGATGACGTAAAAACATGGCATTTATTGCACAGATATTTATATATACCTCATGTTGGATGATGGACTCATGACGACGCTGATTCCTCGATGTTGCTTCAACATGATACTCCAGTGCCCTCCGTGTTCGGTGCTTCTAGTAAGAGAAAAAAAACTGATTAGGCAGAGTAGTGACTGAAAGAGCTTGCTGCGACATGAGCAATTTGCACCCTGAGTCATTACTTACAAGTGGAGGCGAGTGGTGTTGTTGTCAGACAACGAAGTTCATTTGACTGTGGCGATGGACCTGTTCTTCTTTCTCTGGTAGTTATTTCATCATTGATAGATTATGGCGGTGGCGCAAATAATACCGCAGGTGCCGTCGGATCATTAGGTATTCGTTCACCAGTTCTATTGCCATTCTAGTCTTCTTAGACTCATTTTATGATCTACACGAGAAGAAAAAGAAGAACAGGCTGTAGGTTTTTTCTTATTGTTCAATAAAACTTAATATCGCGGTATTGCTTGAGATCGATTCCTTGTTCTTTCTTCTAGTTCATCTCTCCGTACTATTTCCTCAAGCATCATTGTTCCCTGTAGTTTTTGGAATTGGATAATAGACGACTCCTACATAGTTAGTCTGAATCAAATCCTGCATGTCCCTAGTGAAATAGCTCGCACCTCCGTTGTTGTGAAAAATGGGTAAGCATTCGAAGAAGACGAAGCTTACGAAAAGCGAGAAACGGGAGAAAATACAAGCAGAAACGGAACAGAAAGTAGTCGAACTTGCAGAATTAGAGCAGAGGCTTGCTGGTCTGCATATGCAACATCAGAAGGTGCAAGCAAGAATCCAGCGATATGAGAGGTATCTATGTATATTAACCAAGAGGTTTAGCAAGGGGGTGGAAGTCAATTTCTTGTACTATTCGTGTTGAGCTAGAGTTGAAGGACGATGCACAATCCAACCAAGATCCTGAGGTTGTTTTTTTTACTGTGTTTTTGTTGTAGGTGGAGTATTGCTATTGCACAAACTCGATCGACCGCATCAATCTTCCTTTACACCATCTACTCCTAAGGAACAAGCGTGGAGCGATTCTGGCGGCTGCAAATTTGCGGACGTTAGAGGAAGAGCAACCGCCTCTGTACATGCACTTGGGACGTGCTTTCGTGCTGAGTGACTTCCACCAAATTGAGAAGGATCTTGAGCAGAAGATCAAGGAAGCTAATGAAAATCTGCCGCAACTTATGAAGAAAACAAACACACTCACACTCACATTCAGAGCGAGGCACTTTTTCTCGTTGAAAATGTGCACAATTGTGAGTATGAGAGTATTTCTTTCTTTCATACAAATCGAAAACATCAAAACGCAGTTTGAAACCAGGTTACAGGCAGAGTCGCAAAACATGCTCCAACTACGCAAGGATTTCATGAGGTTGGGGATTCGAGCTTAGTGCTAGTTGAAGTTCTGGACTATGTTGATTGGTGAGGAGTGTCTGACCGGGAGGAGGAGGTGGGCGTCAGCGGGCCGATCAACATTCTTGAAACAGGAAAGATGCTGCGCTGCTCCTGTACAACATCATACCCATGGGCGTGCCGTCCATCTTACGCGAACAAGTACTGTCATCGGAGTCTGAACTTTTTTTTTTTTGCGAAACAAGCGACCTCCACACACCCACACTACCCCCCGACATCAATGAGGCATAAGACCTCTACAACTGAATGAGAATCCCTCAAGGAAGACTCAGACTCTGCTCAAGAAAAATTTCTGTCGCTCTTCTTGGTTTTTTGTTATTTTTGAACTGCTACAGGAACCGAGGGAACGTGTCCAAGCCAGCAGATCTACTTTCTATAGTAGACGATTTTCGGCTGTGCGACGTTCAACATCTAAGCTAGAGCACGTTCACCTACCAGTCACTCTTTCTACGGAGCTAAACAAGGCAGAAGGACAAATCTGTCAACAGATTTAGATTCGTTTGTCTCCAAGGTCTGTAATGCCTACGGAGATCTGTCTTTTGACTCTGAAGATTGATTTTCTGGTAAAGCATGCAGAGCTCAACTACAGTAAACTCAACATACTCTGTATACTTTCATTGAGATTCATTCTGCTTGGTTGTAAGTACGTATTTACTCCTCGTCCCATGTCCATATTTTTAATGTACTTAGTAAGTTTTCCGATCCCGTGGTGACGAGTGAAAAACAAGTACTAACGATGATCTTGTCATCCGGGAGGAACCTCGTAGTTTTTTATTCAGTCAGAGTTTCCGACGATCTTCTAGTCACTGATTTATTTGATGCGATTTTGCGCTAGTTGTATATGAAGATAGATTTCTAAAATGTAAATGTTGAGGAACGAACCCCGAGAAAAAGTGATAGAGAACTTCAAGGTCAATTCCACATTCATCGATCTTATCCATCCATAATTCAGCTTGAGCTTGTCTATTCATCAAAAGATGAAATGACGAATCAGGAGGAGTTAGCTACTTATGACTAAAAATGGAAAACGGCTCTGCTGCTAGACAGGAGGATATGTTGCCCACTTTGCTCCAGGAGACGGGAGAAGCTGGAGATCATGATTATGAGAGGGAACATCAAGGGTCAGCGTCAGATATGAAAGCAGGAGTAGCAGGCCATATGGTAGATAAGAGACCGGACGTAGTCGATGATCCACCTGAAGATTCCGCAGATCATGTTTTTCCTCCAGTTCGAAACGTGTCAGCGACTTCCATTGCCGGTTTGTCGTGTGGAGATGCGATGTCTGAGAGCGTCTTCTCTGCTTCGGGACGCGATACGTTGGCTGGGTTGCAACTGAAGAGGCGCAAAACGAGGACGCAATCGGCTGAGCTGCGGAGAGCGGCCGCGGCCTCGATCGCGGGCGGCGTTTGCTCAACGTTGATCACCAAGTTTGACTTCGGGAAGTTGTGCAAGAAAACTGAACAAGTCGAGGAAGAGGAACAACGAGATGAACGACAAAAACTATTTGAAGTCGAAAACGAGAACTCTGCGAAACAAGAGGACGTCGAAGCATCTCGGAAGCAAGAGCAAAACGTTCAAGTTCACGAGAAAGAGGACCATGATCATGAACTTCTCGCACCTCCTCTGTCCAAAGTATGCTCGCAGCTTCACGGGTCAGCAGTACAAGAGGACATGGACAAGCAAGGAGTAGTACGGGAGCCTGCTGCACCTGTAGCACCCGCTGCATACTTCTTACCTTTCACTGCATCCCAAGAGCTTGTACGACGGTCTGGGTCGAAGCGAAGTTCCAGTAGAACAGTTATAGGCAGCACAGCGGCGCCGCCTTGTGTAGGTGTGCTCGATCATGACCCAACACCAAGTATAGGAGGACAACAACCTCCGCAGAGCCAGTCGCTTGTAGTTGGGAAACATAATACGAAGTTCGTTCTTGCTGGAAGCGAAGAGGGTGACAGGCAAATTAATTTGCGATCGGCAGCGCGAAATGAAATACGGGACGACAACACGAACGGCCAGGAAGCAACTACTCCCGTGATGAGCACACTGGTCGACGAAATCGCTGCGCGCTGTTTGTTGGCGAGCCTCTCCATGGCTCCAAAAACATTCCAACGTGTAGATCAGCGATGCCTGATCTTGAACGAGTCGTGTCCACTTCGTGCTTCGTTTCCTCCTGTAGATCAGGTTGAGACAAGCGAAGGACATGGCGGACACCTAATCAGGCATTCGCAAGAAGCAACTGGTGAATGTGACGATGATATGCGCAATGCGGCGTTGGAGTTGCTAGGCCTTGTCTATGCTGCATACTTTGGGTCCAACCAACAGGAAGACACGACACGACCAGATCCGAGTGTCGTCGCTGCCGTCTTGCAGGTCGTGTATGAGCATGTGAGCAGCGGGAGATTGTGGAGAAGCTATCAACCACAAGAAGTGACGCCAGATGAAAACTACAGCTGCGACAGGCTAGAGAATCCAGAAGAGCAACCTTTTCAACAGCTTATTGCAGGATCTATAATTTCGGATGATGTGTTGAGAGTGAGTGCTAATATTAGACGAGATCAACATGGAGTAGAACGAGAAGACCAGCAAAGTAGAGTACAACACCGGCATCAAGAACATGTCGAAGTAGGGATAGTTGAGCAGCCAAAGACTCGCAGCAGAAGCAGTTCGGGGTCTTCGTCTCAGCAGCTGCAAATCGGAAAAATGACTACGGAATACGCGATCGATCGCCTCATGGAGGCGGCTGTGGACCTGTGCCTCCGAGAGGCACATGCCGAAGAACAGGCCAGCAGTTCCATGCCTTCCGACGCGGTACCAACAGAAGAAACAAATGGCCGTGGGGAAGTAGCTGCGGAGTTGCATGATGCCCACCAAGTAGACTTAACTGATGTCACTTTGGATGCGACAACACCGAAGTCTCAGATAAGCGAAAGAGGACATCATGTTCGTGTGGGAGAAAGCAAGATTGACGATAACGATCTTTTTGATAAGGAAATAGGCGAGGGAAATCAAGTAGTGGTCATTGATGATGAAGAAGACGCACATGCGACGATGGGCATGAAACAATCGTCATCAGAAAGCACGAAAAGCGTTGGAGGTGGGGGTGTCAATTTCGCACAATCGATTGAGCTTATCGCACTGAGTGCCGGAGTTTCATCCTGCGGCAGTAGAGCTATAGATTTCGAAGTGAAAAAAGTGGTCGCGAACGTCGCATTTGATCACGAGGATGATGATGAACATCTTTGCGGAACTGATGGTTTGGCTCATCTTGTGGCGGATCCATTTCGAGCAGAAGCAGACGTACTAGACGATGATGAAGATGATGATTCTGATGATCGTCGAACATCTAAGCCTTTCTCTACGACTCATGAGGACCACGATGACGAACATGTCCTAGGCGTCAATGTAGAGGAGGACGAGGAGCCCTCTTCATTGCGAACGCAACATAACGATAATGTGGAAACAGGGGCAGGAAGAGGTGTGGATACATCAGCGCATGGTGGTCCTGATTCCGAAGATCATTTACAACTGCTAGGCGAGTCTCCTTGTTGTAGCAAAACTGATCCTGGTGCACGCCCTTTCTATTCTGTGCGATCTCTGCGTGGCTTGCTCAAGACCCATTACTTCTCCCGGTGGAGGCAGTACCTGTATCGTACACGCCACTGGGAAAAACAGGACGCGTCACCATCGACGGGGAGAGCTTCGAAAAAACACCACCAGAAGATAACGGAAAAGGGAAAATCGCCGACTACAGCGTCTCGTACTGCTAGAAGTCGTAGCGCAAGTCCCTCTCCGTTTGCAACGCGAGGACAGAGTAGAAGCACACGGCGCTGCAATGGTCGTCCTCTACCAACGGCTAGTGCGCGACTCAGGAAGGCAAAAAACAAAAGTCCAAGGAATAACGGCTCACAACCAAGTAAAGTATCAGATACAACGACTTCAGCAGCTGTGGGGGGTGGGACGAAAACGAATGATAAAAAGACAATCAGAGAAGGTGGAGCAGGAGGCACTTCTGGTAAGGGCAGCACACCGACGAGAGGCGCGAATAAAACGCAACCGAAGGCGAGCAACAAAGTCAAACCTCCGTCTGGAAACTCTTCGTCACGTCCTGGCGAAGGAGAAGTGAAGCAGACTACTCGGAAAAAGATCAAAACATCAAATGCATCTAGTAACAAGGCAGATTACACCAGCACCCACCCCTCTGAAGGGGATGCTACTGGTAGTAGACCAAATCATGAAGATACAACGAATAAAACGACTTCTACAACAGAACATGATTTTACCTTCACGCTTGGAGTGATTCCAATGACGACGAGCAGCGCAGGTCCCCAGCCAAAGCCTCCGCCTGGCATAACAGCGCCGAAAGCGAAGCCCTCGCCACGCCGACGACGGCCAAGCATCCTAGAATCACAATGGCGTGGCGATCTACACACAGTAGATGAACCTCTTCACAAGGCCGAAAGTAGCACGACAGTGACCAAGATGATGAGCGGTTCTTGTGTACTGCAGTCTTCCGGAGGTGGTCAGGCATCGTCTACTATTGAAAGTTATGAAGACACTGTCTCAATGTCCGTCGTCCTCGAAGATACTTATAAAATATATAAATATATATATGTAATGAAGATTTTTATATTGTTACAGCTTGTTGCATGATCGTAGAAGTAGTTCTATCTTGTGGTGATTAGCAGTAGTTAAACCATGAACTAGACAATTGCGCAGTACGACTACAGAAATTGTTCGCCTGGTGCTCTGTCTTGCATTTCCATTCCTATGTTTTTACAACAAGAACAATCAGATCCGTTCTAAAAAAGTAATCATCATAGAGGTTTGATGGACCCGCAGGTTCCGATAGAACATTTTGAGCGGTATTGGATGCGTGAAAAAGGGGTTAATGACCGCTTCTACAGTGAAGTTCGCGACTTCCATGACGAGGTGTATTACTCCAGCAACTTCACAAAAAAAAAGAAGAACTTACTTGCTGCGTCAAATCAGCAGCATCAGCGGGGTCCTGGTTCTGCTCAGATGAACAACAACAAACCTTCAGGCGCAATGCCGCTAGTACCACTTTCGTTGAGCAGCATTCGTTCGCCTGGTCTTCGTACGACGTCTGCGGGTAGTGGCGTGCCTGGAGGAAACTTGCGTCCGTATCGCGCGTCTTCTGAATCGACATCTTGCCATTCGAGCCCGGTAAAAAATAGCCAAGCATGTGCTGCGATGCGCTCAACGAGGGTGGGAGCCGATTTCTCTCGTGTATTTCAATTTTTTGCTTTCTTACTTCGACTTCGCGTTGACGGCTCAATATGGCGCACATGAAATTTGAATGCTGGATTCATCGTCGTGTTACATCTGACAGCTCGTACTTCTCGTAATGCATTACGCTTCATAGGAGGAGGAGAACGTAGTACTTCGTTTATGATAGCCACACGACACAGGAGACACACTCTCCAATGACGTGATAGACCTGTATCTGCTTCTGCACGATACTGGCTACGGTATTCTGGCAATTGTGTTGATTGAATGTCTCTACCCCACTGAATTTCGTACAATTAGGTCTACAACCAATACCAGCGACCACCTCCGCACGATACCGAAAGGCTCTTGCTCGGAGCGGCATGTAATCGCGTGCAGAATTCTGAAGAGTTTCATGAGTGGAGAGTCGGCATCGCTTCTATGGTTCTGAACGATATCTACCGCACCCGTCTCGCGAAAATAGAGAGATTGAAAAACAGGAAGCAGTAGGTTTGTTTTTGTTGATTTGATTAAACAAATAAAGAGTAATACTGCAAAACAACTAGAACTTGAACTAGTGCTAGTAGTTCAGAGATTAAAACCTATCAGATGACAATATAGAGCTGCCGCTACCTAAGAAATCATATGTAGTACATTTGAATTTGCAATAATGTCATAAGTATTACAGTGAAGATGTAGACTTTGAATTTAACGAGGAGGAATAGAATATACGAGGTCTTTGCTTGCAAGAATTCGACGTGCCAAATAGTATTGACTCGAGAGCACGACTCCAATACTGGTTCACGATTGATATTACAGCTTTTCTGATGGTAAATATTTACATAATTAATCTGCAGTTATTGCTTGATTTTAAGAACAAGATGAAGATTATGTTCATGCTTTTTCTCAATCTCACGCCCACCAGTAAATATAGAATTAGCTACCACGTTCTTTGAATGTACTACAGTACAGGAAAGAAGTTTAGAGTCGATTTAGTAGAAATAAGAGCAATTATGTTCAGGCTGAACGAAAGAACAAACATAGTATTATTTGTGCCAGTCACACGATGAACACTATTGAACGACACCATTAATAGATTTCATGACATAGGGAGCGGGAGGACTTAGCTGCATTGCCAGGCTGCATATGTCGTGAAATCGGTACGCTTTGTACAGTCTACTTGATTTTGTTACCATTGTAATCTTATTACGTAAGGTAACCTGAGAATAAGCTTCCAAGCCCCAGGCGTGGCTTCACGCTCCGATATCCATCCACGTGTGCATTGTAACTCAAGCAGCTGAAATGCGAGTGTTGTCCGTGAGCTGACAATCACGCGCGATGAAACCAAAATACAAAATTACGGATGATTATACCATAGGGGCAAGACATTCGAAAGAAAAGAAACAACTTGAACCGACGACACTGCAAAACCAACGAAAAGAAATTTATGAGGTGGAAAAGCTCAAGCTACCAAACCGAAGTAGAGCACCAGTGAACTCGTGCTGGAGGTTCGTTCAAAGCAACTACCCACAGAAAACAGAACAAAACCTTTTCTATCAAATCATGGACGTCCCGCCGCTGCACACGCAGCAGCTACCTTCGCCTCTGCAGGGTCTCAAATCTGGAGCTGCGTTATCGGAATGGTACTTGCCGCGTCGGGATTGGAACCTCTTCCATGACCCGAGTTACGTCGAACGACTGAACGTGTTGCTGCAAAGCTGTCAAGAGGAGGTCCGAATTCACTCTGCGAAAGGAGGCGACCAGCACAAAGCCCGGGAACTCCGCGAAAATGCAATCCCATTATTGGAGAAACTATTGCATGTATGGCTGGGTGGTCATTCTTATTGGCTGACTTGAAGCAGTTTTTTTTTCACCTGAGTGAGCCCCGAGGACTACTAGTAGATGGCATTCTCTGCTCACACTTATTTTTTTCAACATACGACCAGTCGTGACACTCTTTTTAAGGAGCTGGAGCTCCAATATCTAGATGGTATTTTTGTCCACAAAAGTCCCTATCACTCTTTAACTGCCTTGGCGAATAAGCCTCCGGACATGTTGTTGGTGCTTTTGCGGGTACCAGAAGAGCATTGGAAGGTGCCTGCGAAGTCCAGTGCAGCGGTGTCCCCGGTCTCGAGCCGTCGTTTAGGTAGAGGGCCGTCAACTATGGCTGTGGACTCAATCGTGATTCTTGTCACTTACGCAGGCTTCATATTCTTTGTACTAATATCAGCATGTAATTTTGATTTCTATGATAGATACCTTCTCTTAATTTTGTGGTTTTTCTACTAGTCAGGACAGCTCCACCACAAATATACTTTTGACTCAGAAGTGTCGCGGATGTGCTTCGTTTTATCGTGACCGAGTGAGTTGTGAGTGAGTCAGTTGTTCTATCTTCTTGCTTTCATATTGTGAAATTCGGCGGGAATACAGGCGGCTTCGAGTGCGCACGATGCTGGCGATGAAATGCATGAGGAAATGATGAGTCCCACTGGTGCAGGACGCTTCAACACTAGTGGCGGAAGCACCTCATCGACTGCCGCACATCATCAGGAACACCACCATCATCATCCCAGTGATCTTGAACGCCAGAACAATGAACCGCTTCTATTCTACGTGCACCGCGAAATTTTCGCAGCATTGAATCCCGTGATCAAATCGGAGGTACTACGTGTAGTTTTTTCTTTACGATGGTGGTGCATCTACTTTGTGATTGCGAAGTCGTGTTGAGGATACCACGTAGGTACTAGGCAGCTGTGGTAAATGTAAATTAGTATGATTGATAGTCCTAAAACATTGCAAAAAATGCATATTATATATCACCCCACTGATCACCGCCACAAAACTCCCCGCCTACCCCACTGGAGACTAGTCCGGTTCTTCCTCGGCGCCTTACCTATAGTCTCCGGCCCCTTCCCCTCCCGCTGCAGTCCCGATAGTCTCCGCGGGTTTTTTTGCGGAAACTTTATTACGAGAAGGCCCCCGGGCATACCTTCAGAAAGAAGCTGGAAAAATTCCCGACGGGAGTAAGGGCGCAAGTTGGGGACCGAAGTCCGACGCGAGAAGACTGACGAAAGACATCTGGCGCAAGACATTCCACATGACATGAGACGCCTCATGAAAGACGCCCCGCGAAGGACATCTGACGAAAGACATTGCACAAGATATGTCTCACGAAAGACGCTTGGCGAAGCAAGGACATCCGACGGAGGACCGACGTCGGGCGAAAGACGTCTGACGCAAGACGTAGACGCTTCACGAAAGGCGCCACGTGGCGAAGCAAGGGCGTCGGACGTAAGACCGACGTCGGGCTAAAGACGTCTGCCGCAAGACGTCGGACGAAAGAGAAAGACGTCAGACGAAAGACGCCGGACGCGAGACGTCTAAGCTAACCTGGCGAGCTACGTCTGGGGAGAGACGCACGACGAAACACATCTGACGAAAAACATCTGATGAAACACATCTGACGAAAGACATCTGACGGAAGACATGCGTCTGACGCAAGACATCCGACGAAAGCGAGACGTCTGGCGCCGGACTTACGTCGGACTGTCGAAGGAGAGCATGGCAAACATCTGACGAAAGGCGTCTATCTGACGCAGGACGTCCTACGAAGGACACGGACGCCTGACGAACGACATCAGTCTGACGATAGACGTCGGACGTAAGACATGCGCCCGACGGTCGGCATCAGTCTGACGAATGGCATCAGTCTGACGAAAGGCGCCCGCCTGACAAAAGACACGGCGTGACGAAAGGCGTCAACCTGACGAAAGAGCAACTCGGCCTGACGAAGGACGTCGTTCCGACGGAAGACGCCAGGTCGACGAAAGACGTACCCTGGGCGACGGACGCACCTCGTTTGGACGAAAGACGCCCGACCATCCAAAGGCGTCTGACGAAGCAAGACATCCTGCCAGCTGTACGTAGAGAGACCCCGCCAGCATGCCTATGCGTTTTTTCTCTTGACTCATCGATCAGGGTCGCCCCTTTTGCCTGCCACCGCGGTCCGGTGGCTATATATATGCGTGGGGCCCTGCGGGTCCTTGTGTGTGTACCACGGTGGTGCCCTTCGGGTTTTTTTGTTGGACTGCCGTGGGGGTCTTGCAAACTCTTAAGAATTTGCGTGACCCCCTGGCAGTTCAATGGGGAAACCTTAGGCAGCCCACTCATCTGCCCCCCAGGGGCCCACGTGCCTAAGTCGGTTAGCGCCGGCACTCTCGTCGTAGTCAATTTTTCGAAGTGAACTAGCTATGGCTAAGTAATCCGCGGGCTGTGTCTAGCTGTGGCCCGTGGGCGGCGAAGTGCTAAGTAAAGCTAAGCTTGAAGTCGGGTGAAGCTTGTGGGTGCTAGTATGTGCCGAACATATCTCCAGCGCGATTTTTTCATGGGTTTCAGTTCTTGTAGGATCATGATGCAAATCACTTAGTAGACGGGGCTTAAGTTGTAGTTGTGATCCATTGCAGTCTGCTTTTCAGATTAAGCTGTGGGATCGGCTAGAGGAGCTGCATTTGAAGTATGGCGCAGGGTGCGAACGAGTATGCCGCATGCTTTATGGTGAGGCATGGGAGAAGTGGGTCAACTATGCCTATCAGTCCAAGGCCTTTGATACGAAAGATGACGATGGGCGGTCATCATTCCGAAGTGTTAGCAGAAGTTTGCACGTCGATGTCAGGGAAGGGGTAGGGGACGACTTGCCTTCTTCAGACAACATACTAGTAGATAAGAATGGAGCACCAGGACAAATTACAAAAGGTAGTACTCTGTATGCTGCCAGTACAGAACATGATGATGATTCGCATAGAGGTTCACCGGCAGACGACGGATTCGACCGAGACACTGCTCGCGACGAAGATCCTGCATCGTCAACAATTAACAACACATCCTCTGTCGTGATCGGCAAACGACACCACCATCGTCACCACGTGAAGCAAGAGCAGCTGGACTTTGTGCCATCAGGAAAAGTAGACCTGACAGAATTGGCGCATGAAGACCGTTCTGGTCGTGGAGTAAAACCGACTGCACAAGCAGTCATCGATAAACAGCTCGCGCAACTACGAAGACTCCATCGATGTGTCATCCGAGGCACGCAAACGCGTACTACTTATTCTTCTACTGCTGCTAGTATGTTTTCTACGTTCTTGTTCTTGGTGCAGCCCTGAACAACTACAACGTGGTGTGTCGGAAAACTAAGAGCACTGGCAAATCAATATAAACCACTACCAGGTCTCGGCGAGTTGTTCTATAAGCGAGTGGTAGTGCAGTCGGGTCCCGCGCGAATTCGTTCCCGTTTGACCGCACGTGGAGTCGAGCATGCACTTCACTACCTTTACAACAGGGGAGCAACGAGGGACAGCGCGAGCGGCGAGAGTTGGGACCACATCCCAAGCGACGACTTTCCCTCTGCCCTCCACTTTCTTTTCCAGCTCGCTGTGACCGAGAAAACGATGCTTGGTATTAATCTTCGACTAGTAGGAACTGGAACTGTAGTAAGTGGGGGCCTGCGGTTACCAGTATTAATCTTCGACTAGTAGGAAACGAAGAAGTAGCTGTATCTGTAAGATGATGCTCGTTGGAACGAATTATGATAAATTTCTTCTAAATTTGCTGAACGAAGAAGTTCTTCTTTTGGAATAGAGTTGGCTGCTCACGCTCATCTGCTTGCATCATCAATTGTAATTGATATCGAAAGTAGATAGCAAACAATATCCTCCTTCGCAACTCCCACAACAGAGGCCCTCCGTGCACTATTGTATCAGCGTCCGCAGATCGGGTGTCTCTATCTAGCGAGGCAGTATGGATACGACAAAACGCGGACACAAAACATACCCAAAACGGAAATAATGGGTATCATTGATTTGCAAAAACATACCCCAAACGGGAATAAATGGTATGATTGATTTGCATGAATATTTATGCTCTAGAAGATACTTGTTCTTGTTTTTTGAAAGGACTCACTAGCCTGGAAGAATTACTAAGAACTACAAATAATTTTCCGAAGCCAAAGCATTTCCTCCACAACCATTCTCTATCTCTTCAGCACGGAAGAATTTGGAGTATTTGAACCTAGAGAACGTTATTCTATCCGCTTTTGGATCGTACTCCGGTGAAGATGTTCAGCGCATCCGCGGCTACTCTGCTTTGAGTGACGAAGACAAAATCGATATAGCGGAACGACGGATAGGCGCCCTGGAGGGCCTCGTTCGGGAACCGCACATCCGATTCCGGACCCATTTCCGGGATATGCTCCCTCCCGGCACGATCGAGGACAAGCCGTTGCTGCCCTTGAGCACCGGCCAAAGGCTGGCTAGGGGCCGCGGATTCTCCCACCATTTCGCGTTGCAAGCAGAGAAAGAAAAACTCGCAGAGCAAGCGAAGCGGCAAGCGGAGGAAGCCGAGGCAGAACGAAAAGCGCAAAACCGGGAGCTATACTTTCGCCCAAGGTCAAAATCGGCTGCCTTCGCTCTATACGACTCGTCGTTAGACAATTTCACGATGTACTGAAGATCTCGCTTCGGTGTTGATGTACAAACCGAGTTTTTCTCTGATCATTTCTCGCTGCCATTTTATCGCTTCGCGTGCAGCGGCTATATCCATATCAACAGTGGACGTGACTACTTTGCTACGTGTCATGATTTCTCATTCACTTCTGCATGAACAGCGACAGGAACAAGTGGGCAACCTGTGTCTTTCCGATCCATGCGCATCTATCGCGTATCCGAGATCACAGGCATTTCACTTGTGTGTGTAATGATCACACTGTCTGAATGTACTTTTTTAAAAACGTAGATTTGAAATTGGGAAAAATGTCAAGGAAATTGAAAAAGACGAAATGCAAAAAGGGCGTTGTGCTGGTGACTCTCTGAATCTCCTGAAGATTCAACGATGACGAAATGAAAAGGAAAATCGCAAGCTAGCTTGAGTACTTACTTCATAAAAGTTACCAGTAACGTGAAATATTATGCGCTTGGCCAAGGCAAGTTGAACTAACTTCCGTACATCAACGAACATCGTCGATTGGGAATATGATGTGGGTCAGCTCTATGCGTAATTATGGACGACCACGGAACGTACCTCCGATATTCACGCAGACGCAAGGCGCCCTTGCGCTCCTCGTTGGAGCGTGCGTTTCTGAGCAGGTCGTGAAAGAAGATGGTGATGCGAGGACGAAGCAAAAAAATGATCATACCGAAGCGACGAACACGAAAGGGATCAAGCCTATTTGGAGTTTCGGCATGCGACCTCCACGACAAGGAGAGAGGACGAGAGAGACGACCACGACGCACTCTTTATTTTTCCTTTCGAATTTGAATCCGAAGCACTGTTTCCGTGGCAGTTCTGTCGTAGAGGCACAAGAGCCACGTCCTCGTCTCGTAGACGAGGTGCGGAGTAAACAGTTGGAATTCGGGTATCCGGTCACGCGCTACCTGATCGAGAACGACGCTTTTATTGCGGAATTCGACCCACGGACCCGAAATCCTGTTTACGTCATTGAACACCTAACCCGAGACAACCTGAAAAAGATCACAATCACGCGCGGAGGCGGAGGCTGTGATGGTGGAGAAAATAAGTTTATGCTTTTTCTTACAAAAGCTGGATCCCGCGCCTTCTGACCTGTCGTGTCCCGTACTTTCAAGGGAAACCACGACAGATCAAGACGCGACAGATCCAGCGTTTTTATGTAACCATTCAATAAGGCAGTTGGTGTGGAGAAAGGCGATGCTCCTCGCGAGCCACAGCACCAGATTGCTGCATCTAGTACGTCATCGAGTTCATCATCGTCGAGTAGGAGTGGGCGCCGAGAGGAAAAAGAGGATGATCATTTTTCGTTTTCATTGTTGTCATCGTATCCGCTGGGGAGTTCCAAACCAACCTCTGGTGGAAGTGCTATTTCTACACCTTCGTCCACAACTGCGAAAACGGGTAGAAGTGAGCACCAGTTTCGGGAAGAAAAAGGTATTCCCATTGGCATGCGCAACCGACTCTCGCAGTTTCACCGTTCTGGTCTAGATCGCGGTCACCTGGCGCCAGCGCGTAATCATCGACACAATGCTGACGCGTTTGCAGACACTTTTTCACTCGCAAATATCTCGCCGCAAGTGGGCGCAGGCTTCAATCGTAGCTACTGGGCCAGGCTTGAGAAGTTTGTTGCTGATTGTTTGGTACGTGAGCACCTGAACAAACAGCTAGTTCTCGACTCTGCAGTTGTGATAACGGGGCCTTTGTTCTTGCCTGCGGAAGTGAGCGGCAGAAAACAAAACGGCGAGGAAGAGAGCACTCCATCTCCACCTCACGCGCAACTAGTTACAAAACAAGCGGACCGAAGTCTCGTAGACGAGGGAGCCGAAAAAAGCAGCCTGAAACTCGATGTTTCGTTACTGGGTTCGCCTCCGAATCTGCTCCATGTTCCAACGCATTTTTTTAAAATTATTCTCGCAAAGCGAGAGACAGTAAGCAACGAATTATGTGTCCAAGACGTCGGAAGGAAAAACAACAAGGCGTTGTGTCGCAAATCGTCTGACTCTGAGGACCACGGTACAAAAAACGGCTCTAGTACAGAAGATGGGATCTTCATCGCAGCTTTCTTATTGCCAAATTGCGACATTGAACCAGACATAGAAGTTTCCTTTTTCCTTCGTTCTTTAGCAGAAATCGAGCAGCTCAGCGGAATTGACTTTTTTCCGCACATGGATGCGGCACCGAAAGCCGCTTTTACAAAGCGAGAAGACCGATTTCTATCCGAGTTGAGAGCAAAACTAGTCGAGCATCAGCAGGTAAAAATAATGAATCTAGACCGGAGACTGGAAGAAGAAGTTGATGAAAGAGCTTGCGGTAAAACAAGACCAGCATCTTCGACCCCACAGCAAGATTCTTTCGATTCGACGCTTGTGCCTGTGCGCTTGAAAAATAAAGAGACAGAGAGTAATAGTAACAAGTTGCCTCCCATGCGACACCTGTGTGAGGTGGTGCAATGTCGCCTTAGTACAGTCATTTTCCCGACGAATAATTAATGAAAGAGGGAGGCAGATGCACCGGCGCTTCTATCCGACGTGTCCGGGTGATCTGTATGTGCAGACTGACAGACTCGTCAAGAAGGTGTTTCACAGTGATCCTGTAGCTCTGACCGCAGCTTTTGGTGAAAGGCCCACCCTGTTATATCTACAGACGTTTAGGCTTATGATCTGTCTCGTGCCCAAGACCGTGCGAATGTCAAGAAGCGAATGATGAACCAACATTGTTTAGTAGAGAGAGTAAAAAAACAAGACAACAAAATCTAAAACAAGCATTTCCTCTGTTTTTTGATCATGATAAATCTGTTTCGAGAGCAGCCGAGAATCTATCTCTCTCTGTTGAGCGTAAAAACGGCTGTAAAGAGAAAGTGTCGTAGGAGAAAGTTTCGCGACAGAATACGATAAACCGTGTAAGAACTAGATTTTTCTAGATACACCCGATCCTTATAATCTGTAAGTGCAAATCAGGATCTGTCAAAAAGCGCTAGAGTGCAAGCTAGAACAGTAAGGTCTCACATAAGTATTTTTGGATGATGCACGCTTTTCAACATTAACTCTGGACTGGTTGAGTGAGATTGGTCGTATTGCTCACGTATATTTCTTCTTTCAACCAAAATTCAACACCGCGAGCAGTCTTATATCCATTTAACTCTTCTTTATTACGACCCGCTCCTAATGCTTTCGACCCTACGACAATGAGTAGACGACGCCCATATACGGAACCCGATGTTGATTGAAGATATGAGTATCCTCAAATTGCATTTAAGTCTTCTTCTTCTACCCGTTGTATCGATCATGCGTTGCTAGAGTGTTGGCCTCCTTTACCTAGCAATTCTGCACCTATCTCCTGCCTCTCTTTATGCTTCCCGTACCTCACTGTCACTGAAGTTCTTTGCAAAAGGTGTGTCATGATGACCTTGAGCAGCATATAAATGCATTATTTTTATGGCCGCGCGAGACTTATGCCTATGCCTATCACATATTAAAGATGTAAATGTAGACTGCGCAGGTGGTCCAGTAATAATGTCTACCAATCAGCCACAGCCTAGAGCTAGAAGTTAGAGGTTGTAAAGCAGGGGCTAATATGAGTGGAGAAGTGAGGATCGACGCCGGAGCCGCGGGGTCAACAGACGGACCACGAGCACGAGAAGACGGGTCTTCTGGCAGATTTCTAGGTCAACAGACGGAACAGTCTCCACGCTACATACAGAGAAATATAGGTTGTGAAAGTGCACAGCAGGAGGTCAATAGAAGACGGTCCTCGAGTGCGGAGAGTAAAAAAATAGGATTTAAGGAGAGGGACGCAGGCGTGATAAACAATTCGGAAAATGAAGAAGTTTCTGGCTGTCATCGATACTCCTCGCGCCGTTTACCGCAACCTCAGAGAGATGTAGTTGGAAGCAGACATCCCCCACCAAGGTCATGGCTGCTGATCCTCAGGGAGGACGGGAGACAAAAATTCAGGAGGAAAAAACGATATTCATCGAAGCGCATGCTCATCGAAGTCGCGAAGAAACACGATTATTATAGTCCTATCATGTTTCCAGTTCCACGGCCATTGTCAAGGCTCCGAGTGATCTCGAGGAAAAGAAGAAGAGGAGCTCCCACGGAGGGTGCTGGAGCTGGTCTTACGGATGCCCCTCCCATTGTTGATACGGTCTCGTCGACGAAAGATCGTGATATAGGCATGGCTTTGGCTGACATTGACGAACGGGGAACTGCTGGACGCTATCCCTCCTCCGTTTGTTCTAGAGTGACGTTTTTGGAAGGCTCCCATGAGGCACCACCCGCTGAAGGCCCCCATGAGGCACCGCCCGCCCGCGTGGAGCAGCCTGCTGCTATTGGTACGGGAAAATACATTTTCGGGATATTCGCTCGAGGCAACCTTCTTGGTGGGGAGAGTGCCGTGGACGCGGATGGCGCAGTTCCGGACGACAAGCCGGACTTGCCCGGAGCAAAGAAAAGAAGTACCTCGTCAATATCGCACATAACGCCACAAGAAGAAGAAGACGAACCGGATTTCATCGGCGGCCCAACCAAGCGAGTTTCGTCCGGTACATTATTCTTACAAAGTATGAGCAAGAATAAGGGTCGAGATGGCGGTAGCGGCGGGATTTTGCAGCGAAGTGCGAAGTTGGTCTCGCGGATGAGCCTTTATAAAAAGGATGCGGAGGATGCTGATGGCTCTGGTGCAGAGGAAGGTCCTGGAGGTGGAGCAAAACCAGCAAGCGCCAACTCCGCGACGAAGCTGCCGGGCTTCTTGGGACGTCGAATGGCTTCGGGCATGGGAAAGGAGCTCATCGGGGCTGACGGAAATGCGCGGATCGTCGTGGGTGAACGGGTGCCGCGCGTGCCGAAGAGCATGCGTGGAGCAGTTCGGGCCTTCCAAAACCTGCGCTCGAGCGGAAACGAATTGGGGCCCGTGGCTTTGCGCGAAGACCAGGATGAGGCACCTTCCCCGCGAGAGCCTTCCTCCACTGCCACTGACACAGCAACAAGCGAACTAAAAATGCGGCAGGCAGCAAGCGCGTTCCGAAGCGCTAACAGCACCCTCGTTGAGGAGAGGGACGAAAAAGCTGCAGCAAAAGAGGAAGCCCTCATTCGCATGGCCAGAATTATGAATATGCAACAGGAGAAGCGCAGAGAAGCGAGAAAAAAGAAGCGATTTCGGTCACAGTCGCTTTTCGGATCTGGAGCGACGATGCTGGCAGACAAAATTGAGTACATGGAGGAGCTCACTGTGGCCACGGTACACAACTTGTTACATTGATCTTCACAAGCATATTCTTATATATAATTGACATTGTCATTGACATTATTTGAGATGGTGATGAAGCACGCTTTTGCTGAGGCTCGTGGTTTATTCTACATTTACATTCGCAGGGCCTGTTTAAACACAAATCAGAATTAGTAGTTGTTCCTGATGTAACAAGTAGATTTTCTTGCAAAGCCAAAAATTTTTTGCAAATTCGAGCGAGGTCATGGTCAACAACATTTACATCGTTAAACAGTTTTCATTCATTTGTCAAACCTACAGGTAAATCATTTGTGGAACCAACCATGGCGAGATCCCAGGGGTAGCGTCGGTTGTTGGGCCTACTGGCCTGTTTTCCATAACGAGAACACTTCGCGGCAAATTTGGTCTGTCCTCTTTGCCATTCCCCTCCTCTATATCGCAACCATCTTTCCCTACCGTCTTGCATTTGTGGAACTCCGTGTATCCCCTGAGTGGCCCTTTGGCGAGGTGGACGACGCCTCGGTGGAGGCTTCCTCGAAGGGGGCTAGAGGATGGGAGTTTTTTGACTATGTCGTGGACGGAATTTTTTGGGCCGACTTGATTCTCCAATTTTTCTTTGCGTACGAAGGAGTATCAGGGGAGCTCATCTCGCATCCGAAAATGATCGTAGAAACGTACACGAAAACGTGGTTTTTGCCTGATTTCATCGCTTGCTTGCCATCAGAGCTCTGGACCTGGCTCGGTTCCAACCTGGGACGTTCGAACAAAATGGTGCGGGTGGGTCGTCTCTACCGGTTAACAAGGCTCACCAGGCTCGGGAAGCTCATTAAAATCTCTTCCTTAGCGAAAATCACCAGAGTAGCCAAGAGCAACCCAATTATTTTCGCCCTCATGCAGAAAATCGGGAAGTCACGCATCCTCGTCATCCTCCAGATGCTCATAGGACTCTTGGTATTTCTTTATAGATGTTGGAATTGTGATTTTTCTGACCAACCACGAGAATGAACGACAAGCAACAAGAACAACTGAAAACTCAACAAGTGCTTGCTGATTGTGTACTTGTTGTAGAATGTTGAACAACTCAATTTTTAAGATTGAATAGAAAAACAAAAAGAAATCAATTAGTAGATGAAGTAATGACCACGAAACTTGTCGCTCGCCCCCCTCTTATTTTCCAGGCGTTGTCGCATATATTCGCTTGTGGATGGTATTTGGTAGCAGGCTTTCACGATAATCCGGTGGAAACATGGGTTTGGCGGCGCACGATATTCGTGTCGGACAATGATAGCGGGATGTCTCACGAGATGAGGCTTGTGGACGCGCCGCCCGGTGAGCAGTGGATGCACTCGCTGTACTACGTGCTAACCGTGTTCACCACTGTAGGATTTGGTGACATTGCGCCTTTCACAATGGGAGAGCTCATTTTCACGCAGATCTTGATGTTGCTCGGAGCGATCGTGAACTCGATCATCATTTCCGAAGTGATCCACGTAGCCACGCGCACAGACATCGTGCGCAACGAAATTCGGGACAAGTGCCAAGCCGTGGAGCGGTTCTGCGAGAACACGAATTTGAACATGCGAACGCAAAGGGTATTGTCCCACTTTGCGGAGGTCCACACGAAAACGAAGTACGCAGACGGTCGCGACCTGAACCATCACGGGGGAGAATCCGTGCAGTGGCGAGACTTGGTCGACATCGCGGAGGCCATGGACGGGTCTTTCCGAAACTCTATCGTCAGGCGCGTGTACGGCGGACTCTACTATGAAAGCAAGCTTCTTGCGGACTGCGACCGCGGTCTCTCGCCGGAAATGCGTTCTCTTCCGATCGTCGTGGCAGGTTTCTTAGTCCAGCAGCGCTTCTCACCGGAGGAGTACCTCTACATGCTGGGAGAACAGCCGAAGGGAATCTGGCTCGTCATGACGGGCTTTGCATCCCACGTTGCGGTGCCTTCAGACCTTGGCGGAGTGCACAATGTGCGCACAGTCTCCACTTTACTCAAAATACCCAACGCAGCTGCGCTGGTTAGAGACAGGTATTAAATCTATATTTTGCTCATGGTCTCGATCTCGTGTTTTTGTTGGAAATTGTATGCTATAACGAGCACTTTCTTTACATTCATACTATAACGCTGCCATGATGTAGAATTGTATAAATTTCTTGTCGATGGATTGAAAACCAGCACGACGTCCTTCTCCTTCTCGACCAGGTCGTATCCTTACAACGTTCTGGGGCCGCGGAACTACGTTGGTGAGTGGGAAGTCCTTTATCCGCGCGATCGAGCAGCTTCTTGTCGCGCAGAGACGGACGTTCTCACAGCCTTCTTGTCCCGCACAAGTTTTGTGACCATATGCCATCGATTTCCAAGTCTAGCGGAGAACCTGAAAAGCAGAGCGCAAAGGAAAGAGCAGCGACGGCGCGTAAACTTCGGAAACCACCGTTACACGCATGACTTCGAGAAGCTTAGCGCGACAATCATATCGGTCTGGTGGCGTGCTGTGGTACTTTCTGAGTTCTGACATCCTTTTTATCCTCGTGATTAATCTTCAATATCAGACCTTGTTGTTAACAAATAGTAAAGCAAAAGGCTGGCCGTCGTCGTTCTACCTCAGGAGCAGCAGGAGCAGCCGGGAAACCGCTGACATTCCAGCAGCATAGAACTCGCCAGGGAAATCTTAGGCATATTGCCGAGTAGATTCGCTTCGTCGTCAGCCCTTGTTGTTGTTCCATTTACCACCAAGGAGATAGTGCGGAAACGTGAACTCCTAACAAACAACTGCGACGTCGAGGAAGCGCGTCTATTTTGATTCAGTCATGATAAGATAAGGAATTTTATTTGCAAATTATACATAGTTATAGAAATACAACGTAAGAAATCGTCATCTCTTACTCTTCCACTTCCACCCTCTCGGGCGCTATTGCATTCTTCCTCCAACAGACCATTCGGGCGCTAGCGCATCGCGTGTTTTCTTCCGTCGGTACACTGTTGCAGAGCAGAGATGTGTTGAACCCTAAGACGGGTTTGAGCAGGTGGCAACGAGCCATGGTCCGCGTGTGTGTTCGTGCCGAACGTGTGAGGGATGTGACGGTGAGCGAGATTATGCACGATTACTGGTCGGTCGTCCGCCGCGTGGATGACGAAGTGTTCACGCGGAGCGGCGCCTTACGCCCGAACGCGAAGACCACGGGTAGCATCATCAGGCGGCACTGCGAGGAGTACGATAAGGAAGGAAATGCCATAGACTTTCGGACCAAGGTGCAACTTTCGGGCAACGATTTGTTTCTGGATTCCAGGGCGCACGCATCCAGTAGCACGACGAGCAATGCCAAGGGCTTTGCAAACTACGCGAGCGCGTCCTTTCTCGACCTGCCTGGTGATCCTCCACCATCTGGTGTCGTTAGCGGTATAGGTATGACTGGCGGAGCAGGAGCAGCTAGAAGGCATCAAGGCTTTCTGCGCAATGAAAGTTTGAGCAATTCAGATCGCGATTTCGATGGTGGTCTTCAACTAGACGTGGCCGACAACTCTATTGGAGGTGTCGCTTCAACTAACTTCGACAACATAGCCTCACATAACTATAATAGTGCTCCCTCAATGATAGCTCTTAGTGGTCCTCCGAGTTCGACTTCGACTGGTGCAGCGGGAGGAGCCCAGCACAGCCTCTACAACAATAGGCGAAACCCCTCGACAAGTGCCAGAGCCTTTCCCCATTCCGGCAACACGCACCTGGATCGCTACCTCATGAGCAACTTTCGGAATCTTCGTGGCGACAGTGACGCACTTCGCGTAAAGCTCAACGAAATGTTCCGCATGACTCAGGATCTCTACTTCGCAAACTTTGGACGGGAAATGGGTTAGAACAAATATCAATCGAAATATAACTCTAGATGAAATGAAGTCCTCACATTAAATCATTTGTGTGGTGGATTTTTGCAGCATGCCGTTATAAAAATTGAACAATATTGCGTATACTTACTTATTCCTGCACCCTCCTGTTTTAGAAATCTCATGAGTCCTTCGTGTACATGCTAACCCCAGAAAATGCAAAGCAACCTGTATCTATTCTACTTATGTAGAAAGTGCACTTATACTTGAATATATTCATCTCAATCTCCACAACTGTGATCCTCTTTGTTTTTGAAATTTGAAAATGTATACTTCTCCTTGTCTGTCAGTCTTGTATATTGATTTTTATGCAACGAAGCGACTCGTAATTTGAATTTCTTGCTTCTTATTCACTCTTGTCATAGTTCGATATAACAAGTTTTATCATGATTCCTTTGTTGTATAGATTTATCGGTTTTCTTTTCGACGGACTATCGTTATTCTGTCGAATCGATCCTGAAGCCCCTTCTCCATTTACCAGGAGCGTTCTATAGCATGAAAATGAAATGGCAGCTTTATTTGGGATTAAGAATAATCCATGAGGGAAATCTTAGGCAGATTGCCGAATAGATTCGCATCGTCATTGATAAGTCAGCGCATTCCTTGGAACATTATTGAACTGGAATTGGGTTTCGGGATATCGATTTGTTCAGATACAGTAGGTATAAGCAACATCTGCATATTAAAAGATATCCTGATTGTTCTTTCCCGCCTGTAAAGAAAATACATGAATGCTTTTTTGTACCCATACACAAATCAAGGTGACACATGAGAACCTATAGAACAACTAGGAATTGCGCGTAATTCTTACAACACCGAATTTCGTGTTCATCAACTTCTGTGCCTGTCTGTTGTATCGTTTGTCGTATGTAGCTCTCGGAGGTCCGCGGTTGTGTGCAGGATGGGTCGGTGAAGTACATCTCTGTCATCCGCAACGAGCAAGAGCGCCTGGAATATGGAGCTTCCATGAGATGTCCTGCTTAGCATCTTGATGTCTCACTTGGAGATGAAATAGCTACACCTGCAAAGCCTTGTAGGTCCGCACCAGCACCTCGGTTACTTTGAAGATTGTGTCGGTTTGTCTTCAGGTCCAGTTTTAAATCGGTTAGATTTCGGTTCAAGTGGATACTTACATTTGACCAACAAACAGATGGCAAGCTCAAGCTCATGAGGCGAGTTTACATGATGAGAAGACATGAAGGAAAGCGCTCAAAGGAGAAGAGAAGACAAGATGGACGAAAGATGAGGAACATAGGTATCACGGTCTCCTCTGTTCAAGATCCGTGTTGAGCGAGACATTGTAGGACGACATCGACCCGCTCTGGTGATTGTTCGTTTTCCCAAACTAGCTTTCTGTGCTCAATATGCCTCTGTGAATAAGACTGATCGAGAGAGATCCTCCTTGGAAGGAGTTCTTGAGTCATTGCGTGTTCCGCACTTCTCAATATGGGGCGCTTTTTATTCTCCTTTTCATATTTTGTTCCACGATCATGAAAATGAAAATCTCTATTCATAATTGCATTCTTGACGTTGGTAAGGATTACATCCACTTCAAGGCCCAGCTTTGAGAGTCATCTGTTATTCAAGTCATAGAGAGCGAGAGAGCTTGAGGGAGAACTTCGTTTGCCTTCAACACCTGGGGCTGGGCGAAAACAAAATGACGAAGGTCACTGAGCGATTGCTCTGATAACCACCAACAAGATGTTCTTCTGCCGTCTCCCTATTGCTACAGGCTTCGTTTATCGAATTTGCTCTTTGGTGGATTGAGGTTTTGCCTTTAGTAGAAATTTTCCTCGTGTATCATCTTTTGACGATGAACTCAGAAGACGTTCATCGATCGTCCTCCCATTAGATCGATGTTTGCTTTAGTTGTTCTCCCACTTCCTCCTTCGATCATTTTCCTCTTATTGTCAAGTTGATAGTATTCCTCGAAACCCGTTTGGTGAACCGATATGGTTTATAATGACTTTAGGACCGACTCCTTTACTCGTCAGCGCTCGTTTGTAGTGTATGAAGATATATATTATTGCTTGCGAACGTAAAAACAGTAGACTTGATAGATTCATTGAGGATTTAAGTTCAACTAGGTCTAGGTGCGAAGTGTTAATTCGGGACGTTGACATGACTCACTACTTTAGAGAATTTCACTATGTCTTTGGTTTTGGATATGGCGACAGACACTCACTACTTCGTATATTGCAGTAAAAGATAAGCATAATTGATTAGCTCCCGAGATCCCTTTGTTGGAGGAGGTGATGTGACATAATTCTTTATTTTTGACTTTTGATTCACCATCGAGTTCTCATCATTTCAGATTGTTGATCAACTAATTCGCCATCTTAATTTGCGTTTGTGAACAAAGATGAGATTCAGAATTCCGTGGCTACACGATCACTAGATCTGCGAGGTCGTGGAGTTGCAGGTCTCGAAGCTTAAGAGTGGACGGAACGGAACAGTCAGGCAAGAGTATGTTCCGACCCTCGATGAGATCATCGGGCTCGGGGCTGGCCCCGAGTGCATCCAGAAGTAGCAGCCGAAGGCGATCGACAGCGGGCGCTAGCAACTCGGTCTTTACGCCGACTGCAACGGTTTCCGGAGCAAATGGGGGTACATTATTGTCTGGAGGTGGTACGGACAATGCAGGCAATACCGTGACAACACCTTCAGAGGTGCGTGCTTCTCGTAGTTCTCTGTTTCCGACATCTTCATCCGTATCTACTACTCAGAGCAGTCTGAACCAGGGTGCTGGCAAGGGAGGACAACAGCCACTGTTGGTGCGGAGCAGTGCGCAGGGAGCGACTCCCACTGAAGTGGCAATATCAACCCTGTCACAAGGTAGTGGACGAGGCAAGGGACTAGTACCATCTCCGGCTTCCGGCAAGAAGAGCGGCTCGACGAGTTCAGTGCTCGCAGTAGGAGCAGGACCAACCATGGCCACGCCAGCGGCAAATAGTTTTGCAACTCATGGTACCGGTGCAGCGCAAACGCACTCTTCCTTAGTGCCATCCAATCCAGCCAGTAACACTGTAGGAGTTTCTGGCGTGTCCCCAACTTCTACAGGAGTAATCGCGACGACACCCACCGGAGCAGCGACATCCTCGTTGGAGTTCGTCCAACAACATGGCACAACTACCGGTACGAGCAAGTCGTCCACGAAAAAAATATCTGCCTCGCCAATCATGTCTACTCGAGGTCCGTCACGATTTTTTGAGGATACATCGACGGACGTCGACAATAACGGAGAGGTGGAGCCCAAAAGGAGCAGTGGCGGTTTCTTCAGCAGTGCTCGGCGAAGCTTTTTGTCTTTTTCGGGCGGCGATCGTTCCTCACGACAAGCAGCGCAGCACCAGTCGAAGACACGAGAGGAAGGTCGCACGACTCAAGATGAAGACTACACGATCATTTTTCGGGCAGACTACAAATACAATAGGAACGCGACTGCTGCTGGTGCATCATCTGGCGATAACGCTTCTGAACAGGAGGGAAGAACTTCTGGGATCGAAACTGCGAGTAGATGGCAACCTGCAGGACCGTCAGACAACTCTCCAAGCAAGGCTGCGATGTCTACCTCTACCACATTTGGGTTGACAGCGGGATCCCCCGTACTGAATTCCTTCATATCATCTCCGCAAAATCTTGCAACGGAACCACAGGCTGTAGGTGCGAATAGAGTACGACGTGCTAGCAGAGCTGCGGAGAGCGCGGCTGCCACCTATAACCTTCCCAGTAAGACGAGTTTCACGGGAGCTGGGTCACCATCTTCCCCAAGAAGCAGTCGCTTTTTTCAGGTTGATCTTGCGAAATTAGGCCTCGAAGACCCAAATGGTTTGTCGTACATGCTGCAGCAAAATCCGGACAGTGAGCAAAGCACGGCTGCAACTACACCTCCGCGCGTCCCGACACCCAAGAACTTTGGCGTAACGAGTGGCCTCACAGGCTCGACGTCAACAACGAACGTCGATGTTGCAACTACTGGTAAAGTACAAACGACGAACTTGCTCAAAGCCCCTTTTTCAGGTGAAATATCTACCTCCATGCCAGAACGTTCTTTGACCCATCGCGAAAACGACCCAACCACTTCTAGTGGCAGGCTGAAGACCCTTTACGCGCTTCGTGCTCTTGCTCAGGCATTACAACCCGACGACGAGGAAGATGAAACAGAACCCATCAAAATCGACGAAGACGATGAAGACTACGCAAATGTGAGCGGAGACGAACCACATATCCGTCCTTATTTAGGAGACTTTGGGACCAAGCCGATGCTAAATTTCTCGTCCAGTATCGCCGCACGCAATGCGTCAACCACCTCTTCGGGACTGCTCTACAACACTTCATCTACGGGTGCACCGCCATCGGGTCCGGGAGGAGATGCACTAGGGAGTTCGTCTCTGTATCCTGCGATATCCGCGCCGAACGTGAACAACTGCGAGGATCAGGGTATGAAACATCTTCGTGATAGTAGCCGTAGCCCATCAACGTCAACGACGTTTGAGATCCTGCACGATCATATGCGAAAAACAGCGTTTATCGGTGTCTCAAGCGAAAATCCACCCCCCTCGGCGCCTCCGCAAGTCACATCTGCAGAGGAAGAGGGTGACAGGCGACCACAATTGTCAAGCAGGGGCCGTCTTGCCAGTGCTTTTCAGGGCGGATATTTGCTCGGAAAAGGCCAACAGATGATATCGACGACGAGCGAGGGGTCATCAGTACCGCCAGCCATAGACACAAGTAGGGGAACGCAGGCAGTAGAAACGTCTGGTGGCTTCGTCAGTAATCAACTTGTTCCAGCTGGAGCTGCAGCGGCTGCACACGACCAGCAAGCTGCGAGTTTGGAGCAGGCGCAAAGAGTCTCAGAACTAGAGCGTCTTGTTGCAAGTCTGGGAGAAGACAACGACAGGAAGAATGAGCAGATTGGGAAGCTGCAAAAAGAAGTCGCTGCTAAGACTGACGAGGCCGCCACGGCCAAGGCAGATGCTGCGCTATGCCGCGAGAAACTCGTGCTCTCGGAAGCGCGCCAGGAGCACGAGCGAACGGTTTTCGAACATGAAAAAGCCCAGCTTTGCGAATCATTGGAGGGAGAAGCTAGAGCCAAGGACGTTTACCGAATGCACGTATGCGAACTGGAGTCGCGCTTAGAGACTATCGCGAAGGTGTCTGGACGAGATGAGCCTACCACAGGCAGTCGCAGTAGCGCATTACTCAGTTCTCTTCTAGGCACCAGCGGGAGTAGAACACTCCTGACGCAAGACTTTGCTTCTGGTACAGGAGGTGAAGTAGGAGGCAGTGCTGCAGCAGCCAGCGGTGGAGTTACGCCGACGAAGTTCTTCTCTCCGCGACAACATCGCAGTCGGAGTGTAACACCGATTAGAGTGCGGCCTTCGGGAGGGGCTGCAGCTGCGCCATTTCCGGTACCTGAAGAGGAAGTGGAGCAAGGAGACGCAGAGGGCATCTTGATACGCAGACTGCACATACAAAAGGTCGATGAAGCACACGACTCCACATTAAGTCAAACATCGATGTTTGCTCCGACGAACGCACCAAGAAGAACAGCAATGACATCTCAAGGATCTACGCTGACCCAGCCGCATCAAGTCGTGGGAGGAGGACTTTCGATTTTAACAATTGGCGCAGCATCGACGTCATCTTCGCCTTCTGCTCCTCCCCCTGGGTCTCCATTGACCTCCTCGACAGGTGGGCGTCAAATGTGCAATTCGCCTGCACTCAATGCCGCGCCAAGCTCATCGGTTGTTCTCGAAACTCTACAGGACTCAGATACGAATAGGATATTTGCTTCCACTACTGCTGGCGCGGGTAGCGCTGCTTCTTCATCGTCGTCTCCTGCGGCGGCTAGGCTCGTGGAGTGTTCTTCAACAGTAGGAGACAGCGGCTCTCCTGCGGCTGCCTTTTTGTCCTTCGCCTCAGTTGCTGCGAGTACTAGTAACGCAGAGCAGCATCAGAGGGGCGGGGCTAACATCTTCTCAACATCAGCGGTCGGGATGAACGAAGATGACGATGATGAGGTTCCACCGGATGTTGATATGGAAGAACTGTAATGCAGAAGAGCACTACACCTATATTGCTGATCAATAATTGATCATTTTTGTACCTACAACAACAACAACAACAACAACAACAACAACAACACCATGTTGTAGATTTTCATGAGCATTCCCATCCCTGACCCTGAGGAAAATATTTTTGATGTTCGCGCTTTACTTTAATATTTGTGCAGATGTCGTCGAACTTGAAGTTTTTCACAACAGAAAACCGACCCTAAGCAAATACAAAAACTGCTCTCTTGTTTTGAAGAATGTTCCCCTTTTGATCGAATACTCGCTCCATCCGCCAACGCAGGAATAGCAAGACTCTTTTTTTGCTACGACCTGTGGAAGAGCTCACGTGTTGGTGGGAGCTTCGACTCACCGTGTTCGTTTCCAACTACTCTGTTGGGTAAAACCCGAGGATAGCTCTAAAGATCATGATGCTACTAGGAGGGACGCAAAAACGGACTGAATTTGAAACAAAAGGAAAAGCAGTAGACCTACATGAAAAAATAGAAACTCTATCTTGAACATCCTGGTAGAAATGTAAAAAGTACAACAACAACAAGAGAATAGGGACTTCTTGCTCGAAACGAGAACTCCGAGGCCGCTTAAAAACGGATGGTGCTGCAATTCTTTTTGATGTTGCAAACTATAACTAAGGCTCTCTCACGAACAGAACTCGTAATTCCAGCATGCGGCTAAGTAGAAGCTGAAGCATCAGCATTGCAAAGCATCAAAAATATTATAACGTGAGGACTCGCTGTACACCACGCTGCATAACATTTCCCTCGTCAACACGACCAGCTTCTTCCTCCACCTCAAAAAACTTAGTCGTTACCTTCATTATCTACGAAATTTAGTCGTTTTTTCCTTTTGTGCAGATGATTGTTTGATGAGTGCTTGAATGCAGTCAGCCGCCGGTGGATTCTCAAAGAAAATGGAGATCAGGCTTTTGAGCTGTGATCTCGGATAGTTTTGTTTTTGCATGTTTGTACGAGGAATTCCCAGACGACCCAGTCCCACCATCGAACATTTACTTCTGACGACCGAGGAAGCCGATAACGTTTGGCTGGCGGTGCCTTTGCTGTAGTTGGATTTGGGCCCGTAAGAGAGCAAAAGAATCTCTTGAGGAAATCGAAGAACTGCTATTGGGTCTACGAAGAAAACGAACGCGGCATACTTACTTCTTGGCACAAGATAAGCCTAAGCGTGGTGGATCGAAGATGCAGGTTTTGAAAGCAGACGGTTCCCAACAAGCCTTCGATAAGGCAAAAGTTGTGCGTCGGCTTGAAAAACTCACTTTTTCGCTGAACACGAGCTATGTCTCTGTCTCTGAGGTCGTCGAGAAGGTGGAGCAGGGCCTATACGACAATGTATTGAATAAATTCCAATTTCTCTATTTCAACAAGTACGTGCTTGTGCTAGTAGTTGGCAGAATAAAACATAAACAAGTAGAAGTACTACATTGTAGTTGTAGAAGAATAGATACTGCAAATTTTGGCTCAAGGTTTGGTAGATGAATGCAATAGACCAGACTGAGCCGGCCTCAGCTTGGGCCTATCTTAGACCCTCCCAGTATCATGCCTCGCGTGATGTCGCCGAAGTAACACCTGCCAAGCCTGCACGAGGGAAGAGAATGGGCGCCATGCCGTTCGTGTTACGTCTGTCCTGTGTTGTGCTTGTTCTGTCTACTTGGTCGCTCTGCGTTTTTGTGCTTACTCAAGTAGTTAGCTTAGGTAAGTAGGACGCTGACGCGGCGGAGATCAGAAGGCTCCGGATTTTACTCCGGATAAGGGTCGCAATGGATCACAGTAGAACTAGAAAAAACCACGCTTGTTCAAAAATAACGTTAGGTGAAAACAGAGGACTTGGACAACCTGATTGCGGAAACATGCGCCTACATGAGTCAAAACCACCCGGATTATTCCTTTTTGGCAGCCCGAATCGCGATCTCGAGTCTACACAAGAAAACTTCGGAAAAGTACAACGAAGTTTATTGAGTAGCCTGATAGTACTGAAAAACGAGGATTTGTTAAGTAAAAATAAAGTTAGTAGATTTATCTATCACATGTTGTACATGTACTTGTAGTAAAAGTAACTAATGCTAATATGTCGACGGAATGTCTGCATGTTATTCACGACCATCTTCAAGCTTGTGGCATAACTAGAAGTGGATCACATCAGTTGTAGAACTAGAAGTGGATCATATCTTCCTGAAAGGTACTAGGTAAGCGTAAGAGCGCTTCAGGTACACCGATGTCGTGGACGCTTTGTACAACTGGCGAGACCCAACAGGAAAAGACTGCGCACTCTTGTCAGATGAGTTTTACAATGCCGTGATGGAGCATGCTGATGCCATTCAAGCTGCTTTCGACTACAAACAGTTACGGATTATTTTCGTTTCATAATATGAATTTGGTGAAGAAATGTACCGATGTTGTACAAGAAAAGGCGACACTAAATGATGATAGATACAACTGAGTAAATATGACTACTTTTAGTACAGCGACGATCATTTTATTTTTTGAGAAATACGACGGACTGGTAGTGCGGACACGGCCAACGAACTAATTATACACAGGATTTGACATTGCATGTATGATGCTCGGGCCTTGTCGCTTTCGAACGAATAGGAAGCCTGCATATTCTAATTCTTGACTACTTTTACGACTTTTTCGGTTTCAAGACGTTGGAGAAAGCCTATTTGCTTCGGGTGGAGGGGAAAATCGTAGAGCGGCCACAGCATATGCTCATGCGATGCGCCATCGGAATCCATTTCGGGGATATTGACAGGGCACTAGAGACCTACAAACTGCTCTCACAGCGATACTTCACGCATGCAACACCAACGCTCTACAACGCAGGTAATATGAAGTACAATTACGATTTCGCTTTGTTCAGAACAAATTGAAGTTCTAGTTCTTGAAGTTGAAGCTGTTGACAGCGTTTGTCCTTTCGCAGTCTGCTGACTGTCAGATGTTGATGCTGACAACTAAGTACTACGGCGACTGATTTATTTAAACTATCAGGCACGAAGCTGAACCAGATGAGCAGTTGCTTTCTTCTATCTATGGTTTCCGACAGTATTGAGGGAATATTCGAGACACTCAAGCGGACCGCGCTTATATCCAAGTCTGCTGGTGGAATCGGGGTCGCGATCTCCAACATCCGCTCTTCTGGCTCCTACATTCGAGGAACCAATGGGTACAGCAACGGGCTCGTCCCAATGCTGCGTGTCTTCAACGACGCGGCGCGATACGTTGATCAGGGTACTACGAGAGTTTTAGTACTATAGTTTTAGTTAGATGAAGATCTACATGTGCATCAGCTACGTACTAGACAGGACGGACCTCAGGAAGGGCGCCAAGGAAGCTACGCCGAACGAGGCTAGTAAACTGGGCTGAGGAGACTGGCGGAGAAGGCGCCAACTTGGGCCGGCTACTATATGCGAACGGCATAGCGCTACTCGCAGAGGACGGCGAGAGCCTACGAGGGGCAACGCAAAGACTAGCAGACACAATGCCGGAACACGGCCCGGCAGTAAACCTAGCGAAGGCGAAGCGTGTAGAGTTCAACAGCCAAGAGGAAACGGGGCCAGAAGCAGGAGGGCCCCCACTAGAGCGGGGCCTGGTAGAGCGGGCGCGGGGATTCACCCACCTCGGCAGCATACTAGCACAGGACGGCGACGACGGAGCAGACGGATTGAGTAGGATAGAACGCGCCCAGGGCCAGAAGATAGAAGAGCAGGGAGCCCTCGAGAGTCTTCGCGCGCACAGGAATCCGCAGGAAGCTGCAGACCACGCGCAAGCCTCGGGCGTTTGTGCTGCCGGTAGTGCTTTGGGGGTCGGATACTTGGACGCTCACAGTGAAAACCAGCGCCGCGCTCGATACGTGACGGAGTAAGGAGCGATGGCCTTGCATAGGAGCCATGAAAGCAGACCACATCAGGACGGAAGACCTACCGGAGAGAACAAAACAAGAACCGCCCAGCGCCATGATCGACAGAAGGCGCCTCAAATATGTGGGACATCTAGCACGGTATCCCCTGCTGGAGAGATGGGCGGGGATAGCCCTAGCAGCAGGAGGAAAGCACAGCAACAACAGGAGGAGAGGAGCGCCGCGCGCAACGTTTGGCTTTCCAGGGGGCAGCTGACTGCTGACCTCAGCCTCAGAGCAAGAGGCGCGCAGCCCCTAGGGCATGCGCTCGATGTAGCAAGCGAGAAGCCTGCCCATAATTCTAGATCAGGACCAACAGGAACAGGCGTAAGGCGACCACTGACAACCCAGCAAGAACAGGCTAGCCTAGACTCTGGAGGGCAGAACCAGAAGTCGCCGGGGAAATCCTAGGCAGATTGCCGAGGAGATTCACGCCATCGGAAGAAGGTCGCGATCTACGTGCTCGCCTCGATCAGCGTTGGCTGGTTGTTCCTGAAGATCTTCCATTTGTTCGCTGAACCTGAAACTAGTCTAGTATGATAATGATTTTGGCGGTGACAACACATCAGTAAGTAGCAACTTCGATTTTCTACTTCGTAGGTGGCGGCCGACGAAAGGGAAGTTTCGCCATGTACTTGGAGCCTTGGCATGCAGATGTATTTGATTTTCTTGAGCTACGAAAAAATCACGGCAAGGAGGAGATGCGAGCGCGCGATCTATTCTACGCTCTGTGGATTCCAGATTTGTTCATGAAGCGTGTGATGGAAGGTGGCGACTGGACACTGTTTTGTCCAGATGAAACATTAAGGCCTCACCAAATTCGTCTTAAGAAGCATCTTTCTTTGAAACGGTTGCAAGGAGAAACAAAATAAGAGCACAAAGAAAGATGCGTTTCAAGATGATTAAAGGAAACGTCTAAAAACAGTAAGTGTAAGTGAAGACGGCAAAACCACAAAGACTCTGCAGGACACGTACGGACCAGAGTTCGAGGAGCTTTATGTCAGGTATAAGTCGAACGTCAAACTCAAACACTTGGTTGATATGTAGGTAGCATGCAAGTTGTGCGAGTGGTACATCATCGACGTTGACTTTATCAAGATGAAGTCAGGCACCTTTCTTGTAGGTTGTTCCTTAGTCTATTTTATCTCGACGACCTCACTCAGCCATTATCAATCTCTTCCGCGACCACAGTTTAGAGAAAGCCGGGAAGGGCAAAAAGACGGTGAAAGCGCAGCAGCTCTGGTTCAAGATTCTGGAGTCACAGATGGAAACTGGAACACCTTATATGTGCTACAAAGACGCGTGCAACTTGAAGAGCAACCAGAAGAATATCGGCACTATCCGATGCAGTAACCTGTGTACGGAAATCATGGAATTTACTTCACCTGATGAAGTCGCAGTCTGCAACCTGGCGTCAATTGCGCTACCCCGATTCATCGAAGACGGAAAATTCAACTTCCAGCTCCTGTACCACGTTCTTGTTCTTAAAAATACTTTTTGCTTAAATAGTAAGTACTAGAAACACAAACATGATGTTGAAGCGTTTTCTTTACGAGTCACGTTCGCGACGAGTCCAGCAACTACTTGCTAGCTTGCAACGCTTTTTTGTTTTACCCAGCTGCCGACGAAAACTTAATCTTACGCTTACCTTACCCTAGTTCTCTTTTCGTCGATGCTTCCTATCCCTAATACTGAAAAAACCTTGCACATCAGGCACGACACCACGATGGTGATTACGCGTAATTTGAATCGTGTGATCGATCGTAACTATTACCCTGTTGAGCAAGCGCGAGCAAGCAACATGAAGCACCGACCAATAGGTCTCGGTGTTCAGGGTCTAGCTGATTAAGGGTTGGAGGTTGACGTCTCCATGAGCACCTCTATGGTTTCTTCAAGTAGGAAAGCCATAGATATGCGAGCTAGAGCGGTCAACTTTCAACCTCTAAGCTGGCGCTTTTATGAAACTGAAGTTGCCATTCGAAAGCCCTGAAGCCGGTCTACTGAACAAGCAAATTTTCGAAACAATTTACTTCGCTGCATGCAGACAGTCGATGCTCCTAGCAACCGAAGAAGGACACTACGAAACCTTTCCAGGTACATATTATAATGACAAGAGTTGTATAAACTACAACTAGTACTTCTACAACTTCCAGAGGCAGAGAAGTACACACTACTACATTCTGTACACTACTACATTCTTCCAGAGGTAGAGTACACACTACAACTTGTAGATGAGGTATGACAACAACTACAACTTCATCTAGAGGTAGAGGTATAGTTTCTTCTCCCTGAGTACTTACAATTGGAACTTGTCGTCTTCTTGATGTGGAGTTGGGGGACAAGATGACTGCGTTTGACTTTGTTCTCCCAGAGATAAACTACTCACTGCCGTGACCATCATCTCGTAACTAATCCAAGTAGCATGATCAAGCACTTGCCTATAGTTCGAGTTTCGGCTCTATATCTAAGAACAACTCTTCGATGAAAGCTTTACCTAACTGAAAAACTATGAATATCCGAGGTTCACCAGCATCAGAGGGAAAGCTTCAGCCCGATTTGTGGAATGTGAAGCCAGACAACGGCTTGGAGTGGGATTGGGACAAGCTGCGGGCAGACGTGGTCAAACACGGTCTTCGAAACTCATTACTTCTAGCCCCAATGCCAACCGCGTCAACAGCACAAATTTTGGTTATGTAGCAGAAACTTTGGTAAACGGATCCTAACTTAGATGGCCTTGGCCAATATCCTTTCTAGTATAAATTTGTCACCTTCATGAATGTCTTCCTTTTATCCAAATTTCTTACTTTCTTTTTGTGTTAGGGCTCTACAACAGTTGTGGCTTCTGTTTTTCGACTGCTCGTTGAGATCGTAGTATTTCTTCAATTTATAATTTTTTGTCGTGTTTCCTGTGTCCCTCAGTCTCTAATACACGCAACAACGAGAGCATCGAGCCTTACACGCAGAACATCTACGTGCGACGCGTGCTTAGTGGCGAGTTTGTGCAGGTGAATAGACACCTCTTGAACGATCTGATCGACCGAAAGCTCTGGGACGAAAATATGAAGATGCAGTTGATTGCGCACAACGGTTCACTGCAGAACATACCAAATGTCCCGAAGGATATCAAGGAACTGTACTATTTTTTTTAGTACTTTCTCCCAGTCCCATCCTATTCCTATAGAACACGCTGAGTAGAGTAAGGTGATTCTCTTTTTGAATTTAGTCAACAATTCCAGGTCCAGCACTGCGATCATGAACGGCGCCTATTTCCAAAAGAAATTTAGAATCTCAATACAAATGCATAGATCTACTAGATTTTTGTACATCAACGAGGACGTGTATGACGTAACCAACGGTCACACACCCGGAACACGCACTAGTACTAATTATACACCTACACCTGCTGCGTAGGTACAAGACAGTGTGGGAGATTAAGCAGAAGCGAGTTATCGAGATGGCGGCAGAGCGAGGAGCATACATTGATCAATCCCAGTCACTGAACATACACATGACCGACTGCACGCAGCAAAAACTCAGCAGCATGCATTTCTATGGCTGGAAACTGGGTAAGAAAGTTCTTTTTTCGTCTATCTAATCACTCATTTGTTGCTGACCCTATGTAAAGTATGCAGATGATGTTCAGCATCGATACGTCCTCTGCTTGTATTAGATGCAGATTCATGTAGATCATGTTGTTCATCATCTTCGAAGAAAAAATGATCATCATGATCTTCAAGGATGAACAAAAATCGTTCTTTATCCTCCCTGCCCAGGCCTGAAGACGGGTCAGTACTATTTGCGAACGAAAGCTGCAGTCGAGGCGATCAAGTTTACAGTGGAACCGAAAGATCTGAAGAAGCAAACTGAAGCGCTCGCAAAAGAACAAGAACAGAAGAGCAAATATGAGTGCGTTGCATGCGGTTCGTAAGCGTGATGCTATTGCACAAGGAAGAACGAAGATTTCGCCGCAGAAGTAGATACGACTATTGAACTAGAGTTTTATTTCAACTACATGAGTTTGAGTTATTTGATCATGAACAAGATAGTCATAGTTGCGAATGTGAACAAGAATTACGAGGAAAAAATCAGCAAAAGAAAGGGGCACGTGCCAGCCACGGGAGTCAAGTCTCAGCTTGTTGGCATTTTCAGTGGCATGTTGACCCGCTTTTCCGCGTGGATGAACATGAACGATTTGATTATGTGTGCGAACTCCAATAATTTCAAGTTTTTTTATATTGATTGAATGATATTTATTATAAATAATCACTAGTACCACCTTCTATGTAAATCTTGTCTGACATGTATTAGTAATTGATGTGGACTATAAATAGTCTTCTAGTACAACGAGGAGGATACTGGGGCATGAAACTAGACCACAAGGAAGGATAACAAACTAAAAGAAGCACAGCTAGGGTACACAAAACAACACCAAGAACATTGAGACAATATTTTTAGATAGCGCAGAGCCAGAGCTATGATCGATATTTCGCAGATCATGATCAGGAGGACGCCGACGCTCCTGTGCTGCTTTTAGACAGCAGTGGCCTTGCCAGCTGTCACTTGTATGTTGGGCACATTGTTTGCTGATACTCCATAGTATGCAGCTTGAAGACTGAGCGTAAGAACGAAGCTCGACGAGAATATTCATATCGATAGAAACTCGTCGACGACTTCGAACCAAAACGATGCGATTAGTATGTTGGTTTCATCATAATTTTGTGATATAGTAGAGTTACTGGTGCATGAAAAAGAGAAACAAGTACTTATGAACTACAGTCTTTGATGCGAGAACTTGTTGTTTTCAAATTCAATATAATCTTCTTCATGCATGTATGATTATGAAGATGAAGATGGTGATCTTGTTTTTGTGTGAAGTTGAAAGATCATCATCGATTGCCGTGGACGAGCATAAGATGCCCTCTTTCCCGCATAGCAATTAATTGTTTCGACCAGTTTTTGAACATTTATCCATTTTTGATTCCCACTATCGCTAGTGTCGCAACTCCCAATATCTCTGTACCCCTAGTAAACTTTCCTTGCATGAAGATTGATCAACAATTAGGTGTGAAATTTAATTCGTTTTGTTTTTTCTGGATCCCATCTCCAACACAGGTTTTCAGGTAAAGCATAAGCAGAAGCTGAAACTCTGATGCTCTTCTTGTTGAAGCAGACCACGACTTCATGAATAAATGGATTAGAAGTGCTCCTATCTGTATTTTCTGAATTCGAACCAACTACCTCCTGTTGTACATGGTGGTCGTTGGCAGTTATGACCATACCGACCATGTATGAAATTATTCACAACAATATGCCGCATTGACATTGTCACTGATGTGGATTTGTATCCCTATCGTCCTGCCTGACGATATTAATTCGAATCGTATTTCGATTTCCTTAGGTGCAACAAGCGCGACTAGGTGAACAAAGATGAACACTCATCTATCTTGTGATTCATAGATCGATCAATAGCAGGAACAAGCTCGCGTTTGAAACTACCCATACCGAACGCTACAACCCACTGGTAATGCTATCCTGATTCCTGAGCCTTGGCCTGGGGATGAACGATCTTAATTAATTTCACTTGTGCAGAAAATCAAAATCTGGACGGACAACCCGAAGGAACACGAAAAGGAGTCACCACGACCAACGAATCAACATCTACAAATGGTACTACAAGAACCACCAGCATTATGTTCGCGTCGGGTCTGATGCTGGGATCACGACTTTGCTCCAATGGTCGTGTGGATGTCGTACTGCAGTACGAATAGACCCCCTATGCCTCATACGGACTGAGTAGTTGTCACTTCGTGGGTCGTGGTGCTGTCTCGTTTCTTGCAGGCTTCTTTCACAGTCATTCGTACTTGAGACAACATCCCCGGAGAGTGCTAGAAGAGAGAGTACTTCTATACTATAGGCTACCAGAAGAAGAGATCTACTGACTCTGACAGCATGATGTCAAAGATAAGAATTGTGTTCTCATGTCACGATGATCAGGTTTATTTCTACTTCTGTTGTATCTGCTGACGAAAGAGGACTATGTTTTATTGTGGGAAAGATATTTCCTTGTAATTGGATCCCGTGGTCTGTCGTGGTGAAGAGAGTAGAGGCTCCGTCTGTAGAGGCTCCGTCTGTGGTTCAAGAAACAAGTTCAAGCTGTAGGACATAAGGATAAGTAATTCATTTTTATTTCTGTCGCTACGTTTACCTTTACGGGATTCTACTCGTCATCCCATAGACGTAATGCATCTCCTACTTTTTCTTCTGAACTGAAGGAGCATCCTGAGCGATCTCGGTCCAATGTATCTGTCACTCAAGAGAAGCTAAATGAAATAGCTTGATGCCTGAAAAAATAATTATCATTCTTGGAGAGATGTTGCCGTTGTAGCTATTTTTGAGTCGGTTGTACCTAATGATTCTCTTATACATAGTTATCTTTCAAGAATCTCATCATGCCTTGGTGCCCCTAAATCTTTGAAACCCAGCATAATCGTCGATGTGAGTGTGTCTTGTTATACATCTTCCCCGTCACTTCCTTTTTGCGTGTTGGTTCTTTGAGGTCCCGGTCCTCATTTAAAAGTCAAGAAACATTCTCGTTCTTCTCGTCTTCTTTGGTGTTCTGTTTATTCATCATTCTTTCGTGTTGTGTGTTTTCGGATATTGTAGAAACAGCTCAGGTTAAGTTTTTCCTGAGTTCAAGTCGTCACCGAAGCGTCCTCGCTTCGGCTCATGATTTGTGTCTAGTATGTCATAATCTGCGTTTTTTTTTTATCGTTATATTGATTATCATCCAAATCCACTTCTACTATAACTATTGCTATTCATCATATTATATATTTGAAGATTCCATTCCGTGCATTAGTCACAGGCCAGATATCCGAAACATGACGCTCATGCGATTAAAGGTGCGACGTTGTTTTCGATCTCTCGTTCTTCACTGACGGGTATGCATCTTTGAACAAGAAGACTTGTTGTTCGAACCTGACATCTGCCTGCTATGAAGGCGACCGCCCGTACTGGAGCCAGCGTGGCGCCTAAAAGTCAAGAAGACCGCGCGAAGAGCGGCGCGGATGCAAAAACAGCTGCTCCAGGCAGCAAGACGCCGGCCGCAGCGCATAGAAGCAAGTCTGCTTCCACTAGCAAGGCGCCTGCCGCGACGTCTTCAACGGCCAACAAGGCTCCTGGGATTATCAAAAAAGCTCCGGTCGTAATTGGCAAGCCACCACCGTCTGCAAGTACTATCAACAACCCTGTTTCGACTACGACCAACACCACTTCGAGCCGCGCGCCGGCTACCGTAGCAACTTCCATTCATAGCGGCACGGGAGCACGAGGACCGGAAAGGGTCGTGGGAGATGGCAACAAAAGCGCAGGTGGAGATGTTCAACACGACGCAGAGGTTGCTGCCTCGTCTAGGGCAAGTTCGTCCACATCTACCGCCGCAAGCCTCCGTGAGACAGACATGGTTGCATCAGCAAGTCGGATGCATCAGCAAGTAGAATCAGCAAGTAGGACACTGCACGACAACATGTTGGTAGAAGATGAAGGGCCTACGAGTGGTATCCGAGCTCGAGCGCGCGGCAGCAGGCCGCATAACACTCCCGAAAATGAACTAGAGGAAGAGGATCCGACGAGGCAAGGGTATCTTAGCGGTAGTGGAGATGAGAGCTTTACAGATCTAATTCGTACATCCGTAGCGCAGTATTATGGGGAGGGTGGGTCTCGAATGGCCGTGGAAGAGGAGGATGATTTTTTAGAGAACAAAAATTTGGAAAACGAGATCGCCGCACGAGGCGGGGAAATGGATGAGGGAAGTCGAAGTTCTTCAGGCGAGGAGGGTTCCCCGATAAATAGGTCTCCATCGAGAGACAGCGCGGCGATGCGAGACTGGCAAGGCCGGCTATCAAAATTAGATATCGTTGCGGTCGTCTACTTTTTTCTGCTCTACCTTGCTTTCGCCGCAATCTGCAGCTACGTCGGTTCCAGCGCATCAGAGGTACACCTTCCTGTTAGTGCTGAAGATGTTACACACCAGGGACACTATTTGATGAGGGGTGAAATAACAACTGCGGCTGGTACAACTTCTGCGGAAGAAGGTGCCGAAAACGTTGATGCACAACTTCAAGTCACAAGCACAAGTAGTACAGCTTTGGAGGACATATCCGACAGAAATACCCGTTTCGGAGGTCCTGATTTCAATGTAGACGTAGAGGATCATAGCGATAGCCGACGTACAACTAGCATTAGCATAGCAGCTCCAACACGCATTCCTTTTCGCAAGCTCTACGACGCGAAGAAAGCGCACATATTTCACTTAGTACTAGAAACCCTTTTTCGTGCTGGAGGATTCTTCCTTGTTTTCGCTGCTGAACTGCGAACGAAGTTGAGACTGCCGCCTCCCATGGTCGGTAGCCACGAGTATCGCTGTAAGATGTACATGGGTCGCATGGTGTACCTCACAAAGCACGGCAACGCGTTTGTCGCTTACCACTACATGCTGGGGATGATTCGAGCTGCAACGGAGATAGCCCTATTAACTGAACGAGGAGAAGGAGGTGCAGCAGGAAGCGTAAAGACCACGTCATCACCAGATGGTCCAATGTTTTCCAGTGGTCGAGTAGGTGGTCAAGAACAAGACTCTCCGCTATATGGTAGTTACGAGGATATGGCGTCCTCTGCTCAACGTTTTGTTTTAGAAGTTGCTAGGACGATCTTTTCTTCGCGACCCAGTTTGGACTTAACTTGCAGTACAACTAGTACTAGTGGTAGTACACCGAGCACCTGCTCGAGCAGCAGCAGCACCTTGCAAGAATGGCAGGCGTTATTAGCGACCATCACAGGAAACTGTGCACTGATTGTTGCGGTACTCGGTAGTCAGGTGAGCATCTTGTGGGCAGTCCTCGTCATGCCGAGTGCGCAAATGAAGAAGAGCAATGAGTGGCTGTGGCGCGTCCACCGAGTGGACGGCTTCGCTATCGACGTGATGGGGCATGTTCCCGGTCTGCCGCTTGCTGTATGTGATATTCTTATGCAGAGGGCCTTGGTTTTCCCGCAGTTGGGATACAATGCCTGGAGGCGCGCAGAAGGCCTATCGTGGATCATTTTATTCTTTCTGGCTTACTACTACTCCGTAGTGTTTTGGAATCAAAGAAAGACAGGCGTTTTCCCCTACGAGATCATGTCCCAGATCCATCGAACACCATTCGTGCGTCTGCGCTGTCTTCGGTGGCTCGGACTCACCGCCTTCTGTCTTGCCGGCTGTCTATCGCTGCAATTTTCCTACATTGCCCTAGCCGGAAGAACTGGTGTACCGACATCGTGGCTGAAAGCAGCAGCGATGAGCATAATACATAGCATTGATAGTGTAAATTGGCTGGATCATTTGCAGTAGCAGTTGGAATCGATCCGGAACACTGCTTTATTTTTGATCATCCGGATTGTATTTGTGCCTGTATCTCTCCGGTTCCAAGCTAGTACAGAATACACGAAGCATTACGACGTACTTACTAGCTTAATGGAAAGTTGTACATGGTAGTTACACAATGATCACTGATGAATAACCCTACTCTTACTCTTACCCACATCACTGGTGACTCATTGAAAAGAACACAGGGTGCTTACGTGTAGGGGCTTTGTTCTTTTTTTTTGGTACCGCATAGCCAAAGAGGAATTCAAAAAAGCATTGTAAAAGAAGGTCAACATCTTTACACATGTCACTATTGTGCAGCATTGGTATTTATGTATGATATCGTTAAGAGGCCCAGAAGATTCATTTTCCTATACATCAACATACGCCACAACATACTTACAACTCATATGCTGCTCGTTTCCCCCTGCATGATGCAAAGGAACTGTACAGCTTCCGCATGAAACTGACATGGGAACAATTTGGTTTTGTTCGTTCACCGGTTATTGTGGTGTGAACAGAGATGAAGTTGTAAATGAATGTAGCTGTGACATACGGGTGACTGAACCAAAGTAATCTGAAAATATCCACTTTGAGCTCTACCCCTCTGCCCACTTTTTGCACATATGTCTTTCCTGGAAAGGCATGCTGCTTTAAAGTGGTTGTGCCGTGATACGTCACGATGAGTAGTCTGTAGTACGGATTTATGGTCATGCCGTAAATCTTTGGACCGCTACAGCTTCAGCTGGGCCTCCTCCGATTCGCCGCCCTGTCGCCCTTCTGGTGACTCCATGGCTTTGAATCTTTGCTAACCTTTTTCATCGTTGCGCTTCGTTACTTCCTCCAACTTCTGAGGTAGCAGGGTGTCATCGTATAGTCTAGGTGTTGGTATGCTTGCCAATGATAGGCTCCATGTCATGCCAAGACCGCAGGCACAACGGGTGGATGCGAGAATCACTAAACGCTAGTGATGCGGCATTCTGAAGAAAGAGCTATCTTCGTTCGTGGCAAGACGGGGAGTCCGGATGGAGCAGGTACTTTTTCTTGCTCGTTAGGTGGGTCCTCGAGGTCGGTTTATTATCGCGTGTGGAGACGTAAGTCGAGCGACACATCTCCGAGTGCACGTCTTTGCAACGAGATGACGAAATAAGGTATATAACAAAATGCAAGGTGAGGGAAAAACTTTGATCAATCTATTATCTAACAGTGGAAACAAAGTCAGCGATGCAAGTATGGTGAAGAGACCTTGTAGGGAGAGAGGAAATAGAACTAACAAACAGACACTAGATAAAACTATTGAGACTTTTCTTTTATCTACTAAAAAGGAGGGGCGTCTTAATGGGACGGAGGAAGGCACTCTTACGATGCAATGCGCTTAAGCTGTTCTTGAGTGACCTTTCCTCCTAAATAACTTTTGTTGAGGAGTTCCAATTTCTTTAGTTCTCCTTTGTGGGAGTTCCCGTTTGGACAGGTAGATCCCGTGCATTTTCCTTCCATCCAACTCAAGCAGACGAGATCGTTTGGCGGCTTCCAAGCTCCTCTTCCGCCTTTCTTGTTATCTCCTTTGCTGCTTGGTGATCGTCGCGGAGACCGAGCCCTCTGGGCTCTCAAATTCTTAATCTCCTGCTCCATTTGCTTGATTTTTCCTCCAAATTTTTCGTTAAAGTGTTTTTCTACAGCCATCGCCACCGCTTTAGCGGCTGACTCCTCCACTTCCAGTCGTCGCTTTTCGATTGACAGCTGTGCCACAAAGTCTGGTAAGAAGTTGGATACTAGAGAGTTACTCAGCTGTCGTTGATGGAAGGTCTCTGGTGGATCCGCAGCTACTGGCGGCAGATTCTGCAAATTCGTTTTTAGTGAAGTCGTAGAGATGTCGTAAACTGCTTCCATGCCGAGGCGCTTCTCCTCGGATTTTGGGTCAAGCGACCCTGTGACCGCTTTGGAAACCGCGCCCATGAGCGAGTTCGCCTGTGCATCATTCAAAGTATCGGTGCAGCGGAAGGTTGCCACTAAGGCCATCGGGTGCAAGTTCAAGTTTGTGGGTGGCTTAGTCGCCCTGTCGTATGTCCTGGCGTTCAACTGTCGCAGAATGAACAGGTATTGCTGTGGCGTACGTTTCGTCGTCAAGTTTGCACAGCGGTCGGCCACATGGGTGATTTGCGCCTCCGTCGCTACGCCAAGGCCTTCACTTTCGTGCGCAGCTGCGTTACGTTGAAAATTCAAGTTCACGCCCTGCATCGCTTGCAGGGCCGCAACCTGCTGCGCCGCGTCCAGTTGGGCAGCCATTTTGTTGATCGAGAGAAAGAAAGAGAGATAATTAAGTCGTAAAAGAGAGATAAACGAAAGAAAGGCAAGTCCCTGATTAAAATGAATTTAGAAACGAAGAACCATCGAATTAGCACACCAAAGAAAAGTATATATGTGGTTAGTAAGGGGCTGGGTGGGGCTGGGAGTGCTGTGCTTGCTGCAGAGGCGTCATCTGTCCCACTGCGTAGCTCGGTCCTGGCCCAAAGAGTGTTGGCCTCCTGAGTGGCCAAACAGTCGCGGCTGTATCTGGCATCGCGCGGGCGTCACCCACGTATCTTGTCACGCTTTGTAGAGAGCCCCATCGACCCACCGCACGAGTATCCTCATCGGAGAGTCCTCCATCCGCAGCGGACTTTGCCCCTCCGATCCTCAGCGAGTGCAACATGAGCTCGCGTTTAGTTGAAGTTGAGGCGTTGGTAGAGGACGAAGAGGCCGCTCCTACTACATCCTGTCCGTGGAACTGCTGATCTTTCTGGATATTATTACCGAAAATAAGCATTTCTTCCAGTAGGACTGCTAGTACCACTGGGCTTGTATTCGCAAAGAGGGCGAAAGTTTCTTCGCTGCAACAGCACCTAGGGCAGATTTTTACTCTGCTCCTTAAAAGCGTTGGGGCAGTACTGCAGCAACACTGTAAATCGACCGTCTGTGGCGTGTTGCCAAAGTTATTGCTTTTCGCTGGTTTTACTGTGAGCCTAGTCCAGTTGTTGTAACGCTGTCTAGTTGACGTAGAAGCTTCGTCCAGCCTCATCATGAAGAACCAACAGAAAACGCAAAACTGTATAAAGCGCTCCAGCGAGTAGTTCTTCCCGTGGGCTACTATTCTCTTCAGCGGGTCTTCCAATAGGTGCAACATGAGGATCAGCAGGTGGCTAAGTCGCACACCTCTTCTCTGGTCCGAAGGCGGCTGCGTTTTCCAGAAAATCTTCAGTGCTTGCCCAAAGGTTCTTCTAACTGCTGCTGACAGTGGTGCCACTAGGTCGCCGAAACATTTCACGTTCTCAAGATATTGCGCTTTCGATTTCTGAAAGCTGGCCGTCTTGATGAAGGCTTGCGCTAAAAGTTGGACCATTCTCGGTGTCAAAAAGCGAGGATGGGCATCTCTACCCAACGCCCAAGCCAATTCCACGCATTTCCTGTAGGCGAATCTGTATGATCTTAGCGTCGAGCTCGAGCCCGCAAGTCTAGCCTTGATGTCAAATTCGGCCACATGTTCTAGCAAACCGTCCACCATTGAATCTATTCCCGCTGCCGATTGTGAAGGGGGTTTTGCCGGGTGGTCTTCGAAAGTCGGCAGTAGATGTGGTTTACGTTCGCATTCTTGTACTATCAGCGCAAGTGCCTGCGTCCAAGACACCAGTTGGCCAAGGCCGGTTCTTCTTGCGGCTTCTGGCAAACCTGCCCCTGGGGCTTGTTGCAGGTTTCTGCCGGGCCTCGTATACTTGCGCGTGCTGCCTGTGGGAGCTCCCACTTCGAGGCTGCTGGCCAATGCTAGCACTTCTCCACTATTCTGATTTTGGCCTTGATATGTCACCGGGTGCTCCTGCAAGCCATCCTCCTGCGATGGAGCAGATAAAGAGACTTCTTGCTGATTGAGAGAATCTGCCACCGCGTTATAGGTGGCATCTATAATTGGACTGTTCTCTTCACCGGTGACATAAGAGCCTGCAATCTCCGTGTCTTCTCCTAGGAGCGGTTGAAACGAGTGCTGCAGGTCCGCTTCGCCGACCTGTGGGCCAGTAGAGAAAAGGCTTAGATCTACCTCCTGAGAGGCCGTCGGCGCAATAGAAGGGACTTGCGCCGCCGTGTTTGACTGCGAAGAAGAAAGAGAGGCTGCGGATGAGCGCCACGCTCTTACCTGCTCCTGTAAAGGTAAGCGATGAGGTACGTCGAACGTATCGTCAAAGGTTGGTAACCGCTCCCAGCGTCCCGGCATGATGAGACTACTAGTACTAGGGAGGAGGGGGGGAAAAAGAATGCAAGTAAGTCAAAAGACACGCACTTCAAAAAGGTTCCTTACCCATAGATCTATAAATACAAATTTCAGAACTTCTTATTTGTGAGAACGCCTTTGCACGATCGAGTTTTCATTATCGCCAAACCTACACCAGCCAAGATAATAAGCCTCGATCTCCTTTGTCTTCTCTCCATTGGGAACACGGCCTAGCCGGCCCACCAGAACGATCTACGATCTTTAAACGTTTTTTCTTTTGAGCAGACAACCTTGCTCCAGTGCATTGTTGTCCAGAGTTTCTTTTTGCAACAGGATCTTGCGTTGGGATCCAGAACAAGATCTAGACCAACATATCGAGGGATGTGATTGGGTAACGTAAGAGAAAAGCAAAAGGTATAGACCTTTAAAACCCATAACGATATATCAAGATCATCGACCTCGTGTAGCCTCGTCTCTGTGATCAACTTCTGTTCCAATTCACCCGCTTAAAGGATTACAATTCTTCATTATTTCCATTTAACGCCAAGGGAGTGGATCTCACGAGACGAGGCATAAGCCTTGACCATAGCCAACTGCGAACAACTTCGCTAGGGCTAAAAAGAAAGGCCTGACAGGGGAGGGCCTGGCTGTCAACCCAGTCACCTCTGAAATGCAAGTAAGTCAAAAGACACGCACTTCAAAAAGGTTCCACCTTACCCATAGATCTATAAATACAAACTTCAGAACTTCCTATTTGTGGGAACGCCTTTGCACGATCGAGCTTTCATTATAAATATCACGCATCAATGTGAAACTGAAAACGAATGAGCGTATGAATATGAGTGAACAAGATGATGCGGCGTGACTTTTCTTGTGTGTAGTACTCTTGAATGTGGTGAGTTATGAGATATCATGACGAATGGATGAGAAAGAAAGAGAAATCATGAGAGATGACGTACGATCACTACAGGATGATATAAATAACTAGAGAGAGGCGCTTGGTTATTTTTTGCTGTTTCTCTTGGTCGGACTCGTCAATTGATGAGCACCGTAACCCGGGCCCTGTCGTCCAAAGAAAATTGAAATTGCTCTTCCACCTCGAAAGAAAGCGGCGCTTTTCTCACACATAAGTAGTTATGTCTACGCTTCCTCTTCCCGCCCAGAAAAAGAGTCGTTTACCATTTTCCTCCAAAAAATCGACCTGTACTTAGGCAGGAAGAATCACCTCGTGAAAAGAATTTAGGCTTGAGATTTCTATTTTCGAGGAGCCAATGCGAATGCCAACGAGCTTGAGCTCGACGTTCCGTTCGTGAGGACCGTCGCTACTCAGTGATACGCGTTACTCTGACCGGGACAGAAACATGAATTCAAAGAATCAATGGCAATATGTTCTATCTCCGAGATAAAGGCAGGACTTGACTCAGTAACATGGTGAAAAGGAAAGCGTGGTCATGAACTACAGCGAAACAAGTTATGGTGCCGCTGCAGCGGTACGACCTGGTGCTAATGCCCAGAATCTAGGACGTCCTCAAGAGAATATAATGATGCCGTCCTTGCCTTCAACAGTTGGGACCACTAAGGACGATTTGGGCAACAATAATGTTGGCCGCAAACAAGCTTTCGCGGAAGAGCAGCCCCTTGCTGCTGTGCGAGCGGGAACGGAGAGTAAGGACACATCCTTGGCGGGAGCTCGCTTTGATGGATCAACCTCTGGCTCGCAGGAACCAGTGACTCCTCACTCTTTTCCGACAGATTATCTGATTCTTACTATGGAATTTTGCCGCGCACACGTGCTGCATTTTTATCTCAGTATTGTCTTTGGCATCCTCATTGCCTGTGCGGTCATTGGGATTCAGCCGCTGCTCGCAGCCCTCCTGGATTTTGCGAACGACCACTATGGTTCAACGTCATCGACAGCGGAAATTTGGCAGAAACGTCTTTTCGTGTTTGTCGGCGTCGCTACGAGCCTCTTTCTCGGGCTACCGGTGGTTCCATTGCTTTTATGAGTACTTCATGCCTATTCCTAACGTCGCTAAGAAGGGAACACACTGGGGGGCCGACGGTCTCTTACTTCTTATACCTTTTAGGTATTTATTTCGGAGAAGGTTGTAGAATATCATCTACTAGCAGAAGAAAATGTAGATGAGTCTAGATGATTCACCTGACCACTAGATGAGAGTAAATTGAATTGAGGTATTCAGTCTACAGGACTAACTCTACCAAGAGCTACATCCGCGCACTTCAACGACGAAATGACCCAAGAGAGAGAATCAACAAGACCTCCATTTTCATATTCGATGTTCACCGGTTTTTTCTTGAAGAAAGTCGTAGTGGCCACGCTCCTCAACGCCTGTGCACTGGCCGTCGTGAGTTTCGGGCAGTACAAACTTGCGCGAGGCCAGAAAAAGACTCTCCGCGTCATGCTTCAACGGGATTTCCCTCGCTCCTTTCGCGTGGCAACGCTGGTCGAGCGGGATCCGAAGCTCGTTGTACTTTTCCGCTTTTGCTTCTTCCCGCTCATACTGAAGAATCTAGTGTTAAGTCTAAAAATGGTCTAGTTTCGTCCACATGATCGGGCTCCGTAGTTGTGAGTGTTCTAGATGTGACAACGAGGTTGTATCAATGATATTTTAGAGTCCGCAAGTACGCCAACTACTTGATTTTGATAGATGTTGATGATTTCAATGGAGCAGACATGCATATTATTTGTTGATCATTTCAATGGACGGAGCAGACAATTGATAGATTAGAGGGTACAAGTTGATGATTTCAATTGAGCAGATTCGCATGTTGATGGAGAGCTGCCGCTAATAGTAGCCGGGGTTCTGCGTTTCCCACCCTTGGCGTTCGCACTTTCGGTTGCTGCCCATTCTCTTTATCTTGGGGCGCTCTTTGCATGGGTTGGAAGCGCGTCACGAGATTTGACGCAGGCGCTTGTGGGAGAACAAGGAGCTGCGGCAGCGTCGGGTGCCGCTTCACCACCCCCACCTCCAGGAGATACTGGTGGAAACAAATCTACCACGTCCATTATGAACAGCAAAATTATTTACTGCATGCTGCAGAAGGAGATGAAGCAGAACCACCCGACTCGCCAGCGGGATCACTACAACAACAACAGGTGAAGAAATAAGAAGTAACTCCTCCGAGTAAGTACTTGGTACTTCTACTGATCGATATTAATAGATGATTTTGATTACTAGCAGGGCCAGGGGAATCATGTGATGAATGAATAGTAACTAGATGATTAACTAGAAGATGAATACAAATAGGGAAGTGCCAGTGCCACTGTGGAGTAGGTCTTGTTCTAACGCCAACTGGTCTGGACAGCTTTCTGTGCAGTTCGTTGCGTGGCTCTTTCTTACAGGCATTCCGACTGTCGTGATGATCATCGTGCTCAGCTGTTTCTACTCCAAAGAATTTGGGCAGATGCGGCAGATGATACTTGCAGAATCCGAAAGCTCTGTCGGAGTCATGTAAGGCTACAAGAATACGAAACTCATCTTCCCCGCCAGCGACATCTTTGTCCTCTCGCTTTTCCAGAGGGAATAAACGGGAACGAAGCTGAGACCGAAGATGGATTTCTCTTACTTCTAAGAGGAAGAAGAGGTGACAAAGTTGTCCTCCGGACGACAAGGACCACATCAAGAAGCGACTTCCATTTCTCTAACGGGTGACATGCCAAGGACGCAACACAATCACGAATGAACGCATTTCAAATAAGTGGCGGTGCTAGTGTTCAACAGTTTTTTTTGCCAGACGCTCTTGCTCTATGTCTATTCAACGGCAAGTACACCACGACGAGGACTGCATTTTCTTCGTTCGAACATTATCTACCATGCGCGGCAATCTATCCGTCCGTGCCCCAGGGACACTTCCAAACAGCGCAGGCACAGGATAATATGCTGCAGTGTAGACATTGATTCGTTACGCTTGTTACCGTTGTCACGATATTACGCTACTTTATGTTTGCTGCTAGGCTTTTTCTTGTTTTATCATAGATGCCACATGTACATGTTGCAGACGTTTATGATTTATTTAAATCGCAGCTCTGCTCGCCCCGGACCCCGCATTTTCGCACGAAGAACATGCTTTATTTTTCCCGTAGATATCGTCTCAAACTCAAGGAAAATGGCCCAGCACTGTCGAATAGCATAAGGGCTGCGATATTGAACAGAACAAGCAGAGAGGATAGAAACACTAAAAATTTGTGAGATCATGGGCTGGTGAAGCTGGAAATGAAAAACGAGAAGAAGTAGAAGAAGAAGAAGAAGAAGTTGGACGCGCTTCAAGGTGGAAGTACTAGAAGAGTCATTGACTTTGACAGGAGAGCATGCACTTTAAAACAATGGACTGTTCTAATAGTTTTCTCGAGTGCTACGCTCCTAGTAGCCGCGTTTTTGTCTCAAACACAAACAACTGACTCGCAGCCTACTTCTCAACATCATCATGGACACTAAGCGTCATCCTACTTTTCGGAGCTGAATTTTCTTGCGCATTTGAATTACGAATACGATGTAGGTGGAAGGCTTTTCAGTGCCGCTTTCGTATTCGTCCATCTGGATGTTTCTGATTCCATTTGCAGCGATTTGGCATTACCATTACAAGAAGTTCCTACATGTACATTTGAAATTTGATGATAGAGTAGAAGAGAATAAAAAATGAAAAAGAAAACTATAATGGAGGGCTACAACCGTTCTTTCATGAAAGGCCGCTTCTGTCGTTTCCTCTAGGTCTGGCTTGCCAGCAGCTCCGCGCAGCACGTCGAGTATCAGGGCCCTTTTCGAAACAACGAACGACAACGAAAAATTATCTTCCCTTCTGCTCCTGCTTCTACGGTAGCTGGAACTAGCTACAATGGGATGTGGCGCCAGTTCTCCGCTTACCTCGTCGGACGAGGGCGGGAGTGCGATGGCACCGATGGCCAAGCCATTCAGACTGCGCATATTCTCCATCAATGACGTCTACAAGCTAGACAATCTGGCGAAGCTGAAGACTTGCCTGGACGACTACTCAAAAGACAAGGCGTCCTTGGTAGATCGAACTATTCTTACTCTGAACGGGGACATGATCGGTGGCTGCTTGCTTTTTTCACTTGATAAAGGTGCGAGTATGCTGGATATTTGTTACGGATGCATGTATGTTGATGTTGTACTAATGATCAATGGTGCTTATCAAAGTCAATTTTTGATACGATGACTGTCTACTCAGACGGACCATGATCCCTTAGGCCTGCGCCTGCCAGCTTTTGGCCTGATGTCAATGTCTCGTGTTAGCTTGATATTTTTGCTGGTCTTCTACCTAGTAAACCCTGAACGAATAATATTATCATATCTGATGGATTTGAAATCATATCTGATGGATGAAAATTGTAACAAATTTTTGTTTAATTATGTTTCATCCTCTCTCCACTAGTAGTTTCAGCACCCCCTTCGTCCACCTTCATATGTGCAACGAAATCGGCGTGGATTACATGTGTCTCGGCAATCACGAATTTGACCATGGTCTCGCCGCTCTAGAACAGCGCGTGCTGGACTTCAAGGGGAAAGCGTGGCTCAATACCAATGTTAAGGCTTACCCGTATCGATCTTCTGAGGCTTCATTCCTGGAACTGTCCCCGGATAAGTGGACAACACACAGGTCTAAGATGAATCCCTGTACTATGGATCATTTGGGTTGGCTCTAACACTGTTGTGGTTGATGGCTCACCTGCTGGAGACGTGGCAGGTGCGACGCTCAATGCCATGCCCAAGATATACACGGAAAGGCTAGCTAATGGCTTCAATCTAGCTTTTCTTGGCGTGTGTACAGCTGACAGTCCAAGCCTGACGCTCCAAGATCCAACAAAAGATGGCGTTCGATTCCTCAACGTTTTTGAAGAGACTGCGAAGGTAATAGAAAAATTTTGAAAATATATATTGAGCACTAGGACTGAAGCTTCTCTCCAGTCGATTTTTTAGAAATGGAAATCTTCATAATCGTCTTTTATAAATATAAATATAAATCTCTCGAATTAATGCCGAACGCATATGAGCTGACTATGGACTGACAAATATGGGCCTGTATAATGACATATACGAACGTGCCCGATGGTCATAGCGTGAGCGCAATAATATGCTGGATGGATGCCAGTGGCGCTGGCGCGCCTGAAAAATATGGAGCTAGCGATACATGCGATGATGCCTAGCCGGAAAGAAATACCAATTATAAATATATATATGTACCAGGGAGGGAGGCCCCCCCCCCCCCTGTGGATGGATCGGGGGTGGACCACGCCAGAGGGGTCCAGCCTTGCCACCTTATTGGCCAGGCCTGTCGAGGGGCTGCCGGGCGGGAAGGCCTC